CCCCCCCCCCCCCCCCCCCCCCCCCCCGGCAGGGCCTGCTGGTTCTCCAGAACCCTCCAGCGCCACTCCCTCTGCCGCTGCCCCAGCCTGCGCTGCCCCCTTCTGTCCGTCTCCGGCACCGTCTCGGCCATTCCAGTCTCACGGGCGGGACCACTGCCTCTCTGCTCGGCAGGTGGGGCCCTGAGGCGCAGTCCTGTCTGTCTGGGCTTCTCACTGCACGAACGCAGCCTGAGGGCGCTGTGCGATCCCCCTGGTGGCCTCTGCCGTGTCTCCTGCCACACGGTACGAGGCGCTATCGTTCAACACTTCACATCCGCCACAGGGCCTTGGCACCAGTTGGTCCCTCTGCCTGGGCACCTTTTCCACCAGGTCCTCACATGGCCACATCCTTCAGGCCACGATCCGGCTCACACGTCATCCCAGCGAGGCCTCTGGCTCTTACAAAATAGCCACTCTCCTTTTGTTAAGTACCGCCTTCCCATCTTTGTGGCATTTACTGCTGTCTGACTTTACCTTCACGGTTGGGGGATACCCACAGTTTAGCGTGGTATCTAGATTGTACTAGAGTGGAGGCCCCACAAACGCAAGGCCTTGCGTGTGTCAGTCCAGGATCGGAGACCCGTCTGGTGAGTGAAAGAGTGAACAAATGGTATCTTGGGACTTAAAGCCAGGTGCTTTTGAGCCCACGGATTTTCCTGCCACACGCCCCTGCTTCGCGAGTGCTCAAACACGTCTACGCCCCTTACAGGTGATCCGAGAGGTCTACAGCGGCTGCAGCGGCCCAGCAGACTCAGAGGGGCCTCCGCCGTCAAGCTCCCCGGTGCACAAGACCGAGCTGGAGAAGGTAAGGGCGCGTTTCTTCCCGGCTCAGAGCCCTGCTAGCCCTTCTCTGAGGACGTGAGCACTTACAGCCAGAAACGATGCCGTTCTGCTGCGCACGCCTCTCGGGTGCCTGCTCCACACGCAGCTCGAGTGAGTCGTGTCCCGGATGGCATGGTTGTTTCGACTGTTCCCAGCTGTAGATGCAGAGATGGGTTTAAAGGTGTTGGTGGATTGAGGGGGCTCAAGGTCGTGGCTGTTACGTGGCAGACTTGCACCCTGCGTGCCGGGCTGTCTGTGCGCCTAGAGTTGAGCAGGCGCTGCACACGTGCGCCTTCCTGGAGACCCAGGACACGTTATTCCCCGTGGTCCAGGGCGTGTCCTCTCCCCGCTCCGTATGCATGTTACATGATGGAGGAGCAGTGAGAGCCCAGCAGAGGGGCCGGAGGGCTGGCCTTCCTTGCCAGCCATGCGTAAGCCCGTCCCTGCTGTGCAACACGACCAGGCCTCTCTGGCCGTGCTTCCTGTGCGTGTGTACATGGAGGTCTTGTTTCCGCGGAGGCCGGGCAGTGTTCTGTGGGTGGCCCGTGTCCCAGGAAGCTTCTGAGGCCCCCCCACCCCGGTCTGTCCCCCGCTGCCAGTGAATGGATCCTGCTTTGTCTCTTCTCGTTTTAGTCTGGACTCTGCAGGAAGCAGAATCGATAGGGCGTGTGTTACCAACAACGTACAAAACCTAAATATAAACTGCTTTATGTAAGGTAATGGGTATACAGATGTACACGCACAAGTAACACACGTGTACGTGTGCAGAGGATTATTATAACGAATTGGCATATGTGGTTGTGGCGGCTGCCAAGTCCAAAATGTACCGTGTGGGTCCGCGGGCTGGAGACCAAGTCTGCTGGCAGTCTTCCGGAGAATCTTCCCTTGCTGGCAAAGGCTGGGCTTTTTGCACCATGCCGGCCTTCACCTGATTGGGTGAGGCCCACCCACTCCATGGTGGGCAGTCTGCTCACGGACCACGGATTTCAGTGTTAGTGTCATCCACCACCCCATTCCAAGTTGACACACGTAAAACTATCCTCACAGGCCTTGCCCAGACATTGTGACACAGTGGGCCATCTGTCTTTCTCTTGGCAGCAAAGCTAACGCATGTTCGCTGTAGAAATTCAGAAAGGCCAGAGCAACAGACGGGATGAGGGAAGTCGCTCGTGAGCCCACCACCCAGAGGAGGCGGCTCCCCGTAGCATCGCGGAGGTGTAGCTGGTTCGGACGGTCTGATGCATAAAATTGCTTATGCTGCTGCCCCCGCCCCCGCCCCCGACTTGTGTGTTATTAGCGATGTCCCCAGGGTTGACACCTCGTAAAGCAGTGAGCGTGTCTGCGTTTTCATCAGGGGTGTGGTACCAAACACCCTGCCTCTGCTGCTGTCCTGGTCGGTGGCCCTGTCTTGCGCCCGCCTCCCTCTCCAGACGGTTTCAAACGGCGCGGTGCTTGGTGTCTCCCCGAGTCTTTGCCGCGTCTCTGTGACCTGAGACCAGGCTCCCAGGAGCTGGCTTCTGAGACCAAACGGTGGAAATATTTTCTAAGGTTTCACTTCCTGTGGCGAGGTGCACTCCTGTCCGGACAGGCTGCGCTATGCCCGTCCGCTCCCGGTGGCACGTCGGGGCCCCCGTTCACTGTGGGCATCGGCCGTCCTACTTCCCTCTGGTCTCGAAAGCTGTCCTGGTAGTGCCTGGCCGGGCCCGCCAGCCCCGAGCCCGGGGGTGCTTCCTGGCCCGAGACTGGAGCAGAGCTGGCTGGCGACACCCAGCCGGTGCCCATGAACCGCCGCAGCTCCCTCCGTGCGGCGCATCCTGGCCCCGCCTGCGGGGTTGCAGACACCTGTCTGTCATCCTCGGGCAGCACCGCCCGGACCCCGCGCTAGCAGCTGGCCGTGCGTGTGCCCTGGCGCCCCGGTCTCACCCAGAGACTTTCTCCGTCTTCGGCCGGGGCTCTGTGGGGCTGGGCTGTGGGCTGGACCAGGAGGGGTGTTTTCAAGCCCACTCCCCCCGCTGTGATGCCACAGATCTCCAGCCAGTAGAGAGGAGGATCCCTAAATAACACCCCTTCTTCAGACGCCGGCTCAGGGTCCTGAGAGTGCTCCCTGCATCCGGGTGCCAGAACGAAAATAATCGCACGTGTGCCGGTGTGCCCTGGGGCGGCTTTGACCGCAGCCACTCTCTGTGTGTACACTCAGAGTGTGTCTAGTACGAGCACATCTTTGGCCTCACCCTGTGATTGGTCGATGACGGGAAGAAATTAGCTGGATGGTGGGCTCTTCATTTCTGGGCAGATACTATGGCTTGGTGAGGGGGATATTCTTTCGAAATCTGAGTATTTTTTCAAAATGACTTGCAAGAAAAAGTGCTGTGGATGAGGGGCCGTAGGTACTAGGGTGCTCAGTAGCCCTCCGCCTAGGCCAGTCTGTTCTGTGCGCCTCTGCTGGTCTGGAAGCTGTAGCCGCGAGCTGGCCAGCGGTCCGTCCCGTGCTGGAGCTCTGGCTCCCTCCAGGCTGTCGTGAACTTGGCCCACGCTCCCTTCCACTGTGGAGAGAGCTTCCGACACATCCCGGGTACGTCACTCGGTCCGCGCGAACCGTTGTAAGAGTAACGTCATCCTTTGTGCCCTAACAGAAACTGTCTTCTGAGAGGCCGAGCTCGGACGGGGAGGGCGCCGCCGAAAACGGAGTCACTGTGTGTAATGGAAAAGAACAAGGTGAGTTCTGCTTGTGCTGAAAACACGTAGACTGAAAACCAACAACCACAATGAAAAGGCAGAAACTGTGGTCAGTCGTGTGACCATCGGCTCAGTAGTTGGACTGTGCGTCCCGGCCGGCGCCGCACTGCTGGAAGCGCACAGACACCCCCTGGGCCGGTGCGAGCCGCGGGTCTTCGCCTGCCACCGGCCTCGGCTTTCCCTCTGGTCCTCATGGGGCCCCACACGCATTTCAGCCTCAGGGCTCACAGCAGCCTACGTCCTTACCCGACTTATCGCTGAAAGGAATTGCGGCGGGGAGACCCGACCGTCCGGGAAAGGTGGGCGGCCAGTGTGACCAGCAACCCCGTGGCCGCCCCCCACCGCCTGCGCTTCGCCCCGGAGCCCGAGTAATCCTTCCCGCCGCCTGAGGATGCTGTCCCGTCTGCAAGAGGCCAAGGCTGGGCTCACAGGCTTCTGCTCATTAAAAAAAAAAAAAAGACGTGTTCTGAAGATGCCTTTTATTCCCCTTCATTAAAAACCATTTTTTTTAAGTTGTGGCTCAATACCCATGACATGAAATTACCATGGTGACCGTTCTGTGTCCCCTTGGGCGGTGTCAAGGACACTCATGGAGGTGCCCCCCCCTCCGCGCCCAGAGCTCCTTTCCTCTGTAGGACTGGCGCTCTGTCCCCAGGAAACAGTAGAGTGTGGAGTTTGAGTTCTTTTCTTCCAAGTCCGCTTCACAAGGCTCAAATTACGTCCAGTAAAATCCACGCTTTTTGGCACATAGTTCTTTGAGCTTCGACAAACACAGCCTGTAACTGCATCACTGCAGTCAAGGGGTGGAGCATTTCTGGGACCCCCGAAGCACCCCCTCATGCCCCCGGCAGCTGCTGGCACGCTTGTGTCCTCTGCAGAAGGCCCTGTGAGTGGGATCGGGCAGTCTGTGCCCTTTGGGTCTGGCTCCCCTCCAGCCCAGCGCCCGGCAGACGCACCTACACTGGCGCGCTCCGGAGTCTGTTCCTTCACGTGGCCGAGCCGCGGTCCAGTGTGTGGACGGGCCACGGTTTGGGCGCCCGCCCCCAGCCTGGACAGCTGGGGGTTCCCAGGTCTGAGCGTCGTGAGGAACTCTGTCCTAGACATTCACAGCAGATTTCATCTCTGTTGGATGAAAACCTAGGGCACGATTTGTTGGTGCTGGGTGTTCTCACCACCGTACCGATGTCATCTTGCTTTGTTCTGTACATTCTGGCTGCTGTAATGGGTACGTAGAGCTATGTGATGGCGGCTTAAGCTTGCGTTTCCCTGGAGACTAATGATGCTAAGCATTTTGTAATGTGCTGCTTTGCCAACCATGTCTCATCTGATGAGAGGTCTGTCCAGATCTTTTGCCCATATTTGTACTGGATTTTTGTTCACATTATTGACTCTGGAGAGTTCTTTATAATGTTTTGAATACAAGTCCTTTATCAGTGTGTTTTGCACATAGCCTCTCCCAGCCCGTGGCTTGACTTTCACTTTCCGTCCCAGGGTGTGTGGCCTGAGAGGAGGGTGGGATTTGTGGGTCATGGGGAAGTTTCCCCTGTGCAAAGCCAACAACCCGTGTGCTCCCGGCCCCATGACCCCAGCTTCCCAGGGGAGTCTGCCCAGCCAGCTCAGAGGCGCTCTACCCAGCAGGCGTCTCCCAGCTCTGAAAGGAAGTCCGCAGTCCAGGCCATTGAGAATGGTAAAACCCAAGTAAGCCGGCCCACTGTGATGTTACAAGGTTCACGCCCAAAGGTCATGATCTCTGCCTTTGCCCCTGCGGTTCCCTAACTCAGTCGTGTTTGGGTGTAATTTTAGTCACTCAGTGGAAGGCACCATCTGCGTCTTCCGTGGGCTCGTTTCGTGTAATCAAGGCCAGGAAAGCAGTCTTTAAGTTTCACCCCAAAACAGAATAACATACAATCTCCGCTTCCTGCTTGATGTGGAGACACAGCCACGCTGCTCTGGTTGGTCTCTGTCCTTGTTTGCCATTCTTCTCCTGGGCCCCTGCTGGAAATGCGGTTCACAGAATGATACGAACATCCAGAATCCTGTATGTGTGTGCACGCGCGTGCAGAGAGAGAGAGAACATTATCTGTACCTAACCACCTACCTTCTCGCTCATGACCGATTTGCAGTCGAGAGATTTCAACACAGCTGCCTGTACCCCCGCCATCTTGTGATCAGATTCTCCACTGGCCATAGGGATGCGTCTGGGCTGATTCTTACGGCTTTAAGAGTCTCATGCTCTACCGACTGAGCTAGCTGGGCAGTTTACTTATGGCTTTAAAAATGCCAGGAGTTGGCTTTCCTTCAGTGGTCTGCCCTTCACTGGCTGCTGAGCGCTGACGCTGTGCGCCGTTCGGACCCTGTGGCTTTCCCGGTCTGTGACTTCAGTTGAGGGTTCTGAGTTTTTAGGGGTTTCCTCATAATTCTATTACACGTGTGAGATCCTGCCATGTGTGTAGTGAGTAGCGTTAACACACTCTCACCTTCCTACACACTTTTCTTTTCAGGGAGTCCTTTCCGCTTTGTAAAGAACTTCATCTGTGGTCCTTCAAGGAATTAAAAGTATCAGGTCTTTTCTTTGTGATCAGGTGCTTTCCTGGCAGGAGCAAATGTGGGTAGAATCAGAAGGAAACGTACCGTGTTTGCTTTGAGCCCCCGGGAAGAGCTCTGCACTTCCTGAGCTCTGCAGAAGGGGGTCCTCAGGGCCCGCTGGGAGCCCCTTCCTTTCGAAGCTGAGCCGGAACAGGGCTGTGGTCAGAAACGGTCTTGGGGCTCTTCGGAAACACTTGGCGTGGCCACACTGAAAGCTTAATGACAGGGTCGTCCCAACCGTGGACCCCCATGTCTGGGGGCCCCGGGGGGGTGGGAATGTCCCATCCCACTAAGATTGCAACGGGGTCTTGGTGCTTTAATTGAAGAGGGGGCATGCAGGAGAGTGTGAGGAGGGTGGGGGTGCTCTCCGGTGCTCCCTGCGAGGACTTCACAGGACGCCACGGTCTGCAGGCTTAAGCTGCAGACACTTGCTTCTCACGGTCCGCAGACGGGAGCCCGATCTGGCGGTGCCGGGCTGTGAGCCGGTGGGGGCCCCTTCCTGGCGTGCAGACGGCCGCCTCCCACCGCGTCCTTGCGTGGCCTCTTCCGAGTTCACAGTGTCAAGAAGGGCGCTGATCCTGTGAGATTGGGGCCCCGCCCTTATGGCCTCACGTAACCCCATCACCAAACACAGCCGCCTGGGACTTGGGGCTTCAATGCAGGGCTTCTGGGGGCACCTCCATTCAGTCTGGAACAAATGCCGTGTTCACCCAGAAGTTCGGCTTGGCTTCTTCTCTTTTCACTGTCATTTCTTCCTAGAGAGGCAATAACGGCAAACACAAAGGATGGCGCTGCGTCTGCAGGGTGGGGGTGGGGGCGGGGGGCACCTGCGCCTGGCGTCCCGCGGGTGGAGGAGTGGGGACTGGAGGAGAGCGAGCTTCCCCGCCCCAGTGGATGGAGGGAGCATGTCCTTCTGTGTTACAGGGGCCTCTGGGAATGAGGCCTGGGGGTTGTAGTCCCGAGTCCCTGAGTCCCCTGTCTCGGCAACTATTCAGTGTGTGTTTGAGCTGGGTTTCTGCAGGCCTGGGGTGAGCAGGGGGGAAGGATTCCTCACTTGTATTACGTTGTCAGAAGGGGCTGTGGCCCCTTGTGGGATACAGGTCGGAGGCACGAGTCACCCTGGACACGGAGACACCCGGAGGGCTGTGGGGGAGCCCCTGCCCCAGCCCAGCCCCTCCATGGTGACGCTGCACGTGACCTCCCGGAGGCTCATCGTCCTGTGGTTCCCGCCTCTTCCCCTCGGCGCCAGGACCAGGCACACAGTGGCCTGCAGGTGGCAGGGCCGAGTGACCTCTCCTCTGCCGACCTGCCATGGGCGGAAAGGTCTTCCCTGACCCCCAGGTCCCGTGCACGCTCTCACCCACCTTCCCAGCTCCACGAGGTCCCAGACGCAGGTCCAGAGCCCACAACTCTTTCTGTTTCCCGAGGGGAACCCGAAATCAGTTTGATGCGCAGCGTTTGCGCATTTGCTGTATTGGGCACGACTTCATAACCCCATGCCCTGCAGGCCGACGCCGACCATCGCAGGCTCAAATGCAAGGGTCCGGCCTGGGCGTCGTGGGGAGGGTGAGGGGCTGCTGGGGGCTCCCCGGGACCGGGGAGGACACTCGTGCCCCTTCCCCTCCGCCAGCCCCTCCCCACGAGCCACCAGGATGTGGCTGCTCTGCTGCTCTCTGTTCCCCCTCCCGACCTCATGGCCTTGGCGTTACTGAAGCTCTTCCTGCCCGCAGGCTCCTGCTCAGGCTCAGCCGCTTCCTCATCCCCTGGCTCGCAGTTCAAAGTCACCCCTCCAAGTGGCCAGGGCCTCGGCCGTGTCACCCCAGTGTAGGCTGCGCGGGCCTGGCTGCCATCAGGCCTCATGTGTGTGCGCGCGCGCGTGTGCCCACGTGTCCACACACCCGTGTGCATGTTCACAGCCTCCTCTAGAACATATGCTCCTTCAGAACGCCTGTTTGCTGTGTTCTCTTGTGTCTACACCGGCACCGGCTCATAGCAGGTGCTCGGTGAGTACAAATTGAGGAAAGTAAGACGGGCTGTGGTTTATGCTCTGTCCCTATTCTTTCCAGTCCAAGTCTGTAATCAACATCTGTGTCTCGTTTCCATCGTTATTCTTGACAGTTAAGAGGAAGAAAAGCTCCAAATCCGAGACCAAGGGAACCGTGTCTAAAGTCACTGGGAAGAAGATCACCAAGATCATCGGCTTGGGGAAGAAAAAGCCGTCGACGGATGAGCAGACCTCATCCGCAGAGGAGGACGTCCCCACCTGCGGTAAGAGGTGTCGCGCGGCTGGGAGTGGCGCTCGCCTCGCTCGTGTCCCCCTTCCCCAGACTTGCCCCTTTACCGCGGGCTCTTCTAGTCCAGCCGTGCGCCTCTGGGGGGAGGGGGGCTGCATTTTTATTGCTTCATCATAAAAGGCCGTGCCGGGTTTGAGGCGATCTCAGGGTTCTTTCAAGGCCAAAAACAAGTTCTGGCTGTGACCTCAGGACGTTCTCCCAAGGTCTTTTCGAGGGTTTCTAAGCTGGAGCACACGTGCCTTGGCGAGCGAAGGGGGAGCGTGGGGCCAGGCCCGGCCCGGCGTGCGTGGGGTTACCCCCCGGCCCCAGTGGATGAAAGAGCGTCCTGGGGGCACTGTTGCTCATCCCGTCACCACCATCCGCCCTGAGCGGCTGCCACGGCCAGGATGCGGCCCAGCCCCCCTGTGTGAATAAGGAGTCACAAGCAGGGACGTGCAGTGCGGCCTGGTGACGGAGGAGGGAGCCAGTACGGCCAGACAGTGCCCCAGGGACCCGCGGAGCGAGGTCCAGGCAAGGCAGCCGCTGAGGAGAGGGGAGGGTGGGGGGACAGGTATCCTGCTTCCTTGGCCACCGTGCAGCCGTTCTCAGGAGAAGAGCACCGGAAGCCAGACGGCCAGGCCGTGGCCTCTGCAAGGAACCGAGGGTGGGCTGGGGGTGCCCGTGTACCCCGCGGCACACCCAGTGTTCTGTCCCCCAGGCCCCTGGTCCCCTCCCTGTGCAGACTCATGCTGTTCACCCCTCTGTCTCCGTGAGCATCCATCGGCCCAGGGTATGGGGCTTTTACTGGGAACTATGCTGCCCCAAGTGCTCAAGGTGGCCATACAGACAAGGGGACATTAATTTGGCAGCTGTCACACGCCAGGGCCCACACTGTGTGCCAAAAGGACAGTAGGAAGAGGCAGCAATGTGGGGGAGGGGGCAGGGGGCAGAGCGCTGAGCAGCGGCCGGAGCTTGCGGAAGCCGGGGCGTGCCGGACCCCAAGGGCCGGTCGAGGGGTCCTAGCTCCTTCTGGCCCTGACAGTTGGGGCTCTAGGAAGCCACACACATGAACCTTCAGTGGGCCCTGTAGAGACCTGTCCATCAGAGGCTTCGGCAGCCCTGGGTGGTGGTGTGCGTGCTGTGGGAGCTGGCTGGGCAGGCAGGGCTGGCGGTGTCCCCTCAGGGAGGTCCTAGTGAGGGGGCCACCCTGGATTGTTGGGGGCGCCCTGGGAGTGGAAGGACACCAAAGGTCTATGCAGTCAGATAGGACTTGAACTTGGCCCTTAGTCAGATGGCAATGGGGTCATAGAAGAGGGCTGACTGAGGCTCTGTCCACCACCCTGCATGAAGGAGAAGGTGTCACTCTGTTGATGTTACAGCAGGCGGGCAGGGCTGTGGTGTGGAGGGGCGGAAGTACAGGCAGGCAGGGCTGTGGCGTGGAGGGATGGAGTTACAGCAGGCAGGCAGGGCTGTGGCATGGAGGGGCAGAAGTATAGCAGGCGGGCAGGGCTGTGGTGTGGAGGGGCGGAAGTATAGGCAGGCAGGGCTGTGGCATGGAGGGATGGAGTTACAGCAGGTGGGCAGGGCTGTGGCATGGAGGGGCAGAAGTACAGCAGGCGGGCAGGGCTGTGGTGTGGAGGGGCGGAAGTACAGGCAGGCAGGGCTGTAGTGTGGAGGGATGGAGTTACAGCAGGCAGGCAGGGCTGTGGCATGGAGGGGCAGAAGTACAGCAGGCGGGCAGGGCTGTGGCGTGGAGGGGCGGAAGTACAGCAGGCGGGCAGGGCTGTGGCGTGGAGGGGCGGAAGTACAGCAGGCGGGCAGGGCTGTGGCGTGGAGGGGCGGAAGTACAGCAGGTGGGCAGGGCTGTGGCGTGGAGGGGCGGAAGTACAGCAGGCGGGCAGGGCTGTGGCGTGGAGGGGCGGAAGGAGGAACACGAACGCTTTGATGCCACGATGCTGTTCCCTCTCTGCCCCTGCCTTTCTCGGTGCAGCAGGAAGCGCTAGGTGGAGCCTCCTCTGGCCCTGGGCCTGGAGGGGGGTTAGGGCTCAGAAGCGGAAAAGGAATCATCCAAAAAAGGGAACTGCCGTTTTAGCTTCCTTTTTGTTTTTTAAAACTGCTCCGGGTCCGCAGAAGGAAACTGAAATTCTTTCATGAAGAACAAGCGTTGACATGGGAGGCGAGTTAGACACCAGGGTCTGGACGCTGAGCTCTGGAAGGCCGTGCCTGCTGGAGCCTGGCGGCCGGGGTGGGGGGCACAGGGGACCCGCGGGCCCAGGGCTGCCGTTCCCCCGGGGCTCCCCTCTGCACGGCCCTTCACTGCCGCTCATAACCCCTCGCACGCGGCCTCATTGTGTGGCCATCAGGCTCCGCAGGGAAGCCTTTGCTGGTGCTTCCCTGGAAACATTCGGTTGCTCAGAGGGCCGGCAGGGTGAATCCGGAACCTGTAACAGACCCGTGTGCATTTCTGTCAAACTGCCCAGTGGACACCATTCATCTCTATTCAGAGAACCTCCTCTGTCCCCAAGCTTTAAAAATCGTCATCTAGGGGCGCCTGGGTGGCTTAGTCGGTTAAGCGTCCGACTTTCGCTTAGGTCATGATCTCGCAGTTCATGGGTTCGAGCCCCGCGTCGGGCTCTGTGCTGACTGCCAGCTCAGAGCCTGGAGCCTGTTTCAGTCTGTGACTCCCTCTCTCTCTGACCCTCCCCTGCTCACACTGTCTCTCTCTGTCCTAGAAAAAAAAAAAAATCGTCATCTAGGTCTTCGCTGGGCCCAGAGCCCAGGGGGCGGGTCTGCGGGGAAAGGCAGCGGGGAGATGACTGTTGTCAGTTACGTTAGTACAGCTGTAAAGTTTTAGGCCGAAACGTGAGCGGATAAAGGCCCGCGGCACCAGCCCTGCTGAGCTGTGGCCGTGCGGCCGCTGGCCCCGCGCCGCGTGCCGAGGAGGGCTGAGCTGGACGGGCCGGAGGGGCGTGCCGCTGGCAGGCAGCGGAGGGCCCCGGGAGCACCTGGGACCTGGGTTCAAGTCCAGCTCTCCCGTGATATGCGGCCTGGCAGGTGGGCCTCCGGGTGCATAATATAAACGCAGCTGGGGGTCAGAGATGGTTTCCGGGGAGTGGGCCGGGGGTGGGTCCCGCGGCCGCTGACCAGGTCAGCCCAGCCAGCCCCGTACCGCTGCTCCTTGCGGCCCGAGTCCCCGAAGTGATGGTGAGTGGCAGCCGGGTGCCCCCCCCCCAGCCCCCCAGCAGAGAAGGTCTTCTATTTGCCCCTGTCTGCTGCTCGCAATCCCTCTGTACGCTCAGCAGGTGCTGGGAGACGCGTGTTCTCTTCCTCCCTGCCCCGTCTGTCTACCGCCGGGCCAGCGCACCGTCCCCAGCCCCACCCACCCCCCCCCCGGCCGCCAGGGGCGAGCTGTGACGACACAGAGCCCCTGCGCTGAGATGAGAGCCGCTCTGCCTCCTGGCTCAGAGCCTCTGACAGCCTCGTCTCAGCCCGATTCCGCAGCCGTCCCTCCGTCCTCCTGGGTCCCGTTCACGGGCGCCGAGCCTGGCAGACGGGGGCCGCGCAGCCCACGCCCACTGACTGACTGAATAACCTTCAGCAAGTTGCATGATCTCTCCGGGCCTCCGGGTCCTCCTCTGGGAAATGGGCCCATGCTTACTCTGTCTTAAGAAAATTAAAGCTAGAATCACAAAACAGTAAGCTCCATGCTTAATAAGTAAGCTCATCATTTATGGTCAGTAAGTGGTTGATGTTACTGTGTGTTCACCTGATGTGAACAGACAGATGTCTGTCAGACAGACCGACAGACCACAGCAGCACAAGGGCAGTATGGGGGGTGGTGGGCGGGAGCAGCCTGGGTGCCGAGAGACACAGAAGCGGGCGGAAGGAGAGGCCCCAGGTCTAGGGTGGGGGTCTCCATGGAGGCAGCCCCGCCTGAGCTAGTGGGAGGCCTTGCTGGAGATTTCCGGGGTCCCATCCGGGTCCGGCGTTCTGTGACTTGGTGAAGTTTCCAGCAGTAGGGTTTTAGCGGACGCACAGGGGAGGTCTGTACCCTTCCCCTCTGTCACAGGTTGCCCCTCAGAACATCAGGCGGCCTTTAATCAAGGGGGAGGAGAGAGTCCTTGACAGAAGTCGCTGCCCGGGGGTGTTGGTGTCCTCATTCTTGGCTGTTGGGGTAGGCATCTGGGGCGGGGGGGGAGGGGGGTTCTGGCGGGGGTGGGGCTGGGACCAGCCAGTGGCAGCGTCAGGACGTTTGGTGTCCCCTCCTTCCCCGGGGCATCTCCACAAGTGAAGCCACCTTCACACTGGGACCCGAACCCGTCAAGCAGACGCCATTTTCCCTCCCTACGCAGAACCCGGGCCGCTGCCCCCGCCCTTCCCATCTGCTTGTGCCTGAGAGCACCTGGCGCTGAGGCCAGGATGCCAGTGATGCCAGCAGCCGCCTGCGAGAGTGTTTGCGTCTGTCCGAGCTCTCAGGGGACCTTGAGCCTCTTGCCACGGTCTCGCGAGAAACCTTAGAGATCAGAGCAAGGCGGACCTCAGAACCGCAGACTGAGATTCCCGAACTGTTAAGATACAGTGAGGTCTCCCCTAACGTGGTGGGTGGGATCTTTCAAGAATCTAGCTGCATTGGAATTGCCTGCGAATTGCCTCATGTGGTTCCTGGAACTGACCCGGGTGGTGGCAGGGGGAATGGGGGGCGCCGGTGCGCCTGGGGCACAGTTCTTGCCCCAGGACCCCACCATCCCCATCCAGCCGGCCTGGCTGCGCTTTGGCACCCCCTGGTGGTGGGTGTGCACTCTGGCTGAGATACGTGTGGGGCGCTTCAGGATCCGTGTCCCCCACCCTGTGACTCCGGATGCCCTGCGTGGCCGTGGGCCATTTCCCTGTGCCCCTCCTTGAAGACGGGCATTTTAGACCGCCCCTTCCTGAGAAGAGCAGAGGGCAGCGAGCCCGGTGGTGGAGGCCCGTCTCCAAGTGTGCGCACACCACTGCAGGGTTCGCTGTTGGTAGAGACGGGCCACTCAAGCCCTGTGAGTTTGATTTCTGCCCTTCCCTTTTGGGAACTGAGAGGAAATCCGAGGACGGCATTAAAATACGGGGGTTTATGTGATGTTGTGCTCAAGTGAAGCGAGGATTTGTCCGGTATAACCATTCCGTCTATGGCTCGCATGTCAAGAAATTTGTGGCATCGGTGACTTGGGGGGCAGATTCAGCCAGGGAGACAAATGTCACGAGAGCGCCTGGGCCTGTTGAAGAGATTCCCGGCACCCCGGGCTCCGATGCTGCCCCCCTGGCCCCCGTGTGCCCAGGTCTGCACTGGGAAGCCCCGTGCCGGTGTGCGCGCACTGACAGGTCAGCTGGCTCCTAGGCCTCATTGCTCACACCCCTCAGGGAATGTCTCAGCGTCCCCCTCCCTGTCACCCTGCGCATCTAGGCCTGGTTCTGGTAGTTTCCAAGGGTCTCATAATCCAGGCACTGGGGGCTTCACCCCTCTGTTTCTCATGCTCTCCCTGTCCCCCCGGGCCACCCTGCCCTGAACCGCCCCTGCCAGCCCCCGCCACGACGGCTTTCAGTGTCCTGGAGCCCAGTGCTTCCTGGTGAGACTTGTTCACGTGTGTGTCCCTAAGGGGAGAGCCGTCGCCGGCCAGAACAAGTCGCACATGCAGAGAGGCCCCCTCCTTCACAAAGGAGCTCCTGCAGCTCCGGGTGGACCCCAGCCGCCTCCTCTTCCCGCAGCCTCTCCTGGATGTACAAGGTACACGGAACTCTGGTCCCAGGCACTTGAGCCGATGGGCTGGCTCCTCCCCCTGGTCCCCAATTTCACAAATACAGCAACTTATGCCCCACACGAAAATTCTAGTTCCAGGAGAAGCAGCGTACCCTGTGTTTAGGGGCCATGGGTAGAATTGATGTCACCCTGAGCCGAATAGAAGCTTACATTTTACGTGTGCACCTCGTGAACTCATTGAGCGAATAATCATACATAATGTAGAGAGCGACATTGAGGGCCCTGTAACTTACCTGTGTGTTCGGAGCTTTGTTTTGTGTGACTGTCTGTGTAGCATTTATCGTCTGCTAATGAAGCGTGTAAGGTGCAGGACCTCAGTGTGTTAGACGTGGAGAGAAGCAAAATGGGTCCTTCCAAGCCCTTAGGCAAGAAAATCAGAATTAGAACATATTTATTTTGTTTTGTTTTTGAGCTGGGTGTGTGTGTGTGTGTGTGTGTGTGTGTGTGTGTGTGCGCGCGCGTGCGCAGCAGAATGACTTACAAAATCCTTATTTCATTTCTTCCCTTCTGGCCAGAGCGCTGTGTGCTATGGAACTCCCTTCCTGAGTCTCGGGGGCTGGGGCCGCCCTCCCCCAGCATCATCCAGTGGGAGGAAGTAGCAGCCACCTTGGGGAACCTGGCTTCCTGCCCCGTTAGTTCACATTTTGGGTGTTTGGTCATTTGTTTGCGACAGACAGAAAGCGACCGGTTTCTCACATTTGAGATTTCCTTTTTTAAAAAAACGAGGATCGTTGTAATTCCATCCCACGTGCAGAGGAAGCCAGGTCTGCCCGTGGCCGTGACTTAGTGACGGTGTCTGCAGTGCCAGAGACCTGTGCTCTCGGGCTCCAGCGTCGCCGTCCATCTGGGCGCGCTCCACCAGTGGGACAGAATCCTCCGGCGCGGGGGTTGCGGGAGAGGCCGGAGGACCCCACAGCCTCCCGCAGGACTCCCGTGCCCAGGACCCCCCCACCGTTGGCTGGAACACGCCCAGCAGGGGGCGCTCAGCACCCCCAAGGCCTCCTGTGCCTTGCAGAGCAGGATTAGGAGAATTTCCTTTTCCAAGAGTTTGTTCTCATGTGACTCCAGAATGTGCCTTCCCGTAACGTGTGCCCCGGCTGTCATTGCAGCTGCCCCCAGTGAATCTTGTCCTTTTCTGTACAGCGTTCCCGTGGTCGTGTGAAGACGGCCACCGTGTCCTTCCCCTCCCGCCCTGCAAACGCCAAGGGCCCAGCACGGCCAGGCCGACCCCAGACGGCCGCAAAACCCCTCGCCTTCCCAGAGCTGCTGCCGGGCCCTCGGGGCTTCCCTCACGGCTTCCCGGCCACCGGCCTTCCCAGTGCCCCGCGCTGGTTGAAGTGAGTGGCCCCGCATCGGGGCGGCCTCGCAGGTGCAGGGGGGCGGGGGCGGCTCCCACGCTAACGGCCGCCGTGTCCCTTGCAGGCTATCTCAACGTGCTCTCCAACAGCCGCTGGCGGGAGCGCTGGTGCCGGGTCAAGGACAACAAGCTCATTTTCCACAAGGACAGGACCGACCTCAAGACCCACATTGTCTCCATCCCCCTGCGCGGCTGTGACGTGATCCCGGGGTTGGACTCCAGGCACCCTCTGACCTTCCGGCTGCTTCGCAACGGACAGGAGGTCGCCGTGCTGGAGGTGAGGCGCTGCCCGTGGCCGCGCTCTGGGACCTGCCGCGTGCCTGTCCTCCCCGCTGGGTCTCCGCCATTGTGTCCTCTGTGCCCGCTGTGGGGGCCTCCTCTCCGGGCGGCGGTGGGCGGCATGAGCAGCCGGCGCCCACTCGTACTGCGCGGTGCAGGCCCCCGTCTCCGGACGCCGCCTCCTCCCTGTCCTCCGTGCATTTGCATGATTTACCGCACGGTTCCACACAGCGCCCTGCTTTTCATTGTGGCCAGAAAGCCACTCCTCTCTCCCCGAACGATGGACCACCTTTGAAACAATGATGTTTCTTTCACTTGCCCTTCGGAACGTTCTTTACAGACGGAACAGGTGTTTTTAGGTGACCTTATAGACGGCGGCTTGCGGGCCAGTTACGTACAAACCCCCAAAGAACACCCTGCTTTCCAGAGCCCCAGTCCCCGTGCCAGGGAACAGCTAAAACCCCAAAGGAGGAAACTGCCCTCAATGTAAACAAGGCTGGTCTCCTGTGGGGGCTGGGGAGGAGGCAAGGCAGGCACCTTCCCCATGTCCCCGCCATTAGTCACGTGCTTGCCATGCGGCACGTGTACTCGTCACTCTGTCCCTCAGCCGGTGGTGTTAGCTGATCCCTTGGGCAGGGGTCTGCAAGCCTTCCCCACTGCACAGTTACTGTGTTTTCATTTGTCTTTTTAAAATTTCCTTTTTTTTTTATTTTTAAAAAATTTTTAATGTTTATTTATTATTATTGACAGAGAGAGACAAAGTATGAGCCAGGGAGGGGCAGAGAGATGGAAACAGAATCTGAAACAGGCCCCAGGCTCTGAGCTGTCAGCACAGAGCCCAACGCGGGGCTCGAACCCACAAACCGTGAGATGAAGTCGGACGCTTAACCAACTGAGCCACCCAGGCGCCCCTTAAAAATTTTTTTTGAAGTTTATTTTTGAGAGACAGAGCATGAGTGAGGGAAGGGGAGAGAGAGAGGGAGACACAGAATCTGAAGCAGCTCCAGGCTCCGAGCTGTCAGCACGGAGCCCAACGCGGGTCTCGAACCCAAAGTTGGTGAGATCATGACCTGAGCCGAAGTCAGATGTTTAACCGACTGAGCCACCAGGCATCTCTCTCTTTGTCTTTAAAAGCTTCATGGGGGAAGTTACTTTGAGGCCATCTATGTAAATAGCCTGTGATCACTGAGAACTTCAGCTGCTAACTTAGGCACCCACTGAAGGTGCTTACCTGAGGCAGTCATTGTCATGGCAACGAAAGGAAGAGTCTGTAATTCCGTTATTCCTTCTGTGCTCAGTAGCTAGCGTCTCCTGTACGGAAAGTTCTCTCTTCCTCCCATTTAGTTCTTGATCCCTTTACGTATGTGTATCAGTGGGGATTTGTAGAATATTTGTTTTCCTCGGTGATTATAATGCTTTCTTGTGATTTACTTCGGTGAAGAAAATCCCACATTTGATCAGCAGAAGGCCCTTCAAGCTTCACCCCTGCGGCCTCTGCTGCATCCCTGTAACAAGGCACCATGGTCCCCACGTTCTTTGAGCACCTTCCTTAGGTTGTGACACAGTAAAATGCTCCAGGCTTGCCTGGCGCCTTCCCTTTGGCCCAGGCCTGGAACCAGCCATGTCTCTGAGCAGCTCCTTGTGGGTTCCCCCTGGTGGCGAGGGGAAGTAGGTGTGCGTGTGTGCATGTAGTGCACACGTGCACTGCATGCATTCCTGCACGTGTATGTGTTGTATACATGGTTAATATCTATCAGCGTGCATGTATACACGTACATGCATTCACACACCCACGATCATAACCAAAACCTCTAATTTCAGTCCAGCATCACAGGGTTATTTTTAAAAAGCCTACAAGAAAATTCTATGAAAGTAAACTTTGAGGAAAACCATGAATAAACCCAATGTTATTTTCTCAGTCACACGGTACCTGGCGGGTTCAAATACTTTCAGAAATGCTTAGATATGATAGCATCAATGTAGATTTAGTCATAGGTATTTTCTTAATATTGTTTGGGGATTTTGTTTGGGGAAGGACACATTTGGGATTTTATTTACCCAGGTATTCAAGTGAAGTCACTTTAACTCCCCAAACATTGAACATTGGTTACGTTCTCTCTTGGGGAGGCGCGTACCTCAAGTCCATTTGCTTTGTCCTGGGCCTCACGCCGTGCTGGCCCGGAGGGAGGGTCACTGCCAGCCAGTTTTATGAGCACACAGAAAATAGCTCCTCTCACGTTAACGGCTCTGGGAATATTTACAATTACGTGTATTCAGATCAGCATCCAACTTGTCAAACCTGTAAATATACAACCTCATTGGCTTTGAGTCTTGAAGCTAAACTTAGCACATCTTTCATGATAGTAAAATTTAGTCATTTTAATGAAAATAATTCTTTTCTTTCACAGTCTACTAATTTATGCGCTTAATAACTCAACATCCCCTAAACTTTTTAAAGATTGTATTTTGATTAATCAAATGCTTCGATACCATTATAAACGTAAAGCATCCGATTTCTAAATCACGCAATGAGGATGACTTAAATCCTTAATGAATAGGATCTTACAGATGTATTTCCGACTTGCAGATGCAGCGGATCAGATCTGGGGCGGGGACCGTTTCAAACATCGTAAAGGCACACCATGCGCAAAGCTGGGCGATGACTGTAAAATGTGATTACGCTTCTATAAAGTCATATGAACTTACCTACACTTATAAACTGGTACGAAAGTTAGTTGACTTTTTGTACCATCTTAGGAGAATTACGATCACCACTTCAGGCCCATTTAGGAGACCCCGACAAGGGCCGCGGGGGGACAGGGTTGGGACCCCTCAGAGGTGCAGACCGCGTGGACTCCCCAGGTGAGGCTGGCCGGGGCTGGCGGGGATTCCTTGTTCTGGCCAGATTTTGTGCCAGATAATGGCACTTTCTAGGCAGCTTCCTTGGGCTGAGATTTCACTCCCCATGGTAGTTTCCACACCACACGCCCGCTGCCCTTCTGCAGACAGGATGGCCCACAGGGCTCAGGTCCCGTCTCCTTGGGTGTAAATCCTCACATAACTTCTGGGGTCCGGGCTTGGTGTGCACACAGTGTGGGCCTGTCACTCGGGCCAGGACTGCGTCTCCGTCCTTCATACCCTTACATCTTCCTGTTCGTTCCCTCTTCTGCCTCTCCGGCTCTGCTGAGCTTGGAAAACGTGGACTTGTAACCATCGCTTAAGTAAATGAACGCATCTCCCCTCCCCCGCCAGGCGGCGTCCTCGGAGGACATGGGCAGGTGGATCGGGATTTTGCTGGCGGAGACCGGGTCCTCCACCGACCCTGGGGCCCTGCACTACGACTACATCGATGTGGAGACGTCCGCCCACGTCATTCAGACCGCCAAACAGACCTTCTGGTAAGATCCCCGTGAAGCAGCCAAAAGCCTAACTACGCTCTTCTGTCACGGAGTTTCATTCCTTGTGTGCACAGCCTGGGGGGAAGAAAACTAAAGACTCTCCCTTTGGCGTTACATTGATCCAAACTTTGCTGAACTTTTGTCATTTCCACCTTCCTGTCTTTCTGTTGTAGCAGAGTTCGGCAAACTTCTTTTGTCAAGGGCAAAAAGTATTTGCGGCTCTGCGGGCCGCGGTTCCTGAGTATTTGCAGCTCTGCGGGCCGCGGTCCCTGTTAAAACTCCCCGGCTCTGCCATCACAGCCACAGACCACGCACCACACAAGGGTGTGCTGTGTGCTGATCGAACTTCATTTGTAGGAACAGGCGGCGGGCCGGCTGTGGCCCGTGGGCCGTGGGACTCAGGGAACACATCTGTGGAACAAATAACTTACGTATTACATTAACCAGGGCGGAATTTTCAAAGTCATCAATCACGTATTTTTAAAACTTGAACTGTGATTTGATTTTTAAACAAACGCTCGTATGTATGAAAACATTCCTTTGAATCCTATTTCTGTAATGTAATGACCATGAAGATAATCTCAGCAGCACCTTTCAAGGGAAGGGCCCCAGACCCCTGAGGGCATTCAGGACTCCTGTCCGGCAGTCCCAGGGGTCAAGACTGGATTCCTAACACACTGGTGTGAAGCCTGTGTCCTGGGGCTGTGTCAGCGAGGTGCTGGGTAAGGAGAAGGGGACTCGGGCTCCTCCACAGCATTTACTAGGTGGAAATTCCGGCCAAGGGATCGGGTGCCTCAGCTCCCTCTGCAGAGCCCAGGCCCGGGGAGGCCGTATCCGGGGCTGCTTCTGGGCTCATGTCGCCAGCCCCTGGCGTGCTTCTGCTTCCCCTAGACAGTGTGTAGGGATGGAGGGTCTGCGCCTGGGGCCGAGGAGAGGTGGGTGGATACAGAGCATGTGGTGGAGTTCTGTCCTCGCCTGCGGTGATGAACAGGCCGCTGGTGGTCCCTGCCGGAGGCCCTGCGAGTGCAGATGAGCCCCGTGTCCTCGCCGACACTGGCCTCCCCACGAGCTCCCCTGTCTGCTTTTCCACACACATGGCGTCCGCGGGGAATTTGAGCCGCGTCCCTGTGGCCCTCGAGTGGCGCGGTGGAGTGAACTTTTACTGTTTGGCGGAGACATTTGGGGCAAAAGGCACCGTGCGCTCACATCGGGATCAAGCACACATTACCCTCAACTAAGGTGAATCAGCAGCTTTGGCAGCAGGAATTAATTTTTATACACCTTGTCCTGAAAATCTCCAGTGCCGCTTAGCGGTTTTCTAAAGCGCGGACCCCCCTGTTCTTGCCACTGTTGTTAGTGGGAAAGTCAGGTGCTGACATTGTCAAGTGCTGACTCTTCTGTTCGTAGTCATTATTTTTCCGCGATAACACCCTATCTTCGTCAACAGAACACACCTAAATTCCAGGGAGCCCCTCCTTATTCAGCACACGCAGCACTTGAAGCACATTTAATCAAGTGGCTTCTTATGAAACGTGCTATCAAACTGGGTTTTGCAGAATCTCCCCGTCTGGAGTGACATAAAAGAAAGGAGGTGATGGTTTTTAACTGCCTCTTCGGAACTTACTAGATTCTCACGCCTCTCCGAGTGCCCCTGTGACCTTGGCTGTAATCGCCAAAGTAACAACCCGTGTCCGACAAGCCCGGGGTGGCAGTGTTTCCCCCAGAGCAAAATTTGGCTTTCCGAGTGGGCGGAGTTTCCGAGTGGGCGGAGTTTCCGAGTGGGCGGAGTTTCGGAGTGGGTGGAGTATTAACCTACACCTAATGTGGGAAGGTCCCAGTTCTGAGAAAGGAATGTAGATTGCAGTATTGAAAACTCATTTATTAAAAAGTTGCGTTCAAGGGGCTTGTGGCCACAAGAATCTTTGCTGCCTCATTAAAATCATTATAGATGTTAGCAATAAAGTGTATTTTCGTTTGTCAGTTTGCTAGCAAAATATTCTTATACCTTCAGAGAAGATATTTAACAAGGAAATAATGGTCAGGATATAAACAACGGCAGCTCACCACTACAATAAATGACGTAGGATTAAATGAATTTTTGCTTTGATGCAAATGGCAGCTGGCTAATGAACGTTTTCAAGGTCTTCACGGAGGGGGGGGTCTGTGCGTTGGGTATGTCTGAGGGGAAAGGACAGTGACGTATTTGGGGAGGAGGGCAGCAGAAAGAAAAAATAGTCATTTAAATTCTCCCGGGAAAAGTAGAGTATTAGGAATATTAATAATGGTGAACAGTTGGGACCTGTCTTCCCACACCCTAGCCTCTCTCTAAATGAGATGTATAGACCGTATAATACAGGGGAAACGTTCTGAATTTTTTTCCCGAAACTGATTTCAAGTCAAGCTCCATTGGAGACGCATGAGGCAGCAGTCGTAGAGGCGGCAATGTGCGCAGAGGCCGCGGGTCAGGGTGGATGGAGTCAGGGCAAGGGGCAGGCCGGGAGGGGGCTGTGGTCTTGAATCACCTTCCCGTGAACCCTCAAAACAGGGATGCACCTTGCAGGTCTGGTGCTCAGTGAAATCAGCCAGATGCAAGAGGACACTGTCTGTCTGCCTCCACTCCTGGGGGGCTGGGGGGGGCGGTCCGGAGCAGACGGATCTATAGAGGCGGAAGGCAGATACTGGGCCCAGGGCCCGGGGGCAGGGCGGGGTGGGGGGTGAGGGTGACATGGGGACGGAGGATCAGGTGGGGAAGGTCCTCGGGCGGAGGGCCGTGCCAGCCGCCCAGCAGCATGAATGCACTCAGTGCCCCAGATCCGTACACTTGACAGTGGTAAGTGGAAGACCTTACGTGGTCTGCATTTTACACAATACATGTACTTGTGTGAGCATCTCACGTTTTTGAATCAGCAGGTAGCATGTGCTCTCTTATCTCATGTCCACTTTTGCATTTAGTTAAAATCCTTGTTGTGGAAAGAGCACCAGGCAGAAGACGGGGGCCTGGCACGCAGATGGGGCTCCCCTTTACAGCTTCGGGCTGGGAGACCTGGGGAGGGGGGCAGGTGCCTGTCCATAAGGCCCAGCCTCTTCCAGGAGGTCCATCCCGCACATCCATGACCTCTCCGTTCCCAGCTCCTGTCCTGCCCCTCCCGAGCCCCCTCCTTCCTGGCACGCACACTGCCACACACCAAGCGCTCGCTGGTCCCCGTGTGGGCGTTTCAGACACTTGGTCTGTGAGCAACCACGCCGGCTGTGCGTCCAGCCCTCACCGACCACCGGAGCACACGGCGCCTCAGCCGGCGATGCCCTCAGACGCGCCTCCTGTCTTGCAGCTTCATGAACAGGCGAGGCATCTCTGCCAGCCCGTACCTGGGGAGCACCTCCAACGGCTACGCCCACCCCAGCGGCACGGCGCTGCATTACGACGACGTCCCCTGCATCAACGGCTCGGTGAGTGCGCCCCTCGGACCAGGGTCCATGCTCGGCTGTGTCGGAGGTGGGGAGGTGCGGAGTCCTGTGATCGGGGACCCCGATTTCAGGCCAGGTACTAGAGGGCTTTTGGCGGTGCTCTGAGGCAGGAGGGAGCCTGCGTCCCCTCTATGATCTCAGTGTGCCTTCAGACAAGTAGGTAACCAGACGCTGGTGTCCTTCAGCGCCCATGTCACCGTGTCCCAGCACGGCCGAAAACACGAGCTGTAGGACGGCACCACAGGTCTGTCAAATCAGAGCCCAGTCTCGCCGCGACATAGCGGCCGCACCGCAGACGCAAGGCGTCTTCCCCCCGGTGGCCGTGGATCCCCGGGACACCTGGCCCCTGGTCCCCAGGAACATAGCAGAGATGCTCATAGACGCCCCATGTACCCGGGCCGCCTGCTCTGCACAACCACGGAGCACACTCGGCTCCCGTACGGGAGCAGCCCTCATCAGTAGGCTTTTACCGGCTCCAGATTCTTTGCTGAACAGCCGTCCCTGAGCACTGCCTGGGCCGGGCCCCGTGCCGTCCTCTGGGCCACTGGAGGGGAGGGGGCCCTCGAGAAACCACCTCAGCATGGGTCCCCCGGTATTGGCGTCTGTGTCAAGATCTATCTAAGAGGTCGGCACAGATTGTGTTGATTGTGTTTTTGCAGCCTTGGAAGGTATTTTAGATTTTTTTTCCTGATGTGTTGCCCACCCATCCTTCTCTCAGTACTTGGATGGACGTCCCCAATCAGTCCCCTCTTTTCCACTGTCATAAAACCCACGCCTGCCCGAGGCGGGCTCCAGGAGAGCGTGGCCTTCTTGAGGGAAGCGCGGGGGCCAGGCAAGGACTCCCGGAGCCCGGAAGGAGAAGCAAACTGGAAAGAAGGTTACTGTGGTCCTGGCCGGAGGTGGCCAGCCGGTTATGGAGGCAGCGATGTCCTGTGTCCCCGGGGTCTTGGATATCTTGCCCTGGGGGTCCCTCCCTCCACCCCCTCGGGCCTGTCCCGCACTTCCTGCAGGGGCCTGTCCACAGGCTCTGTACTGGGTTCCTGTCCACGCAGTCCCTCCTCCCTGCCTGCCCATCCCCTCTCCCTCCTTCCTGATTGGCCGCACGGCCCCCAGCGCCCAGGGTCTGCACTAGGGATTGAAGACGCAACGGAGGAGCCGTAGCCTCTGTCCCCCAGTGGCCTTCTGGTCCAGCGGGGCTGCAAGGGGGGTGGGGAGGAAGAGCAGAGCGGGGCTCGGGCCCGGCAGGTTCACACAAGCATTAGGCTCCGTGCTGGGATGTGGCTGAGGGGTAGGAGCAGAGCCGCGGTGCAGTCCCGTCTCTGCTGCGAGTCCCATCGGACAGCTTCCTGTCTGAGGCTGGGACCCTTGTCACCAGTCTCCAGGGTGTCAGCGGCCCCTGGTGCCCGCAATGGCCCGGCCCTCCTCCCTCGAACCCACGCACTTAGGGACGGCCGCGTGGTGGCCCCACGAGAGTGGGTCTCGGGCGGTCTCTCTGCCTCCCTGGGCACTGGCAGGGCGCAGTCCCCAGCCGTGCCCGCCGCCCTTTGCCCCGTGTCGGCAGCCTTGTCCCCAGTGGTAGCCCAGCCACCAAGCTCACTCGCACGCGGTGGCCGCTTCTCTGAGCCCTGGTCCCAGGCGCCGCCTGTGTTAGAGGGACAACACACACCTGTCTCTGGACCCTCTGCCCGAAGGCCCTTCCACGTCCCTCTCCCTTACCTTCCGCACCGAGGGGTTGGGCACCAGCACACCACCCCTCCCCCAGCCCCTTAGGTTTGGGTCCCGCAGGCTCAGCCCATCCCCCGGAAGGAGCTTTCCCTAGAGCATCCACAGCGTCATCTGACTCAGACATAAAAACCCACCCTTCTGGAAGGACTCTGCCTCTGGGAATCGTTTCCCACGTGTGTGCGGCACTGTTGACAACGTGAGGTCCCGGGTGCAGGATTCGTGGCTCTCGCTTTTTGAGGGCTTCCAGACCCCTCTCTCAACTGCCTCTACCTTCCAGGCCCCAGCACCAGGCCCTCCCTTGTGTGGACGGCTTCCTTCCTCGGTTTTACGAAGGTCATGCTTTCTGGCCCCAAACCTGACTTTTTGTCAGTGTATCGACTTTTTGTAGCGTGATCCGTGACCACTGGTGTCCCCCCCTGATGGCAGCACAGGATGGAAATGAGTCTCAAAAGGGATCTTCTGATGTGCTTTTAATCTAGAAACTTCTGTGGAGTATCTACAGTCTAAGTTCCATGTGACTTGATCCTTTGGCATTTGGGGAGGTGATGGTCCAGTCTAGAGTGTTCAGATAACCCCGGACAGCTGTGTGCCGGCTGTCGCGAAAGGGCCGCCAGCCCGGCCTGGTGCCCAGGGGCCGCAGCGTGTAGAGGGGTCCCCACAGCACAGAAATAGACCCATCAAAGTGGCTGCAAGAGACAGAAGCCCGCCTCCCGTGAGACTTCAGACTGTGGCTATTTTCGTGACAAAAGGCTGTAATTACAGCGTGCTGCCAGAGGGGTGTAAAAATAGCATAAAATGAGCACAACATAGGAATTAATATTTCTCTCTTTTTTTGAAAGTGCAAAGCAATTTGTCTCTGGCTGCGGTTGTGAGTCTGGGTTTACTTTACACTTCAGTGTCCACGGTCCAAAGTGGCCCATAGTTATTTCCATCCTTTATACGAAGCTTTCCTGCTAAAACAACACTGTTATATCCAGTATATTCTGAATTGCCCTCTTTTCTATGATAATCTGATTTCTTTCTTTCAACAGACTATTCTGGTCACCACGCTTTCTTCAGGCACGACAGAGTGTGGTACCCGGGTGCACGCTGGCCGTCACCCAGAGCACCCGAGCCGCTGAAGCGCGGGTGACAGACGGGCAGAGTCAGGAGGTGGTGTTCTCCCCGGGGCGCCTAGGGGCCCGGCTCTGCGACACAGCCCTGTGACCATTCTCTCTGCCACGGTCTCCTCCTGCATCTAGAGATTCCCCAGGGGAGACCTGGGGGTCAGCAATGTCAAAGCCCTTAAGCCACCATCAGGGCCATAGTAATTAATGTAAAATAAAGGGCTTTGCTGGGATCGCAAGGTGCTCCTGGGCCACAGCTCCAGGTTTCCGGGCCCCCGGGCCGGCACTCCTTTCCTTCTGTCGCATGGCTTCTGCCCTCTGGATCGGGACTTCCAAAATTGGGGTCTTTAAAGAAAAAAAAAGTCAAATCAGTTTTTTTTCCCGTCTGCTCTTAAAAACCAGAACAGAACAAAAACTTCCTAAGCCGGTCACCCCGGGAATGACCTTAAGGAACAAAGAAGCCCCTCCTGAGGCTCCCGCAGTAGAAAAGCTGTCCGCCTACGTGCGTGTGCCCGTGCACGCGCGTTCCTGATGACGGCGTGGGGCGCGCGCGTTTGTGGGGGGACTAACAATGTCTCAGTATTAAAATCTCTGCTTTCTGTGGCCGAGGGCACTAACGACGAGGCTGTGTGTTGCAGTGGGACCCTGACGACGGCCCTCCTGCTTCCCGTGCCGGAGGCTTGGGAGAAGAGGTGCTCTATGATAACGCGGTCCTGTACGATAACTTGCCATCTCCGAAAATCTTTGCGCGCTACCCGCCTGCTGACAGAAAGCCTTCTAGGCCGTCTGCCGACAGACTGTCCTGTAACCATTACAAATACCCTCCCTCCTGCGCTCAGTCTGCCACTAACACCTCTTCTCTGGGGAGGGCGCCTTCTGTCGGGCTCAGCTCCCAGGTACAGCATCTCCTTCCGTCCTGTTCTAGAATTGTCTGAACCGTGGGCCTCCTGCCAGGCGTTACCGGGGGCCTCCTGTGGGCCGTTGCAGCAGGAACGTAGCCCCCCGCTCGCAGCAGCCGAGCCCCCTCGAGGGTGAGGCGGGATTCTGTGCTCGACTAGAACAGAATTTGCGAGTGCAATCGACGCTTGGCTGCCCTGGAATGGATTAAACACTCCTAACCTGTTCGTGGCTTGTGCACTGTATCTCTTGGCCTAAATCTGGCTCTGTTTCTATTCTTGGAAAATTCCTCAGTGAATTTTGTGCATTACGTCGACTTAAGGCAGAGATTTCAAAAAAGGACAGGGACGACAGAACTTTCCAGAAGGTTCTTGTACTGCAGGCTTTTAAAAATACGTTCCCATTGCTTGTACATGAGGAACGCCGGACTCCAGGTACTAGTTGCATTTGGCCTTTAAACATTAAACAGACCTTTAGGCTAGAGTATTTTTCTGTAACGAGTCTGAAAGCATGCTGCCTAAAACGAGGTAGTAATGAGGATTTTGGATGATAACTGAATGATAAATAACCCTGATACTGAACTGCTGTCCGCTCTGTACCTCATAGTTACAGCAGACAGCAGCACTGCAGTGCGAATACTAACCTGGTGTGCTCGTGAATTCTCCGCCTAAGGATTTTCTGTGCTTTAGAGCCACAGCCTGAGAATACTCTGCGGACATAAAGCAGATGGGTTCACTTTAAATTCTTTTCGCTCCATTTTGGGGGTCACTGTAGGAAGCAGTGGCTGCCTGGCAAGGCCCCAGCAGCAGCCCTAACCCAAAATCTCAGGGAAGGTTGGTTGGTTTCGTATTTTTACTGACCGCCACTCAGATCTGTGAAGATATATACCCAGTGAACGTGTTATGTGTCCATGGACTTCCTTCCTCTTGTCGGTATAAAAGTTCTGTCGGGCGGAAATTGTGGGACACGTACGCCAGCTGGTACATTTGCTTTGTCCCCAGATTAGCCTGGAATGACTCTATACGTTGTTCCGATGTGCTTGTTTGTATTCATTTTTACTCCCTTAGAAGGTGGGAAACACGTTTGTAAGTGCAATAGTGGCACCTCTGGTTTCCCGTGCTGGTGGGGCCGTTACTGGAGAGCTTCCAGTTGCTGAGCGCCCGCAGAGCCCCACGTGTTGTGCACATGTCTGGCCCGTCACCTGACCTCTTGAGCACCCCTGTGGGGAGGACCCAGTATATTGATATTTTTTTAATGAGCAAATGGCAGCCCAGAACATTGTAGAGACTTGCTCAGCTTGTCCCACATCGTAGAGCCAGAGTTTGGAGCTCGGTGTGTCCGTCTCCCCGACTCCGGGCCCACCAAGGCAGCAAAGGCAGCGGTGTGGGAGGGCGGGGGTCTGGAGTGGACATTGGCCGCCAGGCCGGGTCGGTCGAGGACAATGTAAGGTCCGCGTGTGTCACTTCCGTGTGTCACGGAAGCAGAACCCAGCCTGTGGCGGCTGGCGGGGAAGGAGTACAGGTCCTGTTAGATCTTCACTAAGAACCGACCTGGCTCATGCTGGTCCCTTGTCGCTCCCCTTACTTCCGTCCTCTGGCCCCCTGGAGACTCAGAAGGTAGTTACCTGTCCCGGGAGGAGGTCAGGCAGCAGCAGAGCCCTTCACGCAGAAATGTAATGCTCGGCCCCACTGCTCCCCTAAGGAGCACCTCCGGACAGACCAGCCATTCAGTGTTAGGAGCACGGACTTGTAACCTCCACCGAGTGCTCTCGGATGCCCCGCGGCCTGGGCCAGCTTCTCAGTTAGCGTTTCTGATCGCCCAGTAGAAGCATGTGTGACTTTTACTGCACACGTTCAAGTTCCTTGCTGGCCTTGGACCTCAGCTGCAGACCCACCAAAGCCAGAGCAGGGAGACCCCAGCAGCTCAGGGTTCAGAAGGCAGCTGTTTTCCCGTGTGCGCCAGGGCACAGTAAAGAGTCAGACACTGAGACGACTTACTGGGAAAAAGAGGATTTTTATCGTTTGTTTTTAATCTTCTTCCATCTGTTTCGACAGCTGAAGGGTAAGAAGCCCCCGGCAGCCTCCAGTGGGGTCACGGGGAAGGGAAAGGCCGCGAGCAGTCAGCAAAGAAAAGCCGATTCAACAGCCAGTGTGAAGCGCACGCCTTCAAGTAAGTTTACCCCCCGGCCCTTGCTTCTGGGTTCAGGTGCGCTTTGCAGAGCTGCGGCTGTGAGAGCCATCTTCCAGGGACAGATGCCAGGTGTCAGGGTTTGGGGGCGGGGACTGGGGACTGCGTTTGCCGTCACCCTCCCGCCTGGCCGGATTGAAGACAGGGGACGGTCTCTAACTCAGCTTTTCTGAGAACGGTTTGCAGGGAACAGCAGCGCTGATATGTTAGGTACAGGCAGCCCTGGGCTTCCGGTCAGCAGACCTCGGCTTGTGTCCCCACGCTGTTGGTGACTCAATGACTCCCATCAAACCACACACATGCTCCATAAGCCCAGCCCCCTGTGCTGGTGGCGTGGACGAGTGGCTGCGGTGCATTTGTGGCGTCACTGATGTGCCCCGTGGGTCCCCAGGCACGAGAGCGACAGGAGGGTTCATACGGGACCCACGTTCCCGCTGTGCCTCTCGGTCTGCGAGCTGATGGCTGCGGTCCCAGCTAATGAGCCCGGCCGCTTTATCAGGGTGGGTGATGGCCACTGCCCCGCGGTGCGGACACGGCAATACTCTCCGAGACCGAGGGGCTCCGCCAACGGCTACGACTCTGAGCACCAGCATGCAGACTCCAAGTCTGCGGGGCCGAGCAGAGCAGAAGTAGGACATGGGTGAGGGGCTCTGCCCACCTGAGTGCCCGGTACCCCCCCCCCCCACCTGCTGGGAGGCTCTCCTTAGGCGACGGCGCTGCCCACGCCCGTGCATTTCCGCTTTGGCCCTGGCTGTGTCACGCCCCGACTCACTGGGCCAGCAGGGAGCACTCGCTCATCACGGCCCTCTGCCTGTTGCTGGGGTCGCACACACAAGGTAGGGTCGTTGCCACCCAGCTGCTCCAGTCTCTCGGGGAAGCTCTCGGGCAGATCTGCTGGGAAAGGGGTGCAGCTTAGCCTTTGACAAGGTTCCGGAGCCCCTGAGCGGTGTGGACGCCTCAGTGGGGGAGGATGGGAGTTAGACTCCGGTGACGGCTTGGGAAGTCGTGTCTGTGCTTTCTGGCTGTGGCTTGGTGTCGCTGGCTGGTAGACTGGCCTCCGTGTAGGTGACAGGGTGGCCCGCCGGCTCTGGTTAGCAGCCCCTTCCCCCTCCCAGGTGCTTTCAGAGCCCGACTTGCTGACCTCCTGTTTGCACCATGAGGCAGGTCGCAGTGTGAGAGAGCCGGGGATGGGGCGGCCGGCCTTCCCCTCGGCCACGTGCAAGGGCCAGCCTTGGAACTGACCACCAGCCCTGGGCTGCCTGCGCCCCGGGGGCTCCTGTCCTGTACGTCAGCTTCTCTGTACTTCCCTTCTCCTCACATGTGCGTTTCGAGCAGATAGTTCGGGAGCCGGTCGGACTAGGGCTTCCTCATCACCTTTTTTTTTTATGCTGGTTTCTTTTGACCTGGCAAATCTTACTTTCCTAATGTAATTGGGTATATTGATAGTCACTTAAGATCTTAGTGCTCTTCGTGTGTGGAGGGGCCTGGAAGAGGGGAATAGCTTGTGCCCTAGAGCCTTGTTACCCAGCACCCAGCCCTTCTGAGATCTCTGTCTTGATAGCCTTTCTCCCAGGGCCTGTGCTCGTTTCATTTCCTAGATGATTTATCCCTTTATTTTATGAGACCTTCTGCAGGGAATCTGTATTAACTTTGGTGACATCTAATGGTGACAAAAGAGAAAAATAATTGCATTCGGTGTTTTTGCTGAATTCAGCCAGTTGCATTACAGGCTGCACGGGGACCAAAAGATGTGGAAATGGACAGGTTATTGCCTATAGGTCTGCTGGGAAAGTGCCTCTGAGTAGAAGTAGGTGAACACGCTGGCCAGTGCTAGCAGCGCTTTAGTTTCAAATGGTTGAATTTGTTACCCCCTGCTGCGATCCTTTTAAGATCATGCCCTGTGTGTACGTTCTCTGTCTGTCTGTCCGTCCGTCCGTCCTAGGGAGGGGAGGTTGCCTGGGGACTGGAGATGTGCACCTGACTTCACAAACTCGGGGCTTCACTGCAGGATTCAGCGCATTCGGCCTTTGGGACACGGGCCGGACGGGCCCTGGGGACCCAGTTCTCACTGACAGTGATTGGGGCTGCCAGTGAGGGTCCACCCTGTCCCAGGTACTCGTGGTTCTGTTGGGGTGGGATTTAGGTATATTTATATCAAGTTCCGTTAAGCCTCCAGGAGGCCTGCCTTCTGCTCCGTAGGGGGTGAAGCGGAGACTCGCTGCCCACGTCGTAGTGGCCTCTGTGGCGTCACCCCACGCTCCTGGCCAGAATGGGGTGGCAGACACACGAGCCAATGATGGCAGTGCTGCGGGGGGTGAGGCGGCAGGTGCAGGGGTGCGGCTGGCCCGCAGGAGGGCTCTGAGGCGTCATCAGGTGTGGGTGGCAGCGGGAGGTCTGGAGTTGGTGACGCTTGACCACAATTGTGATCGTTTCTCCAAGTTATTATCATCGTGAGGCCACATAATTAGAGGGCAAGAGCTTGCGGCCGGGACGTTAATGCCGTATTAAGTAGCGGAGTGGCGTTGCCCACGTCTCCCACTAGCTTCCCTCAGGCCGGCTTCCTCTTCATTCCTTGGTTCGTTCGTTCATTCCTTCACTCATTCCTCTTACTTAATGAGCATTTAGCAAGGGTTCACTGTGCTCGTTCTGAGTGCTCCACACGTAGTGAGTGAGCCCTCTGACAGCCCTGGGAGTCACTGGGTCACAGGCGCGGGAGCCGAGGCATAGAGAGGCGAGGAGCCTTGGTCCACCTCGCGCAGCTGACACGGCGTGATGGGGTTCCAGCCAGCCTGTCAGGTCCAGGGCCCGCCGCGAGCAGACTCCCTGCGTTCCCGTCCCTTCCTTCCTTCGCTCGGTGGGTACCATGTGCTCGGTCCAGGTCCCCACCCCAGCACCGGGGACAGAGCTGCCGTCCCGCCCGCCACACTGCTGGACAGCGCAGTCACAGGGCTCAGACGTGCTGGTGTTACGGAAGTATTTGAAAAATACAGAGAAGTGCCCAAATCCAGTGGAGTAGGGGGTCCTGAGCCCCAGCCTTACGGAGGATTGTTACGTGCTGCAGAGGCAAGTGGGTTGAAAAATGTCCTCGTGTTCTGTTTGCATTCCCTTGACTCGACTCAGAGACTCCTGGGAAGCTACCGGAACTATTTGAACTTGTCCGGTTTCTACTCGAGTCCAGCTGGCCCCATTCTTTGTCTTACTGAACTAGCAAAACAGCTACATTAGTGTTTCTTTCACCGAGGTGGCCGATTTTGCATAGGCTCTATGAATTACCCTGTTATCTGCTTGGTTGAACCCGAGTTTCTTGTGTGTGTGTGCGTGTGTGTTTTTAAGATGCTGAGCAGTACAAATATGGCAAGAATCGTGTCGAGGCCGACGCGAAGCTGTTGCAGAGCAAAGAGGAGGAGCTGGTGAAGAGGAAGGAGGCCCTGAGGAATCGGCTGGCCCAGCTCCGGAAGGAGAGGAAGGATCTGAGGGCCGCCATCGAAGTGAACGCGGGTATGAGGGGGTGGCGCCGGCGGGGCCGCCTCCTGGGGCTTAGCGTGGACCTACCCCGGGACAGGAGCCATGACGGCGGGGGGGAGGCCACGGCCGCCCCGCAGCCCGCTCCCCTGCTCTCTGGCCGGGCGGCGCCAGGGGCTGTCCCCACCTTCGGGTGCTGCCGGCAGGGATGGTCTACAAGAGAAGTCCCCGGGACAAAGCGGTTTCGAGTCCTGTGTATGACGAAGCCGCTGGGGTTGTGCGCAGGGGAGCAGTGCGCGGGGACAGGGACGATGCAGGGGCCCAGGTGAGGGGTAGAAGAAGGAGCCCTCAGTGCCCCGAGAAGGGACAGCGTCTGAATTCTTGGAAGGGAACGGGGCCAGAGGCCAGGTTAGCTGAAACACCCCCAAAGGCCATTGTTGGGGAACCGGCTCAGGACCGGAGGGGTGTCTCTGGGCCGGCAGGTGGTTCTGGCTGTCAGGAACGAGGCCTGGGGGGTCGCGGTTGTGCGGCTGGGGCTGTTTGACGTGGGTCGCCACAGATCAAGACTGGTCCTTACCCTGGGGCAAGGCTCACGCTTTAGGTGTCGGCTTTGCTGGCCTCAGAGGGGGGCAGAGGGAAGGGGACGGAGGGAGGGAGGGGAGCAGAGGGAGAAGGCCGTGCAGAGGACCAGGAGGGTCCGGAGGGGAGACCCCTGCTTCCACGTGGCTCCCCTGCAGCGAGGCGCTCACGTACCTGCATGTGAAACAGTTAATCAGCAGGCAGCCTTTCCGGACTTTGTGCCTAGGTGAGTTTTGGGACAGGAAGTGCTTTTGGAGCTTAAAGACTGGGAAGTTGGGTGTCGGCTGAGCAAGTGAGAGATGAGCCGTGGGAGGGGCGGCCCCGGCCACGTGCCTGCGGGGAACTAAGCGCTAAGTCAGGGACCCGGGAAGGAGCCTCCAGGCCAACAACACAGAGGAGGAGCCCTTCCCTCCTTGTGTCAAGCTTGCAGGGCAGCCAGGATGCAGACAGGTTAGAGCAGCGCCCATGCCGCGAGCGCTAGGCCAGGGCCACGCTGGCGAGCCGGGTGCCCCCTTGGGACCCATTTCCTGCACGTCCAGTGGGTGTGTTACCGGCTGCCTTGTGTCAGTGGGACACGTTTCAGATAAACCGAGTCCGGTGAGTGCGCCTTGAAGCGACAGGCGCCTGTTCTGTGGGGGTGCGGGCCTTACTGTGGGTGCTCCGGGCGGAGAGGGCGCTCAGGAATAACAGGGCGGGGCCGTCGGGACGGGACGACCGCCAGACCCTTCAAGCCAGCCGCACCCCTGCAGGCAGCTGCTTTAAGTCCCGTGTGTTGAAGTGGGAATGCCGAGGCCTCAGCCCAGAATGCTGCTGGGGCTCCATTTGTGGGGCTCCAGGGCCACGGGCCCCCGGCTGCAGGGGAGCAGAGAGGCTGGAAAGGGTCACTGTTGTGGAGAACGGCTGAACTGGAGTTTTGTAGAAGGGACCCAACCCAGGTCAGGGCCGCTCAGTGCTGTGTGAGCTTGTGTGAGGGGCGGCAGTGTGTGTCACCTGTGGCCGGAGCGACAGCGTGTCCGTGGGCTTGTCCGTGGCCTTGCAGGCAGGAAGCCGCAGGCGGTTCTGGAAGGCAAGCTGAAGCGGCTGGAGGAGGAGTGCAAGCAGAAGGAGGCCGAGCGCGTCAACCTGGAGCTGGAGCTGACGGAGGTCAAGGAGAGCCTCAAGAAGGCCCTGGCCGGCGGGGTCACCCTGGGGCTGGCCATCGAGCCCAGATCAGGGACGTCGAGCCCACAGGTAGAGTCCACGCCAGCCCGGTGAGCACACAGCCGCGTGCTGGCTCCGGACGGTTCCCGCTGCGCCCCGAGCCCCTGGCCTCGCGTTTTCCCCTCTCGTGCGAGCACGGAGGACGCCCCGCCCCCCCCCCCTTCCCCGTCCCGTCACCACGGGACTCAGCTCTTTATCTCTTTCCAAACGTGTCCTGACCGGATTCCAGTTAGCTAGAAATCTCAGTCCCGTGTAGCAGGTTGTTACAAAGTACGTGCTGGGGCTCCCGCAGGTTTCAGGGGGCAGAACCCCTTCCAATCTGACAGGACGAGGGGAAGCACTTGGCAGACACGAATCAGGGCCTTCAGGGGCCTCCTGTTCACCCTGAGACCCACGGTCATGGACAAGTTACTGGTGTCCTTCCCGTGACTATCCCATCGGGTCCGGTGACCTGCAGACTCAAGTGTCACCACTTCCATTTCATGGTCGAGGAACGTGGGGCCCAGAGAAGTTATGTGACCCCCCCCCGTGCCCCCCCCCCCAGCACACGCGGCTAGCAGGCAGCCCTGAACTCGGTGCCTCCCAGCTCGCCCGCTCCCCTGGACTCCTTTCTGTCCCTCTTTCCAAACTAAAATGCGGAGCCCCGGTGAAGCCCCCCGCCCCTCCCCTCGGCGCTGGGGTGGCCGCGGGGAAGACTGATGTCTTCATAGATGTATGGCACTCCCCCTCTCCCTAGCGGTGACCCCGCACCCTCCAGGGGTCCCCTCTCTCTCTAGTGGGATCCTGTGCCCCTTTCCTGGGGTCCTCCCCCTTTTAGAAGTGACCCCACACCCCTCAGGGGCCCCCCTTCTCTAGTGAGATCTTGCATCTCCCCCAACAGGGGTCCCCATCTTGGCCCCCATTTATCAGCTCTTCGAGGCTCACAGAGCCAAGCCCGTCCTTGGGAAGGCTCAGGATGGGTCTGGTGGAGCCCCCCACCCGGCCCTCGGGGCCCGGCCGCCCCCTCTCTCGGGAAGGGTGGGGGGGGTTCTCCTTAGACCTCGAGTGCCGTCCCCCGTCCCGGCGCTGGCTGCTCTGTGCTCTGCCCGCCCACACCTTGTCTTGGGAATGCGGCTTGCAGGACGGATGTCCCAGGGGGCCCATCCCGGGCTGCCTCGTAGACCCAGCTTGGCCGCTCCAGGGAGAGATGGTGTGATTCTCTCTTTCTTGCCAACCATCCTGTCCCCCACTCCCTCCCAGCCAGTGTGGCCTTTAAAAGCATTTCCAAGTAAACCGGAACACGGGTAGGCTAGCTGCTTGGCCTCCAGGGTCAGTAGCCCCCATAGGGGGTTGTGAGTGACCCAATTCACTGGTGACGGGAGCAGTGTTCTCCCCAGCGGCGTGCCACGTGACCCATCCGGCCTGTGACATGTTACGCCGCCGTGCTCGGGGGCTTGGTCCTGGGCCCCTGTCGGGGCAGGCACCGCTCACTGCCACGCTCTTCCCCAAGGAGCAACCCATGGCTCGTGTGGGCGGCTGGGGGCTGCCAGCAGTTGAAGGCACGTTTGGTCACACGCTAAGCCTTCCAGGCAGGAGACGCCTTCCTTTGGTGTCTGTGAGCTGCACGGGCTGCAAAGGGTTGGGAGCCTCAGGATTATCTGGGCTGGGGTCCCTACAGTGAGCCCCAGCCTGCGTGACGTGCTCTGTGCAGCCCCCAGCCACGGTCACGGTGCCTTCCACCACCTGGTGGCACGCAGAGCTCTTTGAAGGTAAAAAACACTGTGCAAATGGCGAGGGATGCCCCCCCCCCAGCTCAAGCAGTCGTCCCCTCTGAAATGGTGTCCAGAAGGTGCTCTCAGAACTGGGGGCTGACCATGCAGGCCATTGTGGTTATCATTTTTGTCCATTTCCAAATCCTGTGTGCTTCCTTTAAAATGAGTAATTCTCAGGGGTGCCTGGGTGGCTCAGTCGGTTAAGCATCTCACTTCAGCTCAGGTCACGATCTCACAGTCTGTGGGTTCGAGCCCCGCGTCGGGCTCTGTGCTGACAGCTAGAGCCTGGAGCCTGCCTTAGATTCTGTGTCTCCCTCCCTCTCTGCCCCTCCCCTGCTTGTGTGCTCTGTTTCTCTCTCAAAAATAAACAGACATTAACAAATTTTAAAGGAACGGCTCTCTTGCCGGACATCGCTGCTGGAGAGCGAGTGGACTCACACGGGGCCTCCTCTCTGTGTTCAGTCTCCGGTTTTTAGGCACCGGACTCTGGAGAGCTCACCCATGTCCAGCTGCGAAACGAGCGACGCCGAGGGCCCGGTGCCGGTGAACAGCGCGGCCGTGCTGAGGAAGAGCCAGCCGCCCGGGAGCTCCCCTTGCCGCGGGCACGTGCTGCGGAAGGCCAAGGTGAGCTCCATCCTACGGCGAGAGGGCACCTGCCCCAGGGTGTGCCGGCCGCCGTGGGAGGGGCGGGGCGGGGCGGGGGGGGTCTGCAAGGGCCCTGCGGTTCTCCCCACAGCCAGGGCCTCCTTCAGGGTCAGCCTCCTTTTCAAGGGCCAGGAGCCCCAGAACCTCGCTCAGGGCGCCGCCAGCTGCTGTCCCTCACAGCGGCAGCTCCGGGTGGACCTGCTTCCTGGCTGGGGTGGAGGCGGAACCAGGTGACATCTGTGGTTCTCACCGAGGGCCCAGGCCCCCCCCCCCCCCCGCTGCCTTGCCAGTGGTGCTGGGGGCGCAGGGTGAAGGTCTGTGCCCGTCTGTGCCCTCCGGCCTCCCGCCCGGGATCGGCCCAGACAAGCCGGGATGCTAACCTTGAAACTCTCAGAAAATCTTAAATCCATTTATAGTTTATCAAAACGAACGGTTCTTGACGGCGGGAACTGCGCGCAGCATGCAGAGAAGTCGCGCTCAGAGTAATTACCTTAGTTCATCAGATGAGCGTGATCTGCTCTGACGCGTGTGGAGGCGGACGGCCTCCCTCCGCCGCCTCTGGGCCCTGTCGCTGTCATGACGTTGTTCTGTGGCCCGAACTGGCTAAAAATGCCGGTCTTCTCGGGGGGAGGGTGACAGCGAGAGCGTCGGGACCCGTGTCCTTCCTGGCACGCCCGCGACTGAAGCCCGCGTGCACCACTGAGTGTGAGGGGTGCTCCGGCTCGGCGCCTGTCCCCCTCTCAGCCCCCTGGCCTGGGAGCGAGCCGGCCAGTCCAGGCCCCCTAGTTGTTTGCAGATGAGCCGTGAAGTAAGAGTGCGACGTTTGTTTGGTTTCTCTCCCGTGGAAGAGATCAGATTCACCACGGAGCCGCCACAGGCCCCCCCAGCCATATGCCTGGGGGTGCTTGGCAGTCCCCAGCTTGGGGACGGACAGCAGCTCCTGCCACCTCTCCGTGACCTTGGCCGGTTCAGATGCACCGCGGCACGGAGGCTGGCCCAGGCCCACAGCGGGGAGCAGCTGTCCCTGCTCGCGGGTCCCTCACTCAGGGAGGGGGATCACACAGGGGTTTCCCAGGATCCCCGGGAGGCGACGGGAGCCTCACGGCTGGGGTCAGGGCCAGGGGCTCTGGGAACAGGAATCCACACTCAGGGACATCACACGCGTGCTCAGGCGCCCACCCCAGCCCCATTCTGAGGACCAGGGCGGTCAGTTCGCTCTGGGCGCGGAAGGTGTCAGCCCAGACAGCGCCCCTAGAGTGGCTTCCTGGTGCCCACGGGAACGTTCCGTGCACGAGAGGGCGTGCCCTCCGGAGCCCGGGTGGTGAGGGGCACCCATCATGGGCTTCCACCTCCAGGCCCGGTGCCCCCGGCGGCGCCCGACCTCTCCAGCGAGAGCCTGCGGGGCTGTGGCCCCCCTGCCCACCTTCTGATTTTGCGTGTCCGTGCAGCCCTCCCTGTCCCGCCTGGCTTTGGCCACCGTGACCTGCGCCTGGCGACGGCCTCGCCTTTGCTAAACTTGCCAGGGGTTCCTGTGGCAGCCTCTGGGGGTGACACGCCCACCTTCTCTCTAAGCCTGCACGGCCCTGGTCGTGAACGGGGGCGGGGGGCTCCTGGCTTTCACTGCGGACACCCGCCCACGTGGCCATCTCGGGCCGGTCCTCTGTCCGCACCTCCCGCCTGCTGGTGCCCACGCGTGGTCTGCTGGGAGCGGAGGGCGGCTCGGCTTTGCTCTAGTTCCTGACACGTTGGTTAATGCAGGACATTTAACTGTAATTAAGCTTTAACTGTTACCCCTGGGAAAGGTGAGAAGTTCCCGGATTCACGCGACGCGCACAGGTGCGCAGTGAACCAAGTGTGGTAGGGGGTCGGCGCACACGTCGGCCGGTGCTGCCCCCCCTGCTGGGCGCCCGGCCCCTCTCCCACACACCCCTTCTCCTCCCACCTTCCCGGCCGCCCTCGCCGTGGTCTGGTCCCCGGGTCGGATGGCCACTCTCCCCACGGTCCCCACGCTGCAGGCGGCCGGCTTCCCAGGGCGCAGCCGTGGCCCTCGGGCGCCGTGACCTGTGTCCTTCCTCTCGCCCACTCAGGAATGGGAGCTGAAGAACGGGACGTAGAGCGCGGCGGGACGCCCCCCCCCCGTGGCCGCAGCGCAGGACGCGGGCGTTCGTGACCGAGCTCCGGCGCCGCCCCGCGCACCCTGCTACTGAACACGTCCCCCTTACGGAAACCTCTGTGACGCGGTGGTCTCCACCTCCGCCTGTCAAAGGGCAGAGAGGACGGAGGAGCCGTGGGAAACGGGGAGCTGTGCCTCTTCACCGGGCTCCGCGTGCGCTTCCGCCGGGGCCCCCCAGACCCAGACCCGGGCCCCTCGCGGGAGAGCGGCCGGGGTCCCGGCGTCCCTCCCCACGCGCCCGTCCCCCCTCGTCACCAGAGGCGGGCGCGTGACGAGCCTGTGCTGTGAAGCATCTTTTACCTTTCGTTGTCTTTTTTTTCTGGACAAATGCTTTTGTCACCGTGACGTGAAAAGCTGCCATTCTTTGTAAACTAAAAAAAATTTCTCTCTCTATTGTGTGTTGCACTTAGCTCTAAGGGTCTTTCAGAGATTCTGTATCTTGTTTTATTAATTATTTGTACTGCTTCTGGAAGGCGGCGGAGTGTGTCTGCCGCCTCACTCACGCGCGCTCTTGTCCCCTTGCCCGGCGCCCGGGCCCTGCCTGCCACTCAGAGCCCGCAGGCGCCTCGTAGGATGGCAGCGAAACTTCCACGCGCAGGGGTCCGGCCCCGTGACGGGGAAGCAGGTTCTGGGCGCCGCTCCCCCCCCCCCCCCCCCCCGCAGAACCACAGATCCCGCCGCTCGCAGGCCCAGAGCTGGGGACCCCGGGCGGCCCCCTGCACCCGTGTGGCGTTTCCAAGAACCGGGCCATCTGCTCTGTCCCCAGAGGGACCCTCTCAGGAATCCTCAGTTAGGGGGGTGCAGCTACCGATGGATAAAAGTAGGTCACCCCAGGGCCCCCCTGCAGACAGATTCGGGGGCACGAGCCACACCGCAGCGCTGCGGGCCTTGATCCCGAGCGAGCTTCCCACCACGTACGGGAGCGGCGGGCAGGAAACGGCTCCCGTGCTTCCCCCCAGGCGCCGCCGCGGCCCGTCCCGAGACGGCCCGCAGCAGGGCGTGAGCTGGTGCGGGGCCCCCGTCGCACCGTAGCAGGCGGAGACTCCTCTCCTCGGCACCCGGCGCATTCGGCCCCCCTGGGAAATCAAGGGTGGGGGGGTGCCCCTGAGAGCTCAGGGCCCATCTTCCCCGCATGGCTGTTGTCTGTGGGAAGCTGGACCGCCTTGCCTTCCTTGTATGAAGCTGAGTTTCTGTAAGAGCAAAAAGTTTGATCCAGCGTAGATTTTTGCTGCCTTCTGGTCAAATACAGTTTCTCAGCGTAAGGCACTCGGGCCACTCTGCTCGATGGCTGGCTTTGCCCGAGACAGCTGCCAGGTTACGGCCATCAGGAGGGAAAGTGTGCAGCCTGCACACCCGACCACGGCCAGCACAGCTGGGGAGACCCCAGGCGGCACAAACCCTTCTCCCCATGACTTTGCCCAAGGACACAGCCCGTCGGAGCCAGAGGCGGGGCTGGGACCCGGACCCTGGGCCTCACGCTCCTGACATCCACAGCTGGTGTCTGAAACGGCCAGGCTTTTAATTCACCCTCATAGCCATGAGCCCTTTAAAGGGGACGCCAGGCCTAGGCAGGTCCTGCATTCTGCGGAGCCGTTTGTGGGGGTCGCGGGGGCAAGGTGCCGATACGGGGCTCCTTTGATGCTGTGCGTTCCCCTCGACATCTTTAGATTTGGTCAGAAAGTTAGGTGAAGGGATTTGCTTCAAAGTAAGTTATTTATTTGTATATGTTCAATAAATAGAGTTTTTAATTTATATCTGTACATATTAGACCCACATTAGCCATCTTGTCAGAATCCCCGACAGTGGTGTCATGTGACCGCCCTCCGAGGGCACCCTAGGGCCGCGTGGGTGCCAGTCACGTCCCGCTGGAGAAGTCACCTTCCCTTCCAGGCGTCACCAGACCCATGACGGACGGTCCTGTTCAGGGAATGATGACCAACCCGTAGCAGGGTCCTGACCCCGAGTGGGAGGGACGTGGTGGCCCCACAGATGGGGCCAGCTCTGTGGTGACCGGCCACTTCCCCGAGAAGCCACCCCATCAGCCCGGGGCTCTGCATCTGGTCAGATGTCATCCACCTTCAAAACGCCCTCCATTTTTATGTGTTCGTGATGTTTGAAAGTCGCTCACCAGCCTTTTGCACAGGAACAAAATGGCCACCTCTGGTGTGGGCACAGGTGGGCGGCCATTTTTCCTTTGTTCACAGTTCGTAGAGGGTCCAGCAAGGCCGACAAGCCAGCCACGCCCTTGCCAGGCTTCCAGATGGTTCTGCCACTGAGTAAACCGTCTGGGTCTGCGGTGCGGTCCAGAAGGGCGTGGAGCTTTCTGGAAACTTCTCTGGGTGACCGTTTATACGCCACGGCTTAAACCCGTCTTGTCCCCCCCACCCCCCACCACCTCGTTCATTTGCACACTTCGGTGTTGCCAAGCCTGATCTTCTTCCGCATGCATTTCACTGTCTGGTTCCCAGACGCCCCAAGCTACTCCGATGGTTTGGAGATTTGTCACCTTTTGCAAAGTGTGTTCCGAGCAGTGTGTACCCTCAGCCCTGAAGGCCGCGCCCAGGAGACCCAGACTCGTTTCAGCCACAGCACCAATCGGGAACCCGCGTGCAGGTTTGCAGGGGGACGGCTGTGAGCGTGGGCGGCCTGGGCGTTGCGGGCAGGACCCATTTGTGGTCATGTCTTCTCCATCCAGAAGGGGATGGCGGCCGTCCCTGCGGGTGCTCGGGCCGGAAGCCGCCTCCTGGCCGCACACCTGCCGGCCACGTCCTGTGACACGGCCTCCCGAGGGGCCCAGGTGGCGTCGCTCACACTGCTTGCTGTTTGCCTCCCTTTTTTCTCTCTACGATAAGTTTTTAGTGGGGGAAAAATTTCCAGTCTGTGGTGTCATTTTAAAGAGCGATTACTGTTTTGTTCCTGTTGTCGTCGCCGGCCCCTCGCTGTCCCCGGGGTGGGCCCGGCTGATACTGTGAATACGTGAAGGTGAAGGACACCGCGTGCGAGCGTGGGCTCAGCCGGTCCCGCGGGAGCGTCCCCGGGCAGCTCGTCCGGAGCGAAGGCACGCGGGCTGCATGCGCCCCGGGAGTCGCCGGGCCCGCGACCCCCCCGCCCCGTCTTTCGTGCCCCAGTTCTGGCTGCGATCTTCCGGAACAGGCCGCCTTCCCACAGCGGGCACGTGTCCCCCGCGTTCCGAGCCATCGCGTGGAAGGTGCTTTGAACATGGGATCGTCTGATGGTGATTTTTAGGGACCAAAGGTGTTTTTAATATTTGTATTTGATTTCTAGCAAGAAAACAGTGACTTTAAATTTTAACACCAGCTTTCACATTATATTTAGCATTAATTGACCACGGCTGTAAGTTGTAAAATGTTTTCATATTAAGATTGTAATTATTTCCTACTGTATTTTTTAAAACAACGAAAGTCCTATTTAAAATTCTCTTTGGAAAAAAAGAAACAAACGTCAAAGATTTTTTTAAATATGTCGCCGGTGCCCATTTTAAATGATTGTAAATATATTTTCATTGTATTTCTCAATGTATTTAATTCATACAGTAAGAACTTTTATCAATGGAAGCTTCCAACGGAGATACCGGTTTTCAGGCCTTTCGCTCCATATTGTAGTAAATCACTTGAATTTTCTGCTTTACTAACCGAGTTTTCTACTGTTGCGCACGGCGCAGCGCACGGACTGGCGCCCCGCGGCGTGCCTCATTCGCGTGTCCTCAATAAAGCTGTACGCGTCCAGCAGCCTCTGCGACTCGCTCACTCGGTTTGCAGAGCCCACGGCCGCGGGGGCGAGTCGTCCACGGTCTCCAGGTGGGAGAGGAGGGTGAGAGGGAGCGGGTAAGGCAGGAGGTGGGCGCCGCGCCGTGTTGCTGTGCCCTCGGGGGCTCGCTCTCGCACACAGCCGGCCAGTGCGGGGCTGCGTGGACATGTCCGGCATCTCGGGGGACGGTGCGGCGGCTTCGAGGCCGCCGGGAGGGTGTGCGGGAGGGTCGTGGCCTCTACGTAGTTCAGCGAGGAGCGAGGCGACAGCAGGGCAGAGGGTGGAGAGCGGGCGCAGGGGCGGCTCGGGCTAAGGTGGGGGCAGGCAGTGGAAGGTGAGTCTAACCAGCGGCTGGAGAGACTGGAGACCCCCCCCCCCCACGCCCTGTGCAGAAGAGGGAGCCCGAGGCAGGCTGGCAGCGTGTGGAGGTGGACGTGCACCCCGCGCCCCCCCGCGGGGCACCGGGGCCTCCCAGTCTGAGCCCACAGATGAAGTCAACAACCCCCCCCCACCCCCGCCCGCCACTGCCGGGTGCCCGGGTCCGCCCAGACCTCTCCTTGACCCGGACCTGCCAAGGGGCTTGGCCTGCACGGGCAGGAGGCGGCCCCAGCTGCCAGGCCGGCCTGTCCCCAGACAGGACGCGGAGGGGCCGCCCTTGGCAGGGAGGTGAGGGTGGCCCGCTGGGGCGAAGTCTGTGGGACATCTGGCTCAACAAGCAGGGAGACCCCGGGTCGAGGGGTGCGCTGGGGTCCCACCCCGGGTCGAGAGGTGCGCTGGGGTCCCACCCCGGGTCGGGGGGTGCGCTGGAGTGGGTGCACGAGTGTGTGTGTGGGACCCATGGACGTCCGGGTGACCAAGCGCCCACCCAGACCCACCCTTCTGGGTCCGGAGCCGTCCCGGGTGCCTCCTTGCCCCGAACCGTCTCCCCGTGGGGGTGGGGGCTGGTCACGTCACAGGTGGAGAAAGGCCCCTTTCGTTCCCAGCCGACTTAGACGGAGGGGGTCCCAGCGTGCCCCGACCCCGTGTAACCGCACGCGGGAGCCGGGGACCAAGCCGCTCCCCCGGGCAGTCTGTCCCCGGGAGGTTTGGTAGGTCCGTCGTGTTGGCCGAGCCCTTTCTCCGGGCTCAAGCACAGACGTCACGTCCCGGTGGGCTGCCAGGCGAACAGCAAGCGCCGCTTTAATTTCTTTTAAAACTCAGCTGGAGCCCCCAGGGGTCTTGCCTTTGCTCTTCAAAACCACAGGGACGACTCCGGATGGTCATTCGTGTGCAATTTTGGGGAGCAGGCGACACGAAGACTCCCCAGCGTCCGTCAGGAGCCCAGCTCCTTAACGGGAAGCAGGGAGAGCATCAGCGGATGCCTGTGATCCAGAACTTGCACGATGGAAACTTCATCAGTTTTATGACGCTGTTAAAAATGGCTGTCTTTTCGTACAAAGGGACCAAATCGCCAGGAAGTGGGATGAGAGGGAGGAGGGGGTGCCCTGGGGGCTCAGTTCCGGCCGGGCCTGACCCCCGGGAGGCCTGGGGCCGCACACAGCGAGGGCTGCCTGCTTCCTGCCCTCAGATGGCCGGCCTCGCCCCTGCACACGCACACTGCCCTCCCGAGGGGGTCGCCGCACGTGTCCCTGCGACGGCAGGCCGGCCGGGGCAGCTGCAGCGGTGGGGGTCCCCGCGCCCCGGGTGGCTGTGCCTCGTCCTCCCAGAGTCCCACGGGCCATGGGAGCAGGCACCCCACGGGGCCCCGCACATCTGGGCCCAACAGTTGCTGCTGCACAGGCTCCCCTGAGCGCCCTCTGGGTCGTACTGGGCGCCGCGGGCACAGAGACGGCTTCGCTCTGCTGCCACCCTGGGCCACGCAGGCGGTGACGCGCGGGGAGGGAGCGCAGGCGGGCCGACACGTCCTGTGCCCACGGCTGCGGTGGACACGGGCGGAGCGGGGGACGTGGACGACGGCGAGGGTCACGGTTCCCACGGAGCTTCGCTTCCTGGGCGGTTTGGGCAACAGTGAAACAAAAACAGAAACAGCCTCGAAAGGCGCCAGCATTGAGGCCGAGGGAGGCCAGGGCACAGGCAGGAGGGGCGTCATGGGAGAGGGCAGGGCGCGGCGGGGGGAGCGCAGCCCACGGGGGGCCCTCCAGCCAGAGGGGGGTGGGCGGCGCCGTGCTTTCACCTGCTGGTCAGAGGAGACTCAGTCCAGCTTTGGCGACTACTGGGTCCCCGAGCAGGAAGTGGGGCGGTCAGCACCCCGTCGCCGTCAAGGAGCCCACAGCCGCGCCCGCGGAAGGGAAGACACGGTCCCCCCCACAAGCCGCCAGGGCTGAGCAGACCTCTCCCAGAGCCCCCGGGCTGACGTCTCTGAATTGCTCCCACCATGGGGTCCGCCCAAGGCTCCCCTGAAAGGGGGCTCCGGCACGTGCCGGATGCAAGGGGGTCCTGCTGGGTGGGGGGCTGCAAGCATGCGGGGCAGGGCGGCCGGAAAGGAGTTTCTGGTGGGGCTGGAAGGCACTGGAAGGTTCCAGGCAGGGAAGGGCAAGTCTCCAGCTCTGACGACTGTGCCATGCAGAACTGGCCACAGGAGGTGGCAGAGGCCGCAGGGAGGCCAGCCGGATGCACACACGACGCGTCTGTGTCCCCTACCCTCCCCGCCTGCGGGTGGGCGTCCCCCACGTTGCAGGGTCAGCCCGTCTTCTCGGGAAGTCTGAGGGTCCCCACGGCTGCCATGTGTGAGCTTCACGGTGGGACGAGGGTGAAGTCATGTGGGAACCAGACCAACTGCTGCATGCTAGGCAGGGGGTCCTGGGGGCCGGGGGGTCGGGGGACCGGGGGAGGTGGTGGGGTCAGGGGACCCCGGGGGTCCTGGGGGGGGTCAGGGGTCCCAGGAGGCTAGGGAGGGTTTGGGAGGTCCCAGGGGTCCAGAGGGGGTAAGGGGTCCCAGGGGGTGCCAGGGAAGTCGGGTCCTGGGCGGGGGGCTGGGGGTGTCAGGGGTCCCCAGGGGGCCGGGGGTGGGTTGGGGTCCTGGGGAGGCAGGGGGGCGGTGGGGCAGCAGCGCAGGGAGCAGGAGACAGAGCTGAGACGCGGGTCAGGCAGCTCCCTCCCCCACCTCTTCCGTCTGCCCCGCCCATGTCCGGCAAGTCCATCTAGACACTGATCTAGAATGTTCCACCACGTTTCAGCTATGCGTCTCCTGAGAACCTGTGTCCTTCCCATTCCTGGGGGCGGGCCCAGAGCTCGCTGTCCCTGTAGGAACTCTTCCCCCCACGGGAGCCTTGGGCCCCCCATCCCACCGCGTGCGGGGGCGCCGTGGGGAGCCACCGTCGGCGCTGATGAAACCGTAGAAGGCGCCCGAGCGGCAGGCCCTCACCCCTTCCCGCCCACCTTGTGACCCAGGAGGCTGCTCTGTTGACAGGGGTGTGTGGGGAGGTGCCGTCGCTCCTGCCCTGCCCCCGGTGTGCCCCCCACCTCCATCTCAGGAGCAGTGTACCCAGGACGACCCGGGGACCCCTCTCAACCCGGGGACCTCATGGTGTCATCCCCCCCCCCAGGCCCGTGGCTTTCGAGTCGCGTCCCTCTGGGTGTGGCTCTCCCACGGTTGCTCGTAAACACGTCCCCAGGGCTGGGGGCTCCCGAGGGGCACCCCGCTTCTGGATCTCTGCCGCCTGGTGCGGGGCTTGGCCTGGAGAAGCCGTTCAGAGACACCGCTGTGACAATGGTGCGGTGGCTGGTGACAATGACAGCCACACTCGTCCCGCTCTTGTCTGCGCTAGTCAACCCCGGGCTCGGCCGCCTGCCTCACGCACCTCGAGGAGCGGGTGCGGCCCGTCCTGAGCCCCTGAGGCTTTGCTGGAGCTGAACCCCCTTCTGCGCGGGTCCTGTTCTCCCCAGGACAGACGCCCCTGGGCGCGAATCATTCGTTCCTCTCACTCATTCCCCAGCTGGTGAGCACCCAGGGCGTCCAGGCCCTGCAGGCGGGGTGTGTGGGCCTCTCCATCATCCTGGACCCTCCCTCCACTCTTGAGGCAGAAGAGGGTGGTTGGCCCAGGGAACATTCCAGAAGGTGGCTAGTGGCTGCTGCTTGCAAGTCAGAGCTGAGGATAGGGGCTGTCTCCGCTCAGCCCTGTCCCCGAATTCCATGGAGCTAATGGGACCCCGGCTGCAGGGTCTGGGTGGCAGCTGGAACCTTCCAGGGACACGCGGGCCTGGCCTGTGCAGTGAGACGTGCACTGAGAATAACCAATCTCCGTGTCCCCAGGACCAAAGTGCGTGGACGGAACCAAACAAGTGCACTCGAGATGGGGGGGGGAGGGGTGTTACCAGGGTCCTCACCCCTCCCAGAGCTGCACGGGCCGCCCCCCCAGGACCCCATGTACCCGGGGCGCTGCAGCCCCTTGACCGAGTCTGAAATGCACGTTTCCACCTAACGCCCCAGTCGTACCTGCAGCAGAGACGCGCACTAGGAAGAGAAAGGTTCTCACCCTGGGGGGTCCGCGGACATCGGCTCCAACCCGAGGCGCATTCCCGGGGACCCCAAGGCCATGAGGCCACCAGCCAGTGCGGGGTGTATGGCGAGAGGTTATGGGTGGAGGAGGAGCCCCAGCCCGAGTCGCTCAGTGCGCCTGGTGTTACCGAGCCCTCCCCGTGATGGTCCCTGAGTCCCGCGCGCGTGGGAGGAAGGGCCCCGGGAGCCCCTTCCTGCTGAGATGGTAAACCTGGGCCATCCGAGTGGCTGCGACAACCGCCACCACGCAGGACCTGGAGGCTGCGGCCCGGGACGCCGACCACACCTCCACCCCCTCCTTCCGGTGGGCGACGGGCAGGCCCGCGAGGAGGGCGGGACACACGTGGCTGCCGTGGCATGTGGCCACTTGCTTTACGAGAATGAACACAGCTGCCAGCGCCCCGGGGGGGGGGGCCCTCCCGTTCTGCCCGCACAAGCGCAGGCCACGGCGAGCGAGCCCCTCGGCCTGGCGGGGACGGCAGCCCCCCTGCCCGGGCGAACCGGCCACCGTTTCCGTCCCCGGGGCGCCCGTCCACGCCGAGGGGGCCGCTGAGGAGAAAGCACCCGGTTCTCCAGGACCTTTGGTGAGACACGCACGTGCCACACCCCAAGTTCCGTGGCCGCCGGGTCCTAATCCTCTCGTGAGACGTTCCTCAGAGGGCGCGGCGGCCGCGGGCGCTGCCGTGAAGATCTCAGCTGCGGCCCCGAAGAGGGCGGCTGTCCCGAACTTGACCAGACCCTGGGGACCCTCCGGAAATCCCAGCACCGACCTCGCCGGGAGCGGCCGGGAAAACGGCTCCCGGGGCTCTCCCGGAGGGCCCCCCCCCCCCCCCCCCCCCCCGCCGGCCCTCGTCGGCCACACGAGTGCCTCGTGTCTGGTCTGGCACGTGCGTCTTGCGTCTCTGCGTCTCCTTGACCTTGCAGAGGGGACCTCAGCGCTGCCGGGTGACAGCAGACAATGGAGCGTCAGGGCAGCAGAGCACAGACACGGGGGCGCCCCGGGTCGGGACACTGACGCAGAGGTCGGGGGAGCCAGCCGAGCGGCGGCACCTCATCCCCGCAGCCGCCTGGGTTTCGGGCAGGTGCGCGGGGACGTTTCACTTCTGCTCTACATTTTTTTCTGAGTTTTTTTTTTTTTTTAATGTTTTATTTATTTCTGAGAGAGCGAGAGAGAGAGACAGCGTGAGCAGGGGAGGGTCAGAGAGAGAGGGAGTCACAGACTGAAACAGGCTCCAGGCTCTGAGCTGGCAGTCAGCACAGAGCCCGACGCGGGGCCCGAACCCACGAACCGCGAGATCATGACCTGAGCGGAAGCCGGCTGTTCACCCGACTGAGCCCCCAGGCGCCCCCACTTCTGCTCTACTTCACGTCCACGTTTACTTAGGCGACAGAGGCTCCCACGGCCCTTTCGCGCTGGACAACCACCCGCTGCCGTTGAGCCCCACTGGTTGACACTCAGATCCAGAACTTTCTTCTAGCTCCTTGACGACTGAAAGCCAGCCGGGCTGAGCCGCGGCCGGACCCCTGGCGACGCTGGTCTCCCCTCCCCTGGGCCACGTGCCTGCGAGCCACGCGTGAGGGACAAGCCCCCTCAAGCCTCCTGGTCAGGACGTGACCCCCCACCCTTCCAGCTCAGAAATGTGTGCATGGGGCGCCCGGGTGGCTCAGTCGGTTAAGCGTCCGACTTTCGCTCAGGTCATGATCTCGCGGTTCGTGGGTTCAGGCCCCGCGTCGGGCTCTGTGCTGACTGCCAGCTCGGAGCCTGGAGCCTGTTTCAGTCTGTGACTCCCTCTCTCTCTGACCCTCCCCTGCTCACGCTGTCTCTCTCTCTCTCTCTCTCCTAGAAATAAATAAAACATTTAAAAAAAAAAAAAAAAAGAAATGTGTGCGGACCCACCGCCCAGGGGCCTCCGCGGCCCTTCTGATCTGCTCACTCGGGGTTTTTCAGCTCAGTTTGTGCTGACCCCCCCCCCCCCCCCCCCGCCCCGCGCGCTCACAGCGTCTCTCACGTGACTTTATTCTCTCCATTCCCCGTGCCTTTGTTACCTGTTACAGACCCTCGACCGTCACCATCAAGGGTCACCGCTCGCTGCCCCCGGTGCGAGTTCTGGTCTCCACTGACCTGCCTGAGCGCCTGATCCCGGCGCCTTCTCTCTGAACCCACAGGGCAGCCTTCCCCCCGCCTCGGCTGGGCCGTCCGCCCGGCTCTCCCTTCCAGGTACTCCTTCTTGAGGGAGGAGTGCTCCCTCCAGACCAGGCGCTTCCCGGTTCGCGAGCCGAGTCCCGGCTCCCCCCACCCGCCCCCCCGATAGGCGGAGCCCCAGACAGATCACCCCCAGGACTGAGGCAGGGTCCTCTCTGATCCCCACACTCTGGCGTTAAGGCTGCAACACAAAGGTTTACTTCTGCATCATCATCAGCCTTCTGTGGCTGCTCTCTGTCCCCAGTGTAGGGACGAATAGTGGCCCCAACTCTGGCTTGGGGGGAGGGGAGGGGAGCATGTGACTCATGACCAGGAAGTGAGCTACAGGGATTCCCTCTGGGAATGGCCATGTGACCCGATCAGCACCTCTAGACTTTAGGAGACGAAGATGCGAAGTCTGGAGCTCCTGCAGCCATTTTGTGACCTGAGGACAATGTTGTCTGTGTCCCGACACCTGCGCAGTGGAAAGTGGCTGGGAGAAACAGCCACACCAGAAGTTTTCCACAGAACTCTGTGACTCAGATCCCCAGTGGAGCCTCCTCACTGCTAGGAATTTTACGACCTTGCTCGGCGAATCCACTTTCTCACTCTCCCGGATGACAGTTTCACCCCTTCTCCTGCTTCCCTGAGCCCCCTTTTCCCGCCTCACTTATTCCCTGCAAACACAGAGCAGGTGGAAGGGGAGCTGCAAAGCCCGGTGCCGCTGTGCCTCCTGGTCCCGCCGGTGCCGGCCCTCCGCTCAGACTTGGGAACGGCCCTGCCATCACCGCCCCGACACACCGTCCGTCTCCCCTGCTCCCCTTGCTCTTTCCCATCCTCACGTCTTCAGGAAGCGTCCCCCACCCTCACTCTGCACACAGCTGCCGTCCCGATTCTCCACGGAGTCCCCAGAAAATTCCAGAAACTTTACTATAGACACCGGCTGTCTAGCTCCTCGCCTTGGGTGATTTCCTCGCAGGCACGTGTCCTCGCGCCGCCGAGAAGCCCTCCGTCTGGCCGCTGGCACTGGCCGTGGCCCGCCCGCGCCCTCTCTGCAGGAGCTGTGTGGTCACGCAGGCTGGCGGCTCCCAGGGATGCCCGCTGGGGGCGGACGCGGCTTCTGTGGCCTTGCGGCCCTTGGCCGGGGGTGGGGCTGCTGGGGGCGGGGTTTGTGGAACCTACCTGGGGGCTGTCATTACTGCGCTCACTTTGTCCCCGTCACCCTCTGACGCGTCCGCGGCCAGAATGCTGTCGGATTGTGAGCGGAGCTGAGCGTCTGGGCCATAACCATGTGAGCTGCTGACGGCGCGAACGACCCTGTTTCCCAGCCCCGAGCCAGGGCGCGTTCTAGAATGAGTGCCGGAGGGCTGAGGGCCGAGCCGGAACGGGCTGTGGTTAACCATCCACTACAGCGCCCGCCCTGCGTGTGCCGGCGGGTTACGGGCTGCGCCCTTGGCGCCTGGAGCGAGTCTGAGCTCACTGGGCCGCAGGAGCCACCGTGTCTCGCGGGCAGCAGGTGGTCACAGCAGTGAGGTGTCTGGAAGCCAGCGGGTCCCCCAGGAGACACGGGGGCTGTGCCGGGCGTGGGGCCGCGGCTGCCAGCCTGGGGGTACCGGCCTGTGGGGACCAGAGCGCTTGGCGAGCCTTCCAGCAAACCGTGGCTCCTGGGGCGTCTGTGTGTCTGAGGCACGTTGGGGTGCGCAGGGGTGGCGCTGTGGCTGCCAGGGTCCCCCCCCCTGCATAAGCAGGCGGTGCCCTGGGAACCAAGCTCTGGGGGGGGGTGCCTCCCTGCCCCGCGGCCCACAGCCTGACCTCAGGGCCACCCCCGTGGCCATCGCCCCGCCGTCCTGTGGAGGCGTCCTTTCTTGAAGCGCCCATGACGCCGGGGGTGCGAGCTCGCCGTGTTTGAGGCGCCTGCGCCCGGGCAAAGCAAGGGAGTAGGGTTGCCAGGTCCCCGCCTGTGCCCTGCTCTGCTGCCCGGACGCAGCCTCAGCCTCGCTGCCTTCTGGAAACGGGCTGTGGCCACGGGGCAGGAAGCTGGGGCAGGTTTCCACGTCTCTGAAAGGAAGGGCGTCGAAGGAGGGCAGGTCCGGCCTCTGGGCCCCTCAGAGACAAGCCAGATGGCACTTTAGGGGATGAAGAGACAGGGGCACCTGCGTGGCTGTCGGTTAGGCATCCGACTTCGGCTCAGGTCATGATCTCACGGTTTGTGGGTTCGAGCCCCACGGCGGGCTCTGTGCTGACAGCTCAGAGCCTGGAGCTGCTTCGGATTCTGTCTCCCTCTCTCGGCCCCTCCCCCCTCCCCTGCTCACACTCTCTCAAAAATGAATTTAAAAAAAAAATAGACAGACGGTTGGCCCAGTCGTGTGCTCTGTTGTGCTGTCCACCTCCTGGCTCTCAACCTCCCTGGGCCTCTGCTCCCCATCTGGCAAATGGGCTGATGCTTCCAGGCCCTTCTGACGGCCTTGAACTCTGTGTGTAAGGACCTTAAACGCTGCCGGGGAGAATCGTTGCTTAGCAGGCGGCGTGATCCTAATCCAGTGACCGAGAAGGTTACGGTCATCTCCACCTGCCCCAGCGTTAGGGACCGTCCCTGGCCCCTCTCCCGGGGCCCCGAGACCACAATTCTAGCAGCCTGGGTGTGTGTTCAGGGAAGAGTTGAATAACAGCTTCATAATAAGGCAAAGGCTGATTACATTCATTTAATATGTTAAAAGCATCACAAATGATTTATTGATTTTTAAAAAGGAAAAATAAGAAAGAATTTTTCGCATCCTTGTTACGTTATGTCCCAAGTATGGGCACAGCCCAGACCGCACCTCCCCCAGGCGCCCGGCCGCACACACCTGTGCAGCAAATTCGTGGAACCGCAATGTATAACCCGGGAACCCACAGACCTACTTGCGGATCTATATGGTTATGGGGATGGAAAAGTATACGGTTATGTCAGATGCCGCCTTATCCCCAGGCTCTGGGGTCCACACTCTCAAAATACTCTGAATAGAAAGAATAACATAAAATACAAGAAAAACACAAATAACTAAGGGGAACAAAAACCTGACCCAAACAGCAGAGAGAATGAAGGTGAGTGGTCAAGGAAGGTCAGAGGGGTAGTCACCTGCAGGCACTGGTGAGCTAGGCGGGGGGAACTGTGTCCAGGGGACTCATGCTGACCTTGACCTTGGCTCTGGGTGGTGCTGACAGGTGTCTGACCCTGTGTTTCTGATGCTCAATGGGGCGGGCAGGGTGGGGGTGGCCGGTGGGACACAGGGCTCCCTAAGGTGTGTCTGAAGGCTGCAAACAGGCTGGGGGGGGGTGGTGGCAAACGTCCAGAGAGTCCCAGCCGGGGATCCCACACCCCCTGTCCCTGGGCTCCAGCCCTTCCCCAGGGTGACCTTGGGGGGGAGGGCTCAGGAGCCCCAGCAGGTGGGCAGGCGGCCTGGGGAGAAGGATGCCCCCACCACCTGGTGGGTGACACACAGGGACCCCTTCCTCCTCGTGGTCCCAAAGACCCTATTTGTGACACACAAAGACTGAGGGACTCCTGTGTGTGGGGGGGGCTGTTGTGGGTGTGAGGGCTCATCTGGGGGTCTCCCCTGCCCCCCAGGCTTCAGTCTGCACTCAACACCAGCCAGTGAGCTGCTAGCCCGGGCCCTGGGGTCCCCACCTCCTAGGGGAGGACCCTGGGCGGCCGAGAGCCCTGCCTGGGACGGAAGCTGGGGGCAGGGATGAGGAGGGCGGGATTGGAGAGGGTGGAGGAGGGAGAATAAAGGAGCGGGGGAGGGCTGGAGGGAGGAGAATACTGACTTCCGGTTTCAAGGCAAAAGGTGAACCCCCCACCCCCACCCCATATATTCACACGTAGACTTCGGCTAGTCCCTGATTCTAGGCATCTGTGACTGAGTGGACTCACTGCACCGGGGCACAGAGGGCTGGTCCCTGGGGCACCTCTGCCACTGTCTTGCTGTGTGACTTTGGTAAAGTCACCCCCTCTGGGCCTCAATTTCTCCATCTTCAAAATGAAGGAGGGGCACACTCCTAGGGGGCCCCTTCAGTTCTGCCATCTGGAAACCTCTTCTGGTCCCCGGCTCCTACCCGGGTTCGCCCAGCTGTAAGGAAGCACGGGGCCCTCCTTCTCCCGGGGGCCCCCCCCGCCAGGCCCCGGGCCGAGGGGAGGCAGAGACCCCGGCGGGGAGGGGGCGGGGCAGGGAGCCTGCGGAGCCTGCCACCTGCTGGCTGGCTGCAGAAGTGCAGGCCCCGGGCCCCAGGGGGCAAAGCCGTCAGAGCATCTGTCCCTCTGGACCCCCGGGGCGGGGGATGGAGGCAGAGGGGCCGAGCTGGCCACTAAAAGAAGGGACCCGAGAAGGGGGGCTCTGACAAAGCAACCCAGATGGCTGCAGCCTGACCACAGAGCGAAAAGCTGAACCCCCACCCCCGGAACGCAAACGGCTACCTAAAGAGGTATTTACATTATCTGCAGTTTAGAAAGAGGCGGACAGCGGAGCGTTAGGAGGCCGGGGCAGGGGTGGGGTCTGGGTCACAGGCTTTCTGGACTGTGCAGGGGCGGCCCCCGCAGAGGGAGGCCATGCAGGTAGGAGCCGCCCTCCTCGGGGTTATGAAGACAGACAGCAGGGCTCCGGGGTCCCCGTGCGGGGACAGGGGCCCCCGGGGCAGAGTGACGGGCATCGCACCTCCCCGTCTCCAGGGTGGCCGGGCCTCGGGGCGTGGAGCCGCCGGAGCAGCCACGCGGGGTCCGGGGACAGAGAAGTGCCCAGTCGGGCTGGGAGCGGCAGGTGGCGCCGTGGGCCGGGTGTCCGGGGGGTCGGGGGTCCGGCCCCCCCGTGCGGGCGTGAGCTGAGGGGAGGGGGCATCTGTCGCTGGAGGAGGCGGCGCGCCCGCAGGTCTCTGAGGGGCCGCGGGTCCCAGCACCGGCGCGGAGGAGCGTGTCCGGGGCGCGGGCCGCAGGGGACATCAGCTCACCAGGTAGCTGTGCATCTCTCGGGAGTTGATGCTCAGGACCACGCCAGAGTGGTTCCCTGGGAAGCAGACACGGCACCCGTGAGCACGCCCCCGCCCCTGCAGAGGGCGCGGGGGGCCTGCGGGGCCTCCATGCGGGGCGCCTCCCGCGGTTCCTCCTGCCGTGCGGGGCGGTGCCTGGATGCGGGGCAGTGGGGGTCTCTCCGCGTCCTGGGTGTGTCGCAGGGTGGGCTCCCCGGCGCCGTCCCCAGCAGCGGGCCCGGCAGGCCTCGGGAGGTGAGGCCAAGGCCAGCGGCCACGCGCCGCCACGCCCACTGACCTGCGCCGGGGCGGCCGGCCTGCGGCAGCAGGGGCACGCGGGAGGGGCAGCGCCCCCTCCTGGCAGCGGGCGCTGTGGGGCGCAGCGTGAGCGGAGGAGAGAGAAGGGGCGCCGTGACTCAGATCGCAGACCTGGGGGCGGGGGCGGGGGTGTCCTGCTGCGTCACGTGACCAGGGGACGGAATCCCCGCCCCGTGGGGGAGGGGAGGGGGCCACCCTGGAGCTGCCAGCGAGCCGCTCCCGCCACGTCCTGGGGGGGTCCGGTGCTCAGGGAGAGGGTGGCTGCGGGTCTGGGGGCTCACGAGCCCGACTTGCTGGGCGAGACCCTCATCGGGGTCCGTCACCTTGCTTTGGCTAGGCCCGCCGCGGGGAAATGCACCTGGCGCATACTAAGTGCTCCCTTAAAATAACCTGCGAGTAGTCTGCTCTGAATTGTTCTTCAGGAGAGTGACAGCAGACACACGCCACAGGCAGGCGACCAGAGCCCGGGTCTTCCCGGGACACCCGCGCCCTGCGTCCAAGCTTGGGAAGCCCCGGGCCTCTCCCGGACTCTGCAGGTGACGGCTTGCAGGCCACCTGCGGCAGGTGGGGACGGGCTATGTGGGAGGCAGCCGAGCCCCTGGCGGGAGAGGCCGGTGGAGGGGTCTTTGGGGCGGCGCAGGGGTGCACCCCCAGCCTGGGGGTTGCGGTGGGGGGAAGGGAGGGCACAGGCTTCGGAGCCGCGGAGCTGGGCTCAAATCCAGTTCTTATCAGCTAAGCGACCGCTCTCAATCTCAGCTATTTTATCTGCCAATGGCCACGCTGCTGGGGCTGCCTCACCCAGGTCCCTCAGCCCCGGCCAGGGCTCAGGACACGGAGCTGTCACCCGTCCCAGGAAGGGGCAGGGCAGCGCTCCTGGGGACCACGGCTCCGCTGGCAGATGTGGGAGATGACTGGCCGTCCCACAGACGGGCCCCTGCGGCGGACGGGGGAAGGAGAAAGGCAGGGGTCGCCTCCCCGGCCACTCTACGCGGAAACTGAAAGACACAGGCTTAGGGGGCTGGCCGGCCTGGGTTCAGATGCGACGTCAGCCACCTGGGTGCTGAGCCACCTGGGTGAATGACTTCACCTCTTGGAGCCCCGTCTTCAACCACTTAAAAAGTGGGACACCGATTTCCACCTGTCCCAGCTCTGAAGGGCAGGACAGACACGGCAGGAGAGGACAGGGTGTCAACCTGTGGTGACAGCGACACCCTCGGGGCGTCTTCCCAGCAGCTGTGCTCTGGCTGCTGGCCTGGGGGACGCGGGGGCCGGCCACCGAGAGTGGGGGCACAGGCAGGAGCTGCTGAAGGCCCGAGCCAAGCGCCCACGGCCGACAGGGAGCCTGGAGGTGACTCCACGCCAGCACCAGGCAGGCAGAAGCGGGGAGAGCCGTGCGCCATGGCCGGTGACGGGCCAGGCGCCCAGGACACCGCCGGAGCCAGAGCACTTTGTAAGCTGTGAAGTGCAGGGCACTGGCGGCGGTGCCCGTGTGCACATGCCGCCGAATCCTCATTTCCAGTGAAGAGGACGGCTGGGGGCACCGGGGGGCACCGGGGAGAGGCCACCGACGTCCCGAGAACAGTCGGCTTCCCCGAGGGGCCCCCAGCGGGGCTGGGCCGGGTGCTCGGGCTGCCAGACGTGGTGGCAGGGACACGGAGCCACCGACCCTGGCCCTGGGTCCTGAGTGCTTGGCTGGCCAGAGGCAGGGGCCCGCAGGGGGGTGGGGAGGCGGGTTTTCGGGACGGGCGTTACCCAGAGTCTGCGAGTCGGGATCACATCTATAAACCCCTCACCCTGGATGGCGCTCTGGACGCCCTGGCTGTGGCTCACGGGGCTCGTCATCTCCTGCTCCTTCTCATTGTGCATCTGGGCGTACACGGTCCTGCCCGGGCGTTTCCTGCGGAGCAGAGGCGGGGCTCAGGGCGCGGCCCAGGCCGTCTGCCCCCAGGGCCCCCAGACGGCTGGGCCCCGGAGCGTTCTCGAGAGTGGTGCAGACAGTGCTCCTGTGTCTCATCTCCTGTCCTATCTCTGCTCCGAACCACCGCCTCCAGGAAGCCCTCCCTCCTGTGAGCTCTGCAGCCCTGGACTCCCCCCTGCCCCAGGGCACGGGTGCTCAGGGTCTGTCTCCCTTGGGACCTACACTGAGGTCATATTGCACCTGGGGGCGGGGGGGTATCTTACTGTCCTGTAGTCCCCCGTCATCGGGCGTCTCCAGGTCAGCAGGGTCCTGGGCTGACTGGGTTGGTGGGACATGCATTCCCGGGAGACCCAGGACGCTGACCTGGCTCTGAGAGGCTCCTGCCGAGTCCTGCCCGGTCCCAGGACTGTGCTCGCTCTATTTCCTGTCCCTCCGGGGCCAAAGGGGGAGGAGACTGTGGGCACAGCCCCTTCTGCCTCAGCTGGGCCTTGGCTCAGGCTCCCCCGGCCAGGCTCCTTCATGTTCAATGTCTAGTTAGCCTGAGCGAAACCCGGGAGGGGCCCGTGGTCCCGGGAAAGAGCCCGGGGTCCGAGCAGAAGAGCCCGCGGTCAGAGGGGAAGAGCAGGCTCTCTCAGACGCCGCTCCCCAAGCCCCGCCCATTCTGTAGGAATGCCCGGATGGCAGGTGCACCTTCAGGCCTCCGGGCTGGGCCAGACCCTGTGACCGGTTCTGTCCACTGAGGATGAATAAAGGTGGCACATGTCGCCTCCAGGCTGAAACACTTAAGGTGTGACTTGGTCCTTCCAGAACTCTCTTCCCCCTGCTGGGCCTCCTGCATCTGGAAATGGCCCTGCCCCCGAGCCACTCCCGGAAGCTAGCCACTCCCAGCCCCAGGGGACAGCACTATAGAGAAGTCAGCCTTCGGTGACGGTGAGCCCCTGAGCTGCCGGGGCTGTTTGTTACGGAGCTGAGCCCAGCCCACACTGACTGCTACACCGCCAGGAGCTGAGCCAGCTCCCGGGACCCCCACAGGCTGTCGGAGCCTCAGGCCTCAGGACCAGCGAGGCTGCCCAGCACCAGTCTGCTCAGCTCGCCTTCCTTGCTGAGCTGGTGCGCTGAGGGGGGACACCCGTCCCCCCCAACGCTTCGCTGTTTCCATGGCAACCCCACGCTCATGGTGAGTTCAGGAAGAGCCCTCAGGGTGCCAGGCAGTGGGCCGGCACCTCACCCCTGAGTGGGGCACCTTCGGGGCCCTCCCGGGGCCCTCCGTCCTCCTCCCATCCCCATCCTCTGGGGACCCTTATGTCGAGCTGTTTGTGGAGCTGCTATCTGGTCCTCAGGGGGGTCTGAGGAACACAGTTAATGAGGCCGGAATTCTGTCCCTCCCGTGGCCTTGACCCACCAACCCCGCCCTGGACAAAGTCCACATGACACCCACATCCATGCTGACGTCCAAGGGGAAAGAGAAATGGGTGGGGGGGCACCCAGCCGCTGGCCTCCTGCAGCTCCAGCTCAGAGAGGTGCCCCGCTGCCGTCCCTGCAGCCGGACACTCATCCCCCCGCCCACCCCCACCCCCGTCTCGGGCCAGGGGTCGGAGGTCCTGACCCTCCCCCTCTCCCCTCCCTTCCTCCTCCTTCCTCTCATCTCTTTCTTCCCCTCTTCCCCCCGCCCTGCCTCTTCCTCCTTCTCATTCTCTTCTTTTCCTCCTCCCCATCCCTCACTCCCTCCTTCTCAGTCCCCTCCCACAGATGAGGAAGTCGAGGCAGGCCCCCCAGGGCGATCCCGGGAGCCCACGGACAGCAGGAGAGACTTGCAAGTCTCTCCTTTTTCATTTAATCTCTGCAAATATACAGGACGCCAGATCCCCCCCACCCATGAGCGGCAGAGGGGGGCTGGCAGGATGCTTGCTCTTCACATCCTTGGGAGAACTAGCGTGCCCATTCCACAGATCTGGAAGTCGAGGCTCTGAGCAAGTCCCACCTGGCCTGGCCACACCTCCATGGCCCGTCTTTGGGGGAACTTAAGCACTGCAGCCCTTGGCACAGTGGGGGACAATGAGAAGGGGGTGGTGGGGGGAGCAGGGACGCCCTTTCACTAGGGGGGGCGGATGCTGGGAGGTGGCCCTGTGTGCCTCCAGGTAAGTACCAGGCCCCCTCCCGGCGGAGCCTCGACTGTTCTGTGTGTGCAGCCTGGTACCCGTGTGGATGGTGGGCCCCGGGCCAGCACCACGGACAGCGGGCGTCAGGCAGCCTTGAGGCCAAGAGCAGACAGACTCTGACCAGGAAATCACAGGGACCATCAGAATAAAGTCGGCAGCTCTCCACGTGGCCCCACATCACACCGTGGAGGCAGAGGGGGCGTGAACCTGCCTCTCAATGGGTCAAGTGCATCTGTCATCCACCTGAAGACTCAGGGGGGCCCAGGAGGGGCCCTGGCCAGCAGGGGCACCTCTCAGCCCCAGGCCCGGAGTTACAGTCCCTGGGGCTTTGCTGGTACCTGCTTTAACCTGGCCCTGACTCGGGGTACGGAGGGGCCCTGGCTTTAGCCCCTGAAATCCTGGTCTCGGATGCCACTTCCCAGCTGTGACAAATCCCACGTTCAGAGTGGCTGTGGGGGTCGAGCCATGTCATCCGGGCTGTGGGAAGGGAGCAGACAGGGAGCAGGTGGCATTCCTGACCCGGGCACCTGGCAGAGGGCTGTGTCCTTCATCCACGGGGGGCTTTTCGGGGCCAGGATCTTGAGTCCACACCCAGGTGGACCTTTCCACCAGAAACCAGTGCCTCTACGAGCCTACAAACCAAGAAAGGCCACAGCCCGACTCCTGTTCTGGCCTCTCTCCGCAGCGAGCTCCTACTCATCCTTCAGAATCCCCACTCAGAAATCCCCTCCTCAGGGAAGTCCTCCCAGATTCTCCAGACCAGCTCACACGCTCAGAGCACCTCAGGCTGCCCGTTCAGTTGGAACCAAACAATGTAGCTGATGATCCACAAGGAGGTGCGGGTGTACATGATTACGACTTACATAAAAGACCAACCAAACAAAACGGAGCTGGGAGGGGTCTGGAGAGGGGTGAGTGGGGCCCAGGGCCTGGGGGAAGGCGGGGCTGGAGGAGGGACCCTCGGCCTCCCAGGAGCATGAAGGGAAGGGTCAGTACGTCTCGGACGGTCCCGAAGGGCGGCCCTGAGGCCGCTGGTCCTGAACCAGCAAGTCAGGAGAAGCAATGAGTCACATCTCGAAGCTGCCTTCTGAAGAGTGAGTCTGGTGACACGTCTGGCTCATTCTCAGTCCAGAATCCAGGGAGGTTCAGATTCTCCAGCCCCTCCAGGGCAGCGAGGAGCCCAGCGTGGGGGGTTATTAAACCCATTTTACAGAGGAGCAGCAGGCCCAGAAGGGAGGAGAGTCCCGGGAGCCCCCACTGAGCCTTGCATAGAACGCTTGTGACCCCTCAGCCTCAGCAGGGCCCCCCAGGGGTGCAGGGGTGGTGAGTGCAGGGGGGAGTCCGGGCGAGCCTGGCTCAGACCCCCCTTCTCTGCTCACCAGCTGTGCGGCCCTGGGCGCACTGCATACCCTCTCTGAGCCCGGACCTCCTCATCTGTAAAATGGACGGGGTCTCCCTCCGCGGGAGGTGGGGCTGAGGGAGATGAGGCCGCGATGCCGGCAGACAGGAGGCGGGGGTGGAAGACGGTCGTGGGGTCGTGAGCAGCTGGCTGTCCCTCCCGGGACCCTGGCCGTTCAGAACCCGGAGCCCTTCTAGCCTCGCGCGCTCCCCGCCACAGCCCATCGAGGGCCCTGCCCTAGGCCCCACCTCACGCCTGACCTTCCGGGCGGCCTTGCCTTTTGAACTTGTAGAGGATGAACACGCCCACCGCGAAGAGTCCGATGACCACGAGGACCGCCACCGCCCAGTAGCCGCCGCCGCCTCCCAGCCTCTGGGAATCTGCAGGGAAAGCAGCGGCGGTCAGCGGGGCGCCACCGTCCCCCACCCCGGCCTCCTTGGGCAGGTGCTCCTGGTGCGGCTGAGCGGCGTGGGCAGGCCTCGGGGGACCGCGGCCCCGGGCCACCCCCCCGACTCCCGCTGTGCGCATGAGGGCCCTGCCCCCTCCTCCTGGAAGGCGTGCGGTGAGCCTGCCCCACGGCACCGCGTCTCCATGGGGCAGGGGACGTGCCTCAGCTCCTGCAGAGATGCTTCCCCGAACAGGAAAGGACACACGCGTGACGGGCGAGGACACAGCCCCGGTGGGGGCAGGGCCCGAGGTCCTCCGAGACCCTAAATGTCTGTGTCACTTAAAGCCAGGGCTCTGACCCGGGTCCAGCCAGGAGGAGCGGGTGGCGCCTGAGGGGTCCTCTGCCCCAGTCCCCGTGGTAGCAGCGTCGCCTGGGGGCCCGGGATGCACACCTCTCGACCCTGCAGGGGCGAGCACGGCCAGGCCAGGGGAAGCCCCGGGCTTCTCACCTGTGTCTGTGTCCCTCATGGCCACCAGGACCCGGACCCCGCCTCGAAGAAGGAAGCTGATCTTTTGTGCCTTCAGCACTTGCTGGATGGCCAGGAGTCTCTGAAAGCAGAAAGAGGAGAGTGACGGGGTCCCTCCGGTGGCTTCCCAGCAGGGAGAGCTGGGCAGACATCCGCTCTGACCCTCCAGAGATGCGGGGTTGGGGGGGGCACTCAGCTTCTTTGGGTCTCAGTTTCCTCATCTGTAAAATGGGAGTACTTGGCCGCCTGCACCGAGAACCTACAAAGGGGCACAAAGGTGACAGAGCTGGGGTCCGAAAGCTCTCGTTTTGGTTGGGACCACAGAGTGTGGTAAAGCTGGGGAGCCCAGGGGTGCTCCAGGGGGCCCCCAGACCTGGCAGTGGTCAGGGAGGGCTTCCCAGAAGGGGAAGACCAAGATGGGAACAGGCCGAGTGACCCAGGCCGGGAGTGACCGCACCCCTGAGGGAGAGCAACCCCGGGAGGTGGTGGTGCTGCATCACGGGGGGTGGGGGGCAGCCGGCCTCTGGGAAATGGTCGTTTGCCGTTGCACGAGGGGGCATTTGTCAGCTGTTCCAAAGGGGCGCTCATGTCATTCCTCCACACAGGTGGGGTCAGAGGTGCTGCGGGAGGGGGCCTCCAATGGGATGGTGGTCCCCGGGGCTCCCCCTCCCACGGCGCCTTAGGTGGGCCCTTCTGGGGGCCAAACTCGGCCTCCAGGAACAGCATCTTGGCACCGCCATTCCCTGGGGATGTGAGGGCCATGTCTGGGACCGTGTGAACCACAGGCCTGAACAGTGCCAGGCCGGGGGGACGTGGGAAGGCACTGGGGTCTGTGCCTTCTCCCGTGGCCCCGAGAAGCTGCAGCCCCTTCCTGTGGCAAGGTCAATGCCTCCGGCCCCGCACCCAGCACGCGGCGGCCAGGCAGCTGCCGCGCGGTGAGTGGTCCTGACCGGTCTCTAGGATTGTCACCATCCCCGGGCACGCGGTTTACCCTCTGCGCTCAGGACGAGGTGGGGGGCGGTTCCCGTGTCCCTCCCCATCTCCTTCCAAATCTCTCCTGAGCACCCACATCTGACTCCTGCAGAATTCGCCCACCTGCTCTCCAATTCAGGGGCCGGGGTGGGTGGGGGGAGCCGCGGGCCGAGTGAGGGGGTCCCCGAGGCCCACTGTGCCTTTTCTAAGCTGTGCTGAGTCCCTGTGCTCAGCTCCCTCTCTGAGAAATGGGTACAGTCACTCTCAACCTTCTGCTGTTGGTAAGGGGCAGGGGCTGCGGGCTTGGGAAACTGGGGAGCCCAATGTGGGTGCCCTTTGGGAAACGCTGTGGGCCAGGCCCAGACAGTCACGTCTACCAGGAGGCGGTGTGGGAGTGGCGAGGGGCGGCCACAGTGACAAGGGGCTCCCTGTCCTCTCTGTGGTCCTGATGGAGACGCTCCCAGCTGCCCACAGGGCTGCCGCGGGCCTGCGCTGTGCCCCGGCCCTCAGTGCCGGTGTTTCCAGACGGCCTCCAGGGACATCTGTCTGTGACCTGTGCTGGGAGGGGGGGGGCTTCCCATCCATCTTTTTCCCTGGAGATAACATTTCCTTCCTTCTCAGCGGGTTTAGTGTACTTCAATCGTGCAGCTACGAGTCCAGAACATTTTCATCGTCCCTGGAGGAAACCAGTGTCGGCCCCCCAGCCCCCGGCAGCACGAGTCCGCTTTCCGCCTCCGTGCGGCGGCCCACTCCGGACAGCCGCGTCCGCGCAGGCACACAGCAGGCGGCCTTGGTGGCCGCTCCACCCCCCGCCCCCAGCTTCCTGTCTGCCACGCTCAGCCCAGTGGTGGCAGGTGTCAGACCTGCCTCCCTTTCACGGCTGCAAACGACCGCGCTGTGCGGACGCACCACGTCTGGCTCTCGCATCCCCTGCTGGGGGCCGGCCGGCTCGTGGCTGAGCAGCTCCAGTCCTGCGCACGCGCCCTCGGGGCGTGCCCGACGTGAACCCCGCCTAAGCTTCCCGGGAACTTGCAGGACCCCGGCGGTGCCAGGGCCCGCTTTGCGCTCTCCTCCTTCACCCGGGTTACTCTCTGGGGAAGAGTTACAGCCCCCCCGGGGCACCCGGGTGACGCCGACTCGTCCTTGGGTCCCCGTGCGGCGCCCGCCACGCAGCAGGTGTTCTACCCGCCCAGACAAGGGCTGTTGCTCGGAAGCCGCCCTACGCAGTGACGGCATCTGCTAGGTGGATGGGTGCCGCTTTCCACTCTGTCCTGAGACCTCACCCCGGGTGCCCGGAACCCTCATGCTCAGCTTGGGCCAGCGTGACCAGCTCCGGCCACTGGGATGTCCCCCTGGGGGGTGGTCCAGCCCCGTGCACTTGCGCCCCCCCACTCCCCTGAACAGTGACCTTGGAGGCCACCAGCATCCCGGGGGTGCGGCCACAGAGGGAGGAGAACGGGCCGCCTGCGCCAGGCAGCCGTGGGTCAGACGTGGGCCTCGATGTGAGGAAGACCCCTGAGAATGTGCTTGCTGTGACGTATCACCAGACCCTGGGCACTAGGCCACCAAACCCTCGGCGGTGCAGGGAGAGCGTGGGTCCAGTGGCCTCGGGAGGTACCTTGTCACTTGTGAGGCTCCTCTTCCTTGTGGGCCCAGGAGGGGGCAGGAGCACGGCCAGGTCGGCCACGGTGGGCAGCCCTGGCTTCACCACGGTCACCAGCAGCTCCTCGGGGATGCTGGTCTCCTGCGGGGACGCACACAAGCCCCCCTGAGCCGCCCGCCTTCTCTGCCCCCTGCCACGCGCCGCGGCCCAGGAATGCCCTCCCTCGCCCTCGGTCTGTCCAAGTCCCGGCCACCGGTCCTGCCAGCTGTGCCTGACCCTGCACCCCACGGGGACGGCCCCCGAGCCCGCTGGCCCCCCGTTCCGCCTCCTGCAGCCCAGCCGTCCTGGTCCCCCAGCCCTTCACCCCCCAGGCCAGGCCTGCTCCCTCCAGTCCATCCCTCACGCTGAGGGCGAGCGACCCCTCTCTGGCTACTGTTCTCCCAGAGGTCAAGGCTCCTGAAAACAGCTCCTCCAACTCACAAAGCTCAGCTTACACAGGTCGCTCTGCCTCCTGAAAACCCCACTCCAGGCACTTCCACCTGGCAAACTCCTATTCACCCTTCAACGCCCAGAAGAGTATCACCAGCATCATTAACCACGTGACGAGAGGCATGGCCAGAGTGGGCCTCAGCCTGTGACAGCCTCGGATGACTGTGGGGGGCTGGTCTGTCCCTCACCGAGGGATCAAGGGCCCCGAGTGCCCTACGTCCACCCTGACGCACCCCGTCTGCTGTCTGTGAGCTCCCCAGGGGCGGCAGTCACACTGATTCTCTCTGGCTCCAGCATCGGGCTCAGAATAGAAACTCCACGTATAAATGAGTATCATACTAAGGAGATTCTGGGCCATCAGAGGACAGTGACTGTGTCCTGTACAAATAGCTGGTGCTACTCCAAGTGCATGGAGGAGTCGGCCTGCCCCTCCCCTGTGAGCTGGCGCTCCAGCTGCCTGTCACGCAGAGCCCGGCAGCGGCCCCCAAGCACAGGGCAGCCAGCCTGAAGGCCGGGTCACCGGGACTGGGCTCCACCCGCTCGGCCCCGCCCCGCCCCTTCGCCCCACCCCGCCCCTTCGCCCCGCCCCGCCCCTCTTCGCCCCGCCCAGGGGCTCTGGGGCTCCCCTGCTCTGAGGCCCCGCAGGTGCTGGGGAGGCTCCGGCGTGGGAGGGCTGGGGGCACCTTGGAGAGCAGCCGGGTCACCACCAGGCCGACGTCCTCTCTCCACTCGGGGGTGTTGGGGTTGTGCGCATCCAGGTCCCTGGAGAACTGCAGAGGCACTACCTGAAACTGGTCTGGAAAGAGGCAGAGACGGGCGAGCTGGTCAGTCCTGGGCAGCAAGGCTGCGCCCCCCGGCAGGAGGCCATGCACCCCGGATGGCCCGGGACTGCCCTGGCTTCAGGTCCCCAGTGTCCACTGGGGAGGGAGGGCCCTGCCCGCGCCAAGCCTGTCCTGGGAGGTCTGTCCCGCACACCCACAAGGACGTACACACCCCGTGAGGCTGGGCTCCCAGCCCCCAGGGACCCACGGACTTCGACTGTGCTGGTCTCCCCACCAGAGCAAGCGTCCCTCGAGGGCAGAGGTCCCACCTTCGCTTTCTCTCCCATCTGCCAGCTCAGAGGCCCACCCTAGAGCCCCTGCAGGTGCCGTGACAGGACCGGCGCCTCCGAGCTCATTGCAGTCCCTCCTGAGCCCCATGCGAGGAGGCTTTGTGGGCCTGAGTGGCCCAAGGGACAAGTGCTTCATGAAGGGAGAACCCAGCGTCTTACAGCAGGGGACCCTGCTCGGGCTCGGGACCCTGCGTGCACGAGTCTGTGAATGAAGCAACAGCCAGAGTCAGCTCCACTAAATATTTAACTGCTGGCTGCTGTCCACAAGAGAAGCTGTTCTTAAAGCAAACAGGTTTTATCAGTGTGATGATGAGGCCAACAGCACACGGGGTGGGGGTGGGGTCTCTTCCCTTTGGAGGATTAATCCTTTATTGTAAATGTCTCCCATTAGGGACTTGGCCCCCCCCTCCCCCCATGAATGCTGGCAAATGGGATGCAGACTCAGAGCGGGAGTGTCAACAGAGGCTATATTAGGGGTCCTCTCACTTTAAGATATAAACACGTGACAAAGGGGCAGGAGAGGTCAGGCCGCCCTGGTGACCCTGACGAGTCACTCAGCCACACGTCCTCGTTCTGTGCCGTGTGAGGCCCGTGAGTGCCACTGGGCATGAAGGCTCATCCGTGTTCATTTTACAGATGGGGAAACTGAGGCCAGGGAAGCTGGGGAGCGTCAGAGCTGTGTTCACTGGCTCCCCTCCCTAGCCTGCTGTGCCCCCACCCCCCCTCCCTCACCCCGCAGGATGTCACCCCACCCCGGCGCTCCCGAGAAGGACAGACGTGCGCCCAGCCCTGGGGAGGGGGCTCACCCAGCACGCGGACCAGCTTGGAGGCCTGCAGCACCGAGTTCCCGCAGGCGGCCTGCACCGTCACCCGCACGTCCCCTGTGTCCGCAAACCGCGTGGTCACAGAGTTCTCCAAGGAGAGCAAGGGCTGCGGGGACCACGGGCGCGGTCAGGGCAGGTCCATGCGGGAGAGCCTGCCCCGCGCCCCGCCCGCTGCCCAGGGCCTCACTGAGGACGCCCACCCTCCCCTGCTCTGGTCAGGACATGGGGACAGTGGGGGAGGGGCACGGGGAGGGCCCCCCAGAGTCACCAGCTCTAAGCCCCTCGTGTCCCCTTCCTTCCAGACCTGCCCAAAGGGCTGGGCTGGAAGTCGCTGAGCTGTGACTGAACCCAGAGCTCAGCGCCCTCCTCAGCCCCACCCCCATTCCAGGAACACAGGCTGGGGCTGCAGCTCCTCCCCACCCGGCCTCTCCGTCTGGGACTTCAGCGCTGCTGGGGGGCTTTCTGCCTGGGGTGCAGGGATAAGCCTCCTGAGTGAGGGAAGGATGCCCCTCTTTGGGTCTTGAGGGCCCCCAGGCTGAGGTGGGCAGCCCTGCCCACAGAGGCCCTCCGGCCCTCCTACCAGCCATTGTTTGTGGCTCCCCACTGTCCAGGGCACACCCCAGGGCTCTGGGGGAGGCTTCTGAGATCAGGTCCACACCCAGTGATCCCCTCCTCCATGAAGCCTTCCCTGACCACACTCATCAGCCAGACTAGAAATGGCCTGAGCTTCCCTGGAGCTCGCAACACCTCGCCTGCCCCTTCCTGCGATGCTTATCACACCTCAGGTCACCTGTTTCGCCCACACCTCTGTCCCCAGGAAAAGGCAGCGTCGGGTCCGCTTTATCCTGCGTCCGCCACGCTCAGACCCAGCCCAACACGAGCAGACGCTCAGGAAGAAAGGCTGCGGTGCTCACCTCAAGTCCACGGTCCCAGTGTCCCGCTGCCCAGGCCCCAGGGCAGTGCCCGCCCCGCTCTCACCCAGGTGCCAGCCCGCGGGTCCCCGGGGCCAGCGCACCTGCAGGCTGTGGCCGATCCACCAGTAGAAGACGGTGAGGTTGGGGTTCAGGGGCAGCAGCACGGCTGTGAGGTTCACCTCCTGGTTGACGCCAACGACGGGAACCACCTCGAGGTGGAGGGCCTGCAGGGGTGCTGCGGGGTCAGGGAAAGGCCGGGGTTACAGGGCATCGGGGCACGGGCATTTTAGAGGCTGCTTATCCGTCACGACCACCAGTTATCACCACCTCCATCTCTACCATTTTCTCCATGATCTCCATCATCATCATCTTCTTCACCACCACCACCACCATCATCACCATCACCACCATCACCACCACCACCATCATCGTCATCATCATCACCACCACCACCATCTCCACCATCACCAACCCTACGAGGGCCCAGAGCACCAGGGGTGTGGACTTGAGCCCTGCCTGCCTGTCTCCCTGACCCCGGGCCTGCCGTCCTGAGGACTGGGGTCCGGGAGCAGGCCTGAGGGACTCCCTGCGTTTCCCCAGGACCAGGTTCTCTCTGGCCCAGGGAGTGCCTCTTGGCCTCGGAGGGGCGGCAGACTTACAGTTGACCTGGACAAAGAGCAGCGCCTCGTCACGCCCCGCCGTGTTCTCCGCCCTGACGGACACGCGGTAGACGCCAGGGTTCTCGTAGCGGTGCCGGATGGGCTCCTCCGTCAACGTGAGGTTCACGTACGTGGCCTTGAAGCCATCGCCAAGGTCCACCTGGTACTTGGTGGTCAGGACGTCACCCTGCGGGGAACACCAAGAGGCCACTGACTGTGGCCATAAAGCGGACAGGCCAGCAGGGCGCCGTGGACGCACTCATTCCCTCGCTGCTTTCCTCACCTGCGGCGGCCCCGGGCCCCCAGGGATCAGACCTGCCTGCCCTCGGGGCCTGAGCCGGGGCCACCCACTGAGGCCTGAGCCAGTGGCCTGAGCCTGCCGGGGCTGGATTTCAAGAACACGGCCAGAAAGATCAGAGACACGAAGTCTCCTAAGGCGTCTCCCAGCAAACGCAGAGAACCTTTTCCCATCTCTGATGCCAAGCGCCCGGTTCCTGAGCGTTTGATCCCGTTCTCTGTGGAGCGAGGATGCGGCTCGGACGCACGGGGTCCGTGGGGACGGGGCTCCCACACCTGCGGTCCCTTCCCGGTGTCTGAGCAGCGGGGGTTGTCTGACGGGGTCTCCGGCTCAGGACTGGGGGCCCCGGCCCCCACACAGCCACCGGAGCCTCTCCGAGGCGCGGGAAGTCCGGCGAGAAAGACTAATTTTCTCCAGGTCATAGCAAGAGAGCATCCTTGCATTCCGTCTCATGCCCGCTCCTGCCTCCCCTGCCGGCTCACCCCTGCCCCTCCCCATCCCTGCGGGAACACCCGGAATCCCTGTCCTGGTGATCAGGAATGACGCGAGATTAGCACCGGCCGCCTACAAGCCTCTCATTTTACGCCTGCGAAGCCCTGACACTTGACAGAGACCTTTCACAGAGGTTCCTTTCGCTTCGCTTTCTTGCAAACACAGTTACTGGCCTGAGCGGTGTCCACCCCCATGTGCACGTCCCCTGGGGACTCAGAGTGTGGCTGTATTTGGACACAGGGTCTCTGCAGAAGCGGCTAGTTAAGGTGAGGTCATGCTGGGGTACGGCGGGCCCTGTCCAGTGGACGCGTCTTCAAGAAGAGGCCGGGGTTTGGGACGTAGGAGAGACACCCGTGTGGCCACAGGGCAGAGTTGCAGTGACTCAGTCACAGGCCAAGGGACACGAGCATCTCAGAAACCGATGGTCAGGGGAGAATCCGTCCCCGCGCCCCCAGCGAGAGCCAGGCTCTGACAACACCCTGAATTCAGAAATCTGAGCTCCAGAGCTGCGAGAGATGCGTGGGCCATCTCTCATCTGCAGCACCTGCCGCTGGCGGCCGCAGCCCCGGGACCTCACTCGCATGCTGTTCAACTGTCCCCGTGTGCTGGGCCGCAGCCCCGGGGGCCAGTGCTGCCTGTGGACAGGAGGCCTCCCGGGCCCGAGGGCAGCGGGGTCTGCACCCACCTCGGGCTTTGGGCCGGCAGCCTGCAAGCCAGACGCGCCTCGGACCGGAGCGGCCCCGGGGCTTTGGGGCGCACCCTGGGACCCCGCGTTCCTGCCTGCGGGCCGCTAGGCTGATGCACGTTGAACTATTCAACCGTTTTACTCGGTTAAAATGACTTGCCGTCTTTTCCCCTGATGACGAAGTAGTCCAGCCTCAGTGCTGACACACAGGAAATACAAAGGCACAGAGGAGGGAGGTCGCCATGACCCCGCCCCCGCATCTGCCGTGTTCCGTCTGCTTTGTCCCCTTTGCTGCTGAGCGCGGCTGGACGACGGGAACGGTGTATCCTGAGAGCAGCACCAGGTCCCGTGTAGCGTAAGGGCCAGCGCAGTGTGTGCCCCATGCCCCATGCCCGTGGCCACCACTGCCGAGACCAGTGTCACACCTGGGATACGCGCACGGTCACAGCCGGGGTGCAGAGCCACCAGCAGCAGCACCGTCACACCCGTCCCCTGGCGGCCCCTCTTCTGTCCCCCATTCCTTGATGTTGACGCTTCCCAAAATGTCCAATAAAGGAGCCGGGCGGCACGGAGTCCCTGGGATTGGCTTTTTTCAGTCCATGTGATTCATTTCAGACGCACCCAGGCCGTGGCGCACGTCAGGGACCTGTTCCCTGTCACGGGGGGTCGTGTTCCACGCTGTGGCTGCACCGCTGTCCACCCGACGCCCCTCCGGGGACACCGGGGTGTTTAGGTTTCTGGCTCTTCTGCAGGAAGGCTGCCGCCAGCGCCCGTGTGCATTTCCCGGACACACGCGCCGGGAGCACACGCGCTGAGCACACGGTGGCTGCGTGTTCCCGCCAGACTGTCCTCCGGAGCGCGGGTCCCGTCTGCTCCCCCTGAAGCCACGAGTGAGGGGTCCCGTGTCTCCGCGACCTCGCCTGCCCTCACCGGTGTCACTGCTTCTCGTGCTGGCCGCTCTCGCAGGCGCGTCGTGGCACCGCACTGGGGTCGAGTCCTTGTCTCCCTGACGGTCAGTGAAGCTCAAGCACCTCCCGTGCGCGCGGGCCACCTGCACGTCCTCCGTGACGAAACGGGCCTAATGTCCTCTGCCCGTTTCCTAACGGGAGTCGTTTCCTCATGTCCCCCGGGGAGCAGGCCTGGCCGGATGCGAGCTGTGTACATATTTTCTCCGGAACATGCTTTTCCTCTTTACAAGCTCTTTCCCGGAGCAGAAGTGTTGCATTTTGACCGGGTCCGATGTGTCCAATTTCCTTTACGGACGACGCTTTCGGCGTCCACTCTACCCACCCGTGGCCCAGCCCTTGATCTGGGCAGTTTCTATCTTTCCTCTCGAGGATTTATAGCTTCCCGTCTTCCGTCGACCGCTGCAGTCCGTTCTGAGTTGATCCAGGATGAGGTGTGAGGTTCCGGCCGAGGCTCCTTTTTAGCAGAGGTTCGCTGGCCGAGGACCGTCCCTCCCCCTGCCACGTTTTTCCACCTGTGGCAAAGTCAGCTGCACTTTCCGCACGAGTGTATTTCTGGCACCTCCATCCGCTCTTATTCTTAGTTCTTAGCTGCACCCAGAACGTGGCCCCGGCCCAGACTGAGCTGTGTCCACACGCAGCTCGGCCCGTGCATGAGGGCGGGCGGGTGTGACTTGTGTGCGTGTGTAGATGTGTCTGTGAGCTGTGGTGAGCGTGTGACACCACGCATGTGCGCGTGTGCACGTGCAGCAGCGTGTCCACTGCGGCCTGGGCTCCCACGCTTCCCAGTGGCCTCTTCTGGATGGGCCGGGCGCCGGGCGGTATCTCTTACAGGGGCACCTTCTGGTCACTGCCCAAACCCCCGGCGACCCCCGCCCTCGGGGCTGGGACACCGGTGCAGTGGGTCACAGGCTTGTCCCGTCCCGAGAAGTCACACACGTGAGAAAGTTGCGAGACTGAAGACTCTAGGGGGCAGCAGACGGCCGCTCCTCCTGGGCGTCCATGCTGGGACTTAGGCGGCAGGTGGGCCCACCCGGAGAGTCCAGGGACCCCGCCTGGGGAGGGGGCATCACCCCGGCCTCCTGCTGCTGTGACAGACCCCCCTCCCGCCCCAGGGCTGTCCCCGAGGCCCAGGCCGGGCCCGAGTCTGGGGGCCACAGACCAGGCGCCGTCCCTGCAGAGTGCGCCCTGGCCCTGGGGCCCAGTGCCAGCTCTGTCACTCGCTACTGTGTGGCTTCGGTTGAGGCACCCACCTCTCTGAGCCAGGGATCCCCCCGCACACCAGTGGGGCTGGGCGCACGGGGGCTCACACGCACAGCTCTACGTCCTCGGGCCTCAGTTTCCCTGTTTGCATGAGAGCAGAGTCCCTGCTTTCCAACACCAAGGTCCTCCGTCACCCTCCCCGACCCCACCCAGGCATCATATTGGAGGCCGTGTGCTAAATACAGCGCGAACGGTTATGAAGCTGAACCTGCTTCGTCCAGTGTAGCTGTTCACCAAAGACCCCCACGCCCACTGGAGTGGCGTGCACAGACAGCTTGGGTCCTGGGGGGCCTCCCTCCGGGGGGAGCAGGATCCTGGGGGGGGCCTCCCTCCTGGGAGAGCAGGGTCCTGGGGGGCCTCCCTCTTGGGGAGTAGGATCCTGGGGGGCCTCTCTCTTGGGGAGCAGGATCCTGGGGGGCCTCCCTCTTGGGGAGCAGGGTCCTGGGGGGCCTCCCTCTTGGGGAGCAGGGTCCTGGGGGGTCTCCCTCCAGGGGGAGCAGGCTTGTCCTCCGTGCTTTCCTGTTGTTTAGAATTTCCTGCATGTTGGCAAGTCTTCGTGATTTCTGGTTTTGAACGTTCTGCAGTGAGTTTGTTACTTCTCTAATCAGAAGAATGAAGCAGGCTGTGTATTAATTTTAAAAGACCAGAGGAGTGGACGCCTGGAGGGCTCAGTCGGTTAAGCGTCCGACTTGGGTTCAGGTCATGATCTCACGGTTTGTGGGTGCGAGCCCCGCGTCAGGCTCTGTGCTGACAGCTAGTTCAGAGCCTGGAGCTGCTTCCGATTCTGTGTCTCCCTCTCTCTCTGCCCCTCCCCTGCTCGTGCTCTGTCTCTGTCTCTCAAAAAGAAATAAAAACATTTAAAAAAATAGTAAAATAAATAAATAAAAGACCAGAAGAAAATATAAAACTTAACAGTTATTACCTTGGGGGAAACTGGATTTTTGGTGCTATTTATATTTTTGACATTTTAGGTAGTTTTCAAATGTTCTACAATGAGTATAAATTATTTTTAAAATCAGAACATGGGGGCACCTGGGGAACTCGGTCAGTTAAGCTTCTGAGTTCAGCTCAGGTCATGATCTAACAGTCCGTAGGTTCGAGCCCCGCATTGGGCTCTGTGCTGATGGCAGAGCCGCTTGGGATTCTCTCTCTCTCTGCCCCTCCCCTGCTCGCTTGCTCTCTCTCAAAATAAATAAATAAACTTTAAAAAAAACCTGGTGTCCCTGCCTTGTGTGCTGGCTGCACGGAGACCCCCCCCCCATACCCTACTCCACTGTCCCCCACGGATCGTGGGTCGGATTCATCCTTTGGACGCGGGCCTGGGCCCAGGGAGGGACTTCCCGTCCGCTCTCAGCTTCCCGGGTTTTGGTCTGAGTCGCCCGGGGGTGGAGGGGACGCCCCCTCGCACCGCGCCTGCTCTCCTGGCGGCCGCTCTCCACGGGGACAGCGCGCTCACCTGCTCCTGCCGCACCACGAACACGATGTCCTCTCCGGGCCGCACGGCCACCGCCCTGCCGCGGATGCTGACCTGCAGGCCCCGGGGCGGTGCGAGCGGGCACTGCATCTGCGCCGGGCTCTGCCGCGGGTCCACGCCGCCCTCACACACGTTGGACACCACCTTGCGGTACCTGCGGCCAGAGGGCAGGTCAGCGTCTGCGCGGACGGTGGGGACTTGATGGTGGCTGCCTCCCGGGCCACCGAGAGCCGTTGTGGCCCCAGGTCCCAGCTAAGAACCCAGGCTCAGGGAAGGGGGACCAGCGACCGCAGGGCCTGCTTCCATCCCTGGCTGCCTCTGTGTCTGGTCGCAGTACTTGTGACGACCCTGGCACCTGCTCTTGTGGCCGAGGGCGTGACTGGGCGCAGCCCACATTCTGGGGCCTTGCTGAGAATCGGTGACACCAGACCCACCCTCTCCTTCACACCACGCTTCTGCTGGGGGGGCTGACCTCGCACGGCCCTTGCCCTTGCCAAGGGCGGGGAGATGGATCGCATCAGACTCTGCCTCCCGCATCTCGGCAAAATCACCACTGATAGCTCTGGGGGTGGGTCCCTGAGAGACAGGCTTTCCGCTGAAATCAGGAGGGTGAGCAGGAGAGGGAAGGGCACCGGGCAGCGGGACCAGCACGGGCAAAGGTCCTGTGGTGGGTGGCTGGAGCCAGAGTGGGGAGCAGGGCTGGGAGGAGGCTGGAAAGGAGTTGGGGGGCAGAGACCCATGGCTCCGATAAACCTTTCAGGAGACCCTGGGCCAACCACGGCAGGGGTGGCATCATCTGACTTGCTGACTGTGAAACCCCCTTAGGCCACACCCGGACTCTGGGCCCCTAGAACTAGCATCACTGCCAAATGCCTGGGTACGCCCACGTCCCCGGGCCTGGTGCCCTCTCCCACCCCCACCGCTCAGCCGCTCAGTACACATTCAGAGGTTTATCATGCAAAACACACTGAGGCAATTTAGAAGAAAATACACACTAAGCGTGCCCAGAGTGCATACGTGGTATGTTGTGTAACCCTTCACCCTTGCTGTGGGCCCTGGCTCTGATGCTTCACACAAGAGTCTCTGCTTGTGAAACCCTAGTGGGTGCACCCAGCAGGCTGGTGCTGCTAGACGGATGGGTGGGTGGGTGGATGGGTGGGTGGATGGATGGATGGATGGATGGTGGATGGATGGATGGTGGATGGATGGATGGTAGATGGATGGATGGATGGTGGATGGATGGATGGATGGTGGATGGATGGATGGGTGGTGGATGGATGGTGGATGGATGATGGATGGTGGATGGACGGATGGATGGATGGATGGATGGATGGACGGATGGATGGGTGGTGGATGGATGGACGGACGGATGGATGGATGGAAGGAAAGGATGTGGATAGGTGAATGGACAGGTGAAGCATGGGTGCATGGATGGGTACATAGACCGATGGGTGGAAAGAAGGATGGACGAAGGGATGGATGGACGGATGGAGGGATGATGGGTACGTGACAGGGAGGATGGATGGACGGTGGAATTTACGCTGCTGAGGCCAAAGCCTGTGGCTTCCAGCCCTGCTCCCTCAAGCCCTGCCCTGCCCCTCCCCCACGGGTAGTAATGGGGATTTTCTACTAAGTCCACAGACGTTCTCTTCCTTCTCAAAACTTCCCTCGAAGGGAAAGAGGGACCTCCCAAAGCTGCGGGTACGTAGCGTCATGTCCCTAACGCTTTTGTTCTTAGTCCAGAGCCACGTGGGCTCAGGATGGACACCCTGCGGGGCCGGTGTCCAGCCTGACCTCTCAGCCTCAGCTGCCTTCTCTCCCCGTGGCCCCGCCCCGGGAGCGACACGGACAGGCCTGTGCACACTCACCCGAGGCTGCTGGTGTAGGCCTGGCCCACGACACAGTCATCCGGCGGGGACAGGGGGTTAAACCAGAAGTTGGCAAAGCACTTGTTGGCATCAGGCTCCGAGGAGGGAGAGCGCTCAAATCCGTAGTCGCTGGAGGAGGGGACAACAGCAGTCAGGAGCTTGGCCCGGGGACCTCACAGCAATGAGGCACCCATTTGTGGGGACACTCGGGCAAGTCCACACAGCTCTGTCCAGTCTGAAGACAGAGTTACATTCCAGGTGAGAAGACATGCAGAGGGGATTCTGGGAACTCAGAACACTGAGCCCAGCATGGGTGTCCTGGAGGGCTGCCTGGAAGAGGTGCACTGAATCTCAAAGGAAGAGCAGTAGACAGGCAGGAGAAGAGAGGGGAGGGCACCGCACAGGGGGCCCCCTCGGTGCTGGTGCAGGGAGGTCCAGGGCCAGGCGGCCAGCACACAGCGGGGAGCTGAGGTGGCGGGCGATGGGCCAGAGGCTTCGTGAACCAGATTCTGGAGGTCGGGGAAGGGCTCAGGCTGCTCCCCTACTCCTGGCGTCCCCTCCCACCTGTGAGCAGCCCCGGCAGTTCCCCGCGCCGCCGCTGGACCGCGTGCCTGGCCCTACGCGCAGGACGCGGCGGCGGGAGGAGGGGACTGCAGTCCGGGCGCGGCGGCCGCCGGGCGGTGGGGCTGTGCGGGCCCCGTGCTGCGCGCGGTCCTCACCACAGGAAGTCCGACTCCCGGCACCGGCACACCCGGGACTCCAGCGCAGACGTGAAGCTCTTCCCCTTGACGCACCAGGATGTGGGCTTTCTCTTCCGGAAACTTCTCTGCTGGCCCATGATGCAGCGGTCACCCTGCAGCGGGGCGCTGGGTAAGGAGCCGGCCGAGAAGGGTCGACCGCTCTCCACCGGCTGCTGGTCTCGTCCTTCCTCGGAAATACCGGATTCTCCGCCCCCTCGGCAGCCCGCGGGGCAGTGTCCCCTTTCACAGAGGGGGAAACTGAGGCCCAGCAGGGCACGTGGGTGCCTGAGGTCAAGCGGGGGCGGCCTCCCTCCCAACCCCACCCACCAGCGTCCCTTGAGCACCCACTGCGTTCACGCCCCTCTGGGCCGGAGGGGTCCCGGGTCACCCAGGAGACCCAGGTTCCCTGGGCTGGAACCCAGGAGAGCGAGTCTGCGTTGAGCGTCTCAGTGTCCCCTCCGGGCCCCAGGGCACATGCCCGGTGCGGCGCTCGGAGTCGCGGCCCTCAGGGCTCAGGTGCGCATGCGCGGGCCCTGGGCGTGGGCTCCCCACAGGCCCCGCCCCCCACGCACGGGACGGGGCGACAGGGGCAGGAGCCCCCCGCCCCCCGGACCCCGAGCTTCCCCCTCACACCTTTGGCACCACAGCCTGCAGCCCTCGTTGATTCCACTTAGTGTGCCCGTCCCATTGTGTGTTCTAGAAGCACCCGTGTGTCTGAGACTCTGGGGCGGGGCCGCCCCGGGGCCCACGGGGCGTCTTAGGCAACACATGACACAGGCGCCGTGTGGCCCCCGGATCTGTGACAGACCCCTGGGCACCGGGCTGCCAGCGGGGCGCGCCGGGGGGGGCAGAGGGGCCTGGGCCCGCGCCGGGGCGGGGGGGGGGCAGAGGGGCCTGGGCCCGCGCCGGGGCGGGGGGGGGGCAGAGGGGCCTGGGCTCGGCTCGCGCCGGAGGGGGAGCAGAGGGGCCTCCGCCTGCGCCCCGCCCACCTGCAGGTCGCTCAGGTGCCAGGCGCTGTAGTCGTCCTCGCCGCACGGCCGGGAGAACGACGGCCGGAAGTCCACCTTGACGAGCTCCCAGTCCGAGCGGAAGCTGATGTGGCCGAAGACGCTGGGGAGAGGGGAGGAGGGGGGATCGGCTCAGCAGGCTCATCCGGACCCCAGACCACGCTCCCCCCTGCTCCGCGACACCTCGCCGGCCCTGGCTGGGGCCCCCGGGGCCATCTCTGGCACCCCCTCCCCCCAGCACGGCGCCAGCCGGCTGCAGGTGTGAGCTCCTGGCGCGGGACTCCCCACAACCGTCACGCATTGTCTGTGGCCCCCGGGTTGCAGGGGTGGGGTCATCCCACACGCCCCCCCACCCAATGGACCAGGAAGTGGGTGCAGAAGTGTCAGGAGCCCCGGGCCCCAGCAGCCGCCGGGCCCTTGCATTGCCTCCCAGGGTCCATGCTTCCGTTTGGCAGAATGGCGGGAGGTCAGGTGGCTGCAGGGGCGCGTCTCCCGCCTGGGTCAGCCGCACCGTGCAGGGCGGGGCAGGGGGTCTGTGCTGCAGGCCCCCAGCGCTGCAGAGCCAGGCCGGCCATCCAGAGTCAGGGGTCGGCACGCTGACTCACAGCGGCAGGATGGGAAGGACTCCAGCCTCAGAGAGGGAGGAAGCAGGGCAGCACCCTGGGTGCTCTCCAAAGGCCAGCCCGTTACGGGGCACCCATGATGTGCTGGGGGCTCAAATACACTGTCGGGTCTAATCCTCACCACAGCCTTGTGAAATGAGTCCACTCCTATTTTACAGAAAGGGAGACTGAGGCACAGAGAGGTTGAGTCACCTGCCCAAGGTCACACAGCTTGTTTGGGCCATTTTCTCTCTGCCAGGATTCAGGAGTCATTTGCTGAGTACAAACTGTGTACTCAAATCCCTCCCTTTTTGCAAAGGCTGCTATTTCAGGGGCTTCTCTCTCTCCCTGATCCCTCACACTTGGGCTCCAAATACCACCACAGAAGAGGGGCCCCGCCTGCACTTCCTTGGTCCTTCTCCAGTTCAGCCCACGGCATTCAGGACTCATCACCAGAGGCTGAGCACCTGGGTGGGGGAGGTGATACACCCTATTGGACTCAGTCCCCTTCCAACCATGCTGACAGCACTGGATACTTGGGGAGGGACAGTCATGATCTGAAAGCACGCTACTCCCACTCGAGGATGGTAGGTGAGAAATATCTTGGAGTGTTTTCTTGGGGACATGACCGCTGGCTCTGAATGTCCGAGGCCGATACTTGAAGAAGAGTTTTGCTTTCATAGGGCAGCTCTGATCCAGGCCTGGGCTGACGCCCCGTATGTCGGTGCCCTGGGGCAGGTCCCTCTGTGGACCTCAGCTTCCTTGGCGTTAGAATGGGGACAATGGCTCTGGCCTTTCGGGCTTGGTGGTGGCCTCGCAATGGCTTGTGCGGGTGCGGGCGCGGGCACATAGCAGGACCTCACACACACGGACACGCAGCAATTTCTCTGCTCCCCAAGGCAGACACTATTATCTTCATTGGCAGATGAAATCCCGCATCTGCAGGCTGGCCAGGAGCCTCCTCTGGTCTTCGAGGGCCCTGAGCCTCCCTCGGTCCCTGCCTTGACCTTCCCCTGTGGCCAGTCCCCTTGTCTCCTGTCTCCCAAACAAAGCCTGCTGGGCTGGTTACTTAGTCTCCACAGGGAGATGATCTCTTTAAGGGAGAACTCCCCACTAACGAGGGGCAGGCAGCACCGTGCGTGCCTGGCAACCTCTTGCGAGTTCAGGCCTGAGGCTGGGGGCTCCCTGGGGCGTTCAGAAGTGTGGGCGTCCGGCCCGTCACAGCCGGTGGGAGAGCCAATGAGGCCACAGCGGCGTGGGGGCCCCTCTGTGAGCTGGGAGGGCAAACGGGCGTGAGTTGTTAATTAAGCAGACACTTCGTGAGAGCCCGGCCAGGGCACCCTCCCAGGCAGCAAATCCACGCCGGCCGCAGGGCCCACGGCCACGCAGGCTGAGCGGGCGGGGACAGGGCTCGCGGGCGGGGACAGGGCTCACGGGCCGGGCGCTGTCCTGGCCGGGACCGTCTGCTCCAGGAAAGGGCAGGCGACGGTCCAGCACTAATGTGGGACAGCTCGTCCTGGGGCCCGTGACTCATCCATCCCATCCTACTTCAAGGTCAGCTGCTCCAAAATGCCCAAGACACGGCTGGAGCCCCGTATGGCCTTCCCCACCCCCAGCCCCGGCTGGCCCCGGTAAACCAGCACCGGTCCCGCTGGTGAGGAAGCGGGCCACCCTTGTATCTGGTCTGTGCGCCCACTGGACCACCAGCTCTGGGGGTCCTCGGGATCCTTGGTGCCCGGGAAGGTGGACAGCGCGTTGCAGACCGTGCTGGAATGACCGGGGGAAGGGCTGGCCTGTGTGGCCTCTGCTGTGGTGTGGGACCAGGTGGGCTTGGTCAGCGGCCGCTGTCCCTTCCCCTGCCTGTCCCCGTCGTCCTCTTGGGCCGGGGACCCAGTCGGGCCCCGCCTTCGGGAAGTCTCCGCCCCGTCCACCGGGGAGGAGAGGAAAGAGCTGGGGAGGCTGACCACAGAGGCCGGTGCTCACAGCGCAGGGGCCCGGCCCTGAGCTGAGGGGAAGCGGGTGGGGCCCATGTGGCTTCCCGGGCTGCCCCGAAGCCTTTCCACGAGCAAGGGCCGCAAACAAACGAAGCCTGGAGGCCACAATTGGAAAGTCTGGTGTCGGCAGGTGGGGCTCCACCCGCAGGCTCCGGGGGGGGGGGTCCTCCCTGCCTCTTCCGGCCCAGCAGTTCTGGCGGCGCGCACCCCCAGCCCCCGGTCTCCATCTCCGGGTCACACTCTCCCTGTGTGTCCGTCGGCACCCCTCCCCTCTTGTGAGGTCGTTGGATTACATACACACACCCGCAGCGTGACCTCACCCCAGCCGATCACACCTGCAAAGACCCCATTTCCGAAGAAAGTCACACCCACAGGTTCTGGGTGGGTGTGCGTTTGGGGGAACCTGGGTCTCCCCAGGACGGGCGTCATCAGTAAGAGGCACAGAGCCCTGCTCGGTGGCCCCCGTGCGGCCGGCACAGGTACGGTGCAGGGAGCCGTTGGGAACGCAGAGTGTGGGCCCTGGGCCGGCCTGTGAGTCAGCTCGGCCTGAACAAGCCCCCAGGAGGTCAGGCTGCCCAGGAAGGAGCCTTCCCGAGCTGGGCCCACGTTCCCCCGCGTCAGGGTGGGAGCGGCCTAGCCCTGCGCCCGTTTCAACCCCAGCCTCAGACCCCAGCAGGGAGGCCCGACGCCCCTTCGCGCCCTCGCGGTGCCTAGTCAGCGGTGGCCCGGAGCGGGGCTGAGCACCCCACTGGCCTCGGCGCCGAGAGCGGCAGCCTCAGGGCCCAGCCTGCCCTGCCTGGGTCTGTCCAGGCGTCAGGCCAGCTCTGCACAGCGCGCCTCCGGGCCCTTCCAGGGGCCAGTAGTTCATGATGATGAGGGGGGAGCGGAGGAGGAGGAGGAGGAGGGGAAGGGGAGGAAGTGGAGGAGGAGAGAGGAGGGGGAAAGGAGGAGGGGGAGCAGGAGGAGGGAAGTGGGGGAGGAGGGGGAAGGGAGGAGGAGGAGGGAGGGGGAGGTGGGAGAGGGGGAGGGGAGGGGGGGGAGGGAGGATGGGAGGAGGAGAGGAGGAGGGAGAGAAGGGGCAGGGGAGGGAGGAGGAGGGAGAGAAGGGGGAGGGGAGGGAGGAGGGGGAACAGGAGGAGGGAGGTGGGGGAGAAGGGGGAGGAGGGGGGAGGATGAGACGGGGAGAAGAGGAGGGGGAAGGAGAGGAGGGGGAAGGGAGGGGGGAAGGGGGAGGAGGGTGGGAGGGAGAGAGGAGGAGGCGGAGAACGGGGAGGGGAGGAGGGGGAGGGGAGGGGGAGGAGAGGGGGAGGAGGGGGAGGGGGGAGGGGGATGGGGAGGTCCAGAGTCGGCCCTTGACTGGGCTGGGACCGGCCCGCCCCCCTGGTGCGGGCACTCACGTCATGACCAGCGTCTCGTCCCCCGGCTCACTCAGCAGCCCGTCCACGAACACGGAGGTGCTGGTGAAGTTGTGCGTGCTCCACGTGAGGCCCTCGTCCACGCTGAACCTGCAGGGAAGGGGCGTCACCACCGCGGGGGCGGGCGGGGCGCCCCCGGTCGGGGTCCAGCTGCGTCCGGCCCTGCCCAAGCCCGGGGCCGGTGCTGCCCAGCGTGGTGGCTGGGAGAATAGGCCGGGCCAGTGTCCGAGCTGCCTGCACTCGTGCCCAGGGGCAGCTGCCCGCCGGCACCAGGCAGCGTCCGCATCTCCACAGTAACCCGCAGCTGCGGGGGTCTGGGCGGGCCGTCTGGGTGCCGTGAAGCTGCTTTTCAGCCCCGGGATTGCAGTTATCTGGGCCCTGGAGGAGCCATGTCAGCGCCACCCAATGCGGGGGCCCAGCCCAGGCACTGCCAGGCCAGGGACAGGGGCTCACTGCCTCCCAGTTCATCACAGGGTGCCACTGGCTTGCAGTGCAGAAAACTGTTTTTCAGACTAAAGTGATACTGGCTTCCCAGCTGTTCCCCCAGCTCTGCCTTCTGAGTCCAGAATTCACACCCGCCCTTTCACCCCCACAACCGCCCTTTACGTGTCTGAGGCCGATCCAAACCTGTTCTCACCTGGGCACACGCTGCTGGCTTCCTTGCCTGGCCCTGCCTCCTCCACTTGACTAACTCTTTCTTGTGGATGCTTGAAAGCCTCCTCCTGTGGGAAGCCCTCCTTGCTCCCCCAGGCTGGGGTGGGGGCCTCCTCTGGGCCCTTCAGCCCCAGGACTTCCTCTGCGCCCCCCTCCCGACCATAGTGTGCTATCATTCCCTGTTTCTCTGTGTCCCCATGCCCAGCTGGGAGCAGCTCCCGCCGGAGGAGCCCCACCCACCCTGCACCCCCCCCGCCCCCTGCTGGGCCCCCGTGCGTTACTTGAGGATCTTCAAGGGGATGGAGGTGTCCTTGATGGCTGCGATCACGCCGCCGTGGTCCAGGTAGAGGACATGGTGCTCCTCCTCGAACACCTGTGGAAGCAGCAGGTCATCTCCGGGGGCAGAGGTGTCCGGGGGCAGGCTGGGGCCCCCCGCCAGCCTCGGGGAGTGGCCTGGGGCTCCCGTGTCCCCAGGCCTCCCCGTGCCCCCCGCACCACCCAGACTCAGTGCGCGTGGGATGACCGAAGGAGCGTGGTGATTTCTAGATCATTGATGCGCGCGAGAAGGTTGCAAATAAACGCACAGGCTTTTCGGCGGGAAAGCTCACGCACCAGCGCGGCGGACCTTGTGCAGGTGAGGAAGAAATCGTGGAGCCAGCGAAGCATTTAGGGTAAGTAAACCCCCATCTAACGTTAGATTCAGCTCAAGGGGCGCCTGGGGGGCTCAGTCGGTTGAGTGTCCGACTTCAGCTCAGGTCATGATCTCACGGTTCATGGGTTCGAGCCCTGCGTCGGGCTCTGTGCTGACAGCTCAGAGCCTGGAGCTGCTTCAGATTCTGTGTCTCCCTCTCTCTCTGCCCCTCCCCTGCTCATTCTCCCTTTCTCTCTCTCTCTCTCTCAAAAATAAATAAACATTAAAAAAAAGTTTTTAAAAAGACTCCGCTTAAGTGCTGCCTCCTCCAGGAAGCCCTCCCAGAAGCCAGGCTGGGTGGGGAGTGCCTCTGGGCCCACAGCCTCAGCACCAATTATATGTCATTATCTCCTCCAGCCAGGGAGCACCTCCCAGGCAGGGCCTGCCTCTGAGTCATCCTTGTGGCCCCACGGGCTCAGCTCAGAGCTGGGGGTGCCTGTGCTCAGGGAGCGTGTGTGGGGGATGGACGAAGGAATGAATGAAGGGAGTGAATGACTGAATCACCGCTAAGTCTTCAGGTGACACAAGGTCAGGCTGAGCGGCCTAGACAGGGTTCACACAGGAGGAAGTAACCGGGGGCCCTGGGGTCGGGTCCCATTTTGCAGATGAGGAGGCTGAGGCCCGGGTGGGGCGGTGCATGCCAGGACCTCCCAGCGGGCGGGCGGCAGGGCCGGGGGTGGCCCCTGAGTCAGGCCAGGGCGCAGGGGGCCTGCACTAGACCTTCTGTGAGCAGACATCTAAACAGCGAGCAAGGGTGCCGGCCCCGCCCAGAGGGGGGCGCTGGCACCCGTGATGCCCAGCCCGCACCTCTCCCGGGAGCGGCCCCACCACAGATCCCCCTCTTCTGTGGCGGCAGCGCAGGGAAGCTCAGGAGGAGACGGGGAAGAGCCAGGACCCCCCCCAGCGCCCCACCCGGGCCAGCACGCTCTCCCTGCCAGCCTGCCCAGAGTCTCAGTGAGGCCTTGGCGTGGGGCCTGGCCACGCCTTCCCCCCTCCCCCCTCCGTGCCGCCGGGGGGCCAGGGACGCCTCTCCTGGGCCGGGGAGGGCAGGGACCGCCCAGCCGGTGGTGATGTGACCCACTCAGCACGGGCGAGGCCACCCCAAGTGGGGCTCGGCCGGCGCCTCCATCCTGCAGCTGCTCCTGCCTGGGCAGATGGGCCTGGACAGCTCCCTGACTCTGGGGGGAACATTCTAGGAGCAGGAACAGGAAACTGTCAACAGAACACGGGGCGGCGCTTGCTCCCTGCTCCTCCATCTCGAGCCCTTCCTTCACTGCAGGCTGGATTTTCCGGGACCCAGCAGGACGCGGTGGGGAGGATGCCGAGAAGAGGCCCCACATCGTAGGAATGTAAAATTTTAGCGGAGCCGGGTGAGTGCCTCTGGGCCAAGCCCTCAGCCCTGACGTCGCAGCATCCCATGCCCCAGCCCCACCAGAACCTTCCAGCTGCTCCCCCGCCCCACCACGGCCTTTAGAATCCCGTCCAAACCCTTTCATGGCCTCCAGGCCTCTGCAGGAGATGCCCCCATACATCAGCCACCCTGGCTGCCTTTTCCTGAACACACCACAGGCCCTTTGCACACGCTGTCCCCCTGGCCTGCAAAGCTCTTCCCCAGATATTTTCACCTCCTCCACAGTCCTGCTGGGCTTTCCCGTTGCTCACGGAAATTCTCTCGGAAACGCTTCTGGCTTGACTAACAAGAAAGGCCCCTTATGAGGAACGGTGGGAAGTTGGCAGATGAACCCAGAGCCCACTCTCTCTCCCTTACTTAACGTTTACAGCCGGAGGCTGTCAGGTCAGGCGAAATGACCCAGGGAAGGGGAATCTTCAGGACCAAGCCCGGCAGAGCCCCTCCCTGCCGTGACGGTTGCCGCCCATCAAGGGCCTGTAGGGCAGCCGCGGGCACCTTGCACGGGTGAGGAGGGCCAGCTTTTCCAGGAGAGCCCGGAAGGGAGCCTGGATGTCTGTGAACTAGGTTTTAAACGTGTGTGCAGGGGGTGGGGGGGACGAGGCAGGGGGCTGGGGGGCGGGCACCGTGCCTCTGCTGCACATCCAGGCCCCGCTAACGGCAAGCACACTCAGAGGTTATTTCCCCATTTTCCAAAGACGCCAGAGGCCCAGAGACCCGGGACGGTCTGCAAGCCCTCGGTGGACCCGGCTCTCGGACCCAACCCCCGCCCCCCCGACTCAGTCCGCGGCCCCCGGTCCCCGGAGCGGGACGCTGGCAGTGGGAGGACAGCTGTGTTCTGTGCGCGCTGAGGCTGCAGGCTGGCGTGGGTGCACGCAGACGCACCCCTGCAGGGCGCACTCCCCGGACCCCTGGCCCCACCTGCAGGGGGCGGAGGAGTAGGTGTGCCTGGAATCCTCCATCTTAACCGTTAGCACAGGCTGGCGCTTGGAATAAGCGTGCTGCCGGAGGCTACATTAACAGAGGTGGAGTTTCCTGGATGAGGGAGGAGACGGTCCGCGTGGAAGAAACATTCATTCTTTTCCTCCCCAACTGTTCTCTCAGGCAACAGATCCGGTGTTCCAGGTCTCCTGTTTGGGTGCTGGGGTCCAGGCGGGGGAGGGACCCCAAGGAGGCAGATCACTGTCACAGGGACACCCGCTCAGATGCCGTCTCGTTGGTACTCAGGCCGCGTTCTGACACAGCAGGCGTGGGTCCCAGCCAAGGTTTCTGGGACGCATGTGTCCGGATCTGAGTCCAGGGGCGCTCGGGGCAGGGGTGGCTGCACCCGTGTCGCTGGGGCTAATCCGAGGGGGAGTCAGGGCATTGTGGGGGGTGTGCAGGAGGGTAAGGACAGCAGCGTGTCCCGGGCAGGAAAGGCCCTCATACGTGTCGGGCACACGTGTCGGGCACACGTGTCGGCCGTGGGCGGGACCTCCTCCTGCAGATGGTGGTGAGGCGCCCGAGGCTTACGCGGGGAAGTTCGCTAGCAGGGTGACGCCAATGGATTTCCCTTTAGCAGGTCCCCTGGCGCGCTGGGGGGCAGAGGCCCAGCACGGGACAGTGAATTCCCAAGCAGCCGGGCTCCTCCTCCAGTAGGTAGTGAGCTCCCCGTCCCAGGGAATATCCAAGGAGAAGCCAGCCTCCTCGTGGGGACCCCTGAGCTGCCAGTCCCACGCCGAGTCCTGTGCAAACCATCTGTCTCCCCGCGGGCGCTGGTTCCGACGCTTTGAACTTGCAGAGGCCCCTGCCCGTGCGGTGGGCACCGTCATCCCTGTTCCACTGGGGACCTAACCCACTTTCTCTCCGGGGTGATGAGGCCGGGGAGCAGCGGGGTGTGGCCAGTGAAACCATCAAGGCAGGTCCTCAGAGCCGGGCTGTCCCAGAGCAGGGGACACTCGGGGCCACCTGCTGGCGCATGTGCACCCCCACCATTGGCTCCTCCCCAGGGGGCGTCCTCCACGCCCCCCACCCCAAGGTGGGGCGCCCCCAGCTCTCGCAGGGGACCTCCAGAGCGACTCCATTCCTATCAGCCTGGGACTCTGGAAGGGGGGCACAGGGCCCAACCCTCCCCAGTGGGGTCTCAGGGTCTTTGAACACCCAAGCTGTGGTTTTCTGTGCCTTGACTGGGCCCCAGGCATCGGGGCCCCGGGGCAGGCAGTCTCTGTCCCCTCTTCCCTGCCTCCCCGCCACCCCGGACTCGGAGGGCGCTCTGAATGTGTTCTGCTTGGTTTTTGCTTTTTATTTTATCTTATTTTTATCATTTTTTTTTAATTATCCAAGGGAACTCGTGTTTTTAAAAGGTTACGTCCAGTAAGCAGCACACACGCTGTCACTTGTGATTCGTATTCGGAGAGTTCTTCTCCCGGACACATTTTCTCGCACCCTCGGCCATCTGCCTGCGCTGAGCAGGGCCTTCTGTGACCGTCCCAGCCTGTCCCCCGCCACCCTCACCCCCACAGAGAACTCCAAACCCACAGCGCGATGCACACACGTGGGTCCTGCCCCTCCCCCCCCCCGCACCGGAAGTGGAGTCTCGCCACTATGAGTATCTTACAGTCAGTTTCTATGAAATTAGAACACCTTGTCTGTTTCACCCTAACGGGGTGCTTGTTTCTTTCATAAACAGACGGAAGGTGACCTTTAAGAGAGTTCAGGCATCCTTCGCTAGTTTTAGTGAAATAGAAATATAACAAAATAAGTCTCTTTTGCCCTTTTCAAAATTCCTTGTTTCTTGCATATTCTGAAAAATGTCAGGGCCTTACACTAAGGCTGTGGGTAAACTGGGCACCTTCCGGAGCCAGGCATTTGTCCAGAGCGTTACGGGGGGGGGGGGGGGGGGGGGGGGGGGGGGGGGGGGGGGGGGGGGGGGGGCGCTGAAGGAGGGGCCTCAGGCACCTAAACCCGGCCCTGAAGCAGAGCTCCGGACGCCGTCTGGAAGGGCAGAGGGACATGAAAGTTTAGCACATTTTCTCAAGTGTTGAAGGCAGGACAGTCACTCGTGGAGTCGGTGGACCTGACGAGGCCTTTAGTGTGGGAGTCAAACGGGGGGTGTAGAGGCAGACAGGCCTCCCCTGGGCACTTGAGCCTCGTGACTGCACCGCCCCTGCCGGGGAGCCTGGGGCCAGCAGCCCCCCCCCCCCCCCCCCCCCCCCGCGCCCTCGCCGTCGCAGCCCTGCAGGCTGAGAAGCTCCGCCCCATGTGGATGCTGCCCTGGGTACAAGGGAGCCCTGGCACGTCCCACCATTTCCTGCAGAACTGCTACCTCGAACCAGCACCCCGGGATGCCTCCCAGGCCCACCCAGCCCAGACTCAGTGAGGCTCCCCCAGCCTGCCCCTCCCCCACATGCTCCCTCCTCCCACGTCTCTGCCGCCAACCGACAGCCGCGCCTGCCAGGGACCTGGGGATCGCCCCCCATCCCTGGTCTCTGGGCTCCCAGCAGCGCTCAGCCTCAGCCCCCGGGACCCCATGCGGCTTCCTGCCAGGACAGCCCCTCCAGCCCTGTCCGCAGCATTTATTCCCACGCTCAGACCCCCACGGTAACCGTCAGGCCCTGTGCAGGTGCGCGTCAGGTCTGCAAGTCCCTGTGCAGCAGGCGCAGCACCTGCATTTATAGATGGAGTTCTGTGTCCAGCCGGTCAGGCTGGCTGGAAGGTAAAGACGTGTCTCAGAACGCCTTTGGGAGGGGAGGGGCCCAGGGATCAGTGGGGAGTCTCAGCGGGACGGGGGTGAAGCGGCACCAGGCCTCTGCATCCTTACCTGCCGCCAGGTGTGCCCGCAGTCCGACGTGATGTACATTTCCTCTTTATATTCCACCAGCTGCGAGCCCAGGTTACCTGGTCCGGAAGAACAGGGGCAGGGGCGCCCTGAGGGTCAGCCAGCCTCACCCAGGTCTGTGCCCACACAAATGCCTACATGAGAGTTACATGGGCCCTGGGTCTGCATCTCCCCCACTCAGAGCCACCTATGCGTGTGCCCCTCTCCGCACTCTCCCTGGCCGGACCGGCCTGTGGAGCCACTGTGCTCGGGCCCTGGGTCCCCGTCTGTGCAGGAAAGGGTTAACTTTGCCCAAAGCAAGGCAGCCTCGCAGCTCCAGCAGCGCCCGGGGGCAGGCAGAACCAGGCACTCGAGGGATCCAGGGGGATGAGTGTACAAGAACAGATGTCGGCTGCTGATCGGGGACTGATGATGGATGGGTCGATGGATGGATCAATCAACGGATAGATGATGGATAGATGATCAGATGATGGATCAATGATGGATAGATGATCAGATGGACTGATGATGGACGGATGGACGGGTGGACGGATCAGATAGACGGATGGATTGATGGATGGATGGATGGGTGATGGATGGACGGATAGACGGATGGATGGATGGGTGACAGATGGACGGATGGACGGATGGATGCATTGTTGCTAGGAGGACGTGCCCCAGGCGTGCCAGCATGGGGTCAGGGCAGCCCCCGACTGGCTGTAAGCTGGGGCAGGGCACAGCTGGGTTTGCATTTGGAGACAGTCCCCGGGGGCTAGATGCAGGGGGGACCAGAAGCCCGGGCAGCATGGGGCAGAACAGGTGAGAGGCAGGGGAGGCACAGAGTAGGTGCTCATTAAATATCTGGATGGTGTGAGGGGGCCACCGAGCCAGCTGGACGGCCAGGAGGTCCTCCGTGGCTGTGGTTCTCCTGAGCCCAATACGAGGCTGGCTGATGCGTCACCATCCTCAAGGCCACTCTTTAGGCTTAGATTTAATCCTGGGGTGGTGCCCCGCTCAGTGTCCATGCCAATCCCAGCTTACAGATGAGGAAACTGAGCCCAAGTGGGCTCCTGCAGAAGGAACAGTGTCCACCTCACAGAGCCCAGGTGCCAGGAAGGTCACGGTGGCCTCCGGGCTGAGCCCAGCCTGCCCTAAACAGTCCCCCAGGAAGGGCTGGAATGACCAGATTTTCCAATGAGCTGGATTTGGCAGGCCTCCACTCTGCCTCTGGTCTTGGCACGGACCAGGGGTGAGAGTCCCCAAGATGATGGGGTCCTGAGATCACACTGAAGCTCCTGCCTGGAGCCCCAGAGACCTTTGTCCTGGGGGACTCAAGCATCACTTTCCATCTGCAGCAGTATTTAGGGGGCACTCCCAGGACTATCTTGTCCAGAGTCAAGTTCAGATGCCAGTGGAAAATTCCAAAGGAAATGAACTGTCCTCAAACAGATGTGTGAAAGTGAGTCCCAACCAGAGTGGTGAGGGGGTGTGTGCTTGCCATCTTTCCTGAGGTCCAACCAACCACCAGTGCATGCTTGCATCCATCCGTCCACCCATCATCCATCCATCCATCCACCATCCATCCATCCATCCATCCACCATCCATCCGTCCACCCATAATCCATCCATCCATCAATCCATCCATCTATCTATCCATCCATCCGTCTGTCCACCATCCATCCATCCGTCCGTCCATCCAGTCATCCTGCACCCATCCATCCATCATCCACACATGCATCCATGCATCCATCCATCCATCATCCATCCATCCATCCATCCATCTATCCATCCGTCCATCTCTCCATCCATCCATAATTGATCGATAACTTGACTGATCCTTCCATCCATCCACCCATCATCCTCTCCAACCTCACATTTCTCTTCTTCACCAGTTCCACTCACTCATCCCTTCCTGCACTTATTCACCAGCACTGCTGGGCACCCGCCGTCTGTCAAGCCTTGTGCAGAACTGAGGGACGTCTGAGATGGACAAACCACGGCCCCTGCTCTCATAGGGCTCTCAGTCCAGCAGGGGAAGAAGCGTGCGATGCAACCACAGGCAGAGCCCAAGGAACTGTGAGAGCAGGGAGGGGGCGGCAGGTGGACCCGAGAAGAAGGCCTTCAGGAGGAGGCTCCTGCCGGGAGTGACCTCCAGGCTGTTCCGGAGAGACATGTGCTCTGGCCAAGGGGGAAGGAAGGGCCGGGTGGAGGTGGAGGGCGGGGGTCCTCGGCCTGGCTGAGAAATGGCTGCTGAATGAATGAAACGAGCGAGCTGAACGAATGAACGGAATGACGGGGGGGAGGAGGGGAGGCGCGGTGCCCCTGATTTCCGCTGCGTTCCGGATGCCGGCAGGCGAGCCGGGATGCCGAAAGCTGCGGCGTCAGTACGACTCGGCGGGCGAATCCCCATCTGTAATTTCAGCCGTGCACATGTCTGTCTTTCAAGGGACGCGCTGTCTTCCTCGCTCCATCTACCAGAGCCGTCGGGCTGCCAGTCACCTAACAGCCACCGCGGACAAATAAAGGGCCATTCACGGAATGTGTCCCCAGGCTGTCAGCGCAGAAGGGCTTACAGAAACCCGGAGGTAGGGCCCTCATTTTACAGATGGGGAAACTGAGGTCCAGGGAGGTGACAGAGAGAGGCAGGGAGATCGCGTGGGGGTGGGGGGAGGCTGCCTTGGGCACACCCTCCTCGGGAGTGGCCAGCTGGCTCCCTGGCGACACACCTCCAGATCCTCACTGCTTTCTTGGGCAGCCAGGAAGCTCGTTTTGGGTTTTTGAGGCCTTTGAGCCAGAGATACATTTAAAATTGTGCCTTTTGTAATATAGTCACGAATTTGGGGATTCAATCAGGACAGTGCCTTTGAGGGGCTGGGAGGCAGGAGTGGCCTGGGAGCTCCCCCTCCCTAAGGAGCCTGGGTTGGCTTCTTCCGTGACACCTGGCAAGGTGGGCCAGGTAGTTCCCATAGGAGCTGCCAGGGTGGGGAGTAAGCCTCTCGAGGCCGGTGCAGTGATTAAGACCTCAGGGCCTGGAAGGAAGAAAAGCCCACCCAGGACAACTGCTAACGTGAAGAACATTCTCTGTTTTCTCTTCCTTCCTATCAGTGGTACCCAGGGCTCCTGCCCGCACTGGGAGCCGGTGGGAGCAGGCGGGGCTGCCCCAGCGCTAGGCGCCGGAGGGCCCTGCACATTACAAGGAAGGTAAGGATGCCAGCCGCCACCTGACAAATACACTTTCAAAACACATCCTTTCCATTTTGAAAGAACTCAAATAAACCTCATTTTAGGTCGTCTCATCGGTGTGCTCGTACACATCCCTGAAGGAGGCTCTGGTTTACGGGTGTAGACGGGCACGTGCCCAACTTAGGCTTCCATTTTGTTCCCTCATGTTAGTTGCATGTGTCTGTCTCCCTGCATAAACCAGAACTTTCTTCAGGGATCAATACACGTCAGCCATGACACAAATCATTCTCCCATCCATCCATCCGCGCATGCATCCATCTATCCATCTGTCCATCCATCCATCCGCGCATGCATCCGTCCGTCCTTCTGTTAATCCATTCACCACTCTGGATCTGTTCTCTCTGGCCATCTAACTGCCTACCCTTTCCTTCATCCACTATCCATTCACCCAGCCTCCACTGCTCCCCCGTCCCATCCTTCAGTTGACCATCCATCCACCGTCCATCCGTCCATCCATCCGTCCATCCATCCATCCATCCATCTGTTCATCCGTCTGTCCATCCATCCATCTACCATCCGTCGATCCATCCATCCGTCCATCCGTCTGCCCATCCATCCGTCCATCCATCCATCCACCATCCGTCCATCCATCCATCTGTCTGTCCATCCGTCCATCCATCCACTATCCGTCCATCCATCCGTCCGTCCATCTGTCCATCCATCCATCCATCCACCATCTGTCCATCAGTCCGTCTGTCTGTCCGTCCATCCACCAGTCCATTCGTCCGTCCGTCCGTCCACCATCCATCTGTCTGTCCATCCGTCCATCTGTCCATCCATCCATCTGTCCATCCATCCATCCACCCATCGTCCCACACAGCAGCATGTATCTTGTACCCACTATGGGCCACGCATTCACCCCCTGGACTGGGCCATGATGGCTGAGCTTCCTGGAGATACTGCCCCCCTCCCCTCCCAGCAGACACACCAAGGACCCAGGCCCATGGCCCTCCAGTTCTGCCCTTGAGAACTGAGTGTCCCTTGGGCAGTGGCGGCACCTCCTACCTGCGCCCATGATGAGGCCCGGGGCAGTGTCTTTCGTGTGCACGGTGCCTGACACGTAGGGGTTGTCCGCCCATCGCAGGTGCAGGTGGAGGTGGCAGTCCGGCTGCAAGGGGGGAAGGGAGCCAAGGTCAGCACTGGGGTGGGAGACGTGTTCCCAAGAAAGGTCGACTGAGGCTTTTCGGGCAGGAAGGCAGGGCCAGGAGCACCTTGGAGAAGGGATGGAGGGTGGGAAGGAGGCTCCAAGGCTGACCGCGGGGTGGAGGCCAGCAGGTCCGGATCGACCTGGCTCGTGGATGAAGCCAGTCACACTTCTCCAGGGGAGGGTTCTCCCAGCACGAGAGAGCACTCCCAACACATGGTGGGCATTCCCACGTGCAGTGCCAGGCCACAGAACGTGACTCCTGAAGCCTGCCCAGCCCACTGCCACATCCATCTGTTTGTCCATCTGTCCATCCATCTGTCCATCCATCCATCTATCCATCCACCATCTGTCCATCCATCCATCCATACATACATACATCTGTCCATCCATCCATCCACTATCCATCTATCCATCCACCATCCACCCTACCCGCATCCATCCATCCACCATCCATCCATCTGTCCATCTGTCCATCCACCCATCTATCCCTCCATCCATCTGCCCAGCCACCATTCATCCATCCATCTATCCATCCACCATCCATCTATCCATTCAGAACCACAGTAGCCCAGGCACCAGGGAATGGCTGTAAGACACCCCTCAGCCCTGTGCCTTCTGTGAAGAGGCACTGATGCTCACCAGTGGGCACCCTGAGGGTGGCCCTGGAGGGTGCCCTGGCTGGAGGGGTAGGTAAACCGTTGTAATAGTAAGTTCAGTGGCAACTCCCATTGGCTGACAGCTCCGAGCTCAGCACCACACGAGATGTGGGTCACTGATGCTCTCCACATCCCACTCCCATCCCCATTTCATCAGTGGGGAAACAGGCAGAGAGCATTTAAGCAATCCACCCAAGGGCAGTGGTGGAGCTGGGGGACTACGACCCAGGCTGCCTGGATCCAGGGTCCACGTTCTGAGCCTGTGGTGTCTCCCCAGGAGGGGGCGCACTTCCAGGCCAAACTGGGCCAGGAGCCTCCTGGAAGGAGGAGCAGGAAGAAACCCCTCATCCTCTCCTGTCTCCACCCGTGACCTCTGCGGGCAGGGCGGCTCCCAGCAGAGGGCCTCCTGACGAATGTCTTTCAGCCTAGAGCTGCTGGGGGTGGGGCGGGGCTGGGGTCTGAAGATTTGACACAAGGCCTTACAACAGCCCTCCAGGACTGAGCTGATGGGGGGCTGGGGGCCGAGGGGATGACCCTGGGGCACTCAGACACCCTGAGGTCAGGGCGGGAGACCCCAAAGGGAGGCTGGGGGCAGGGGGTTCCGTTCTGCGAACGGCCCGTCCTGGAGGCGGTGGGCGCGGGTGCGTGCGGGGCTTGGGTGGGTGTGAGGCGCGACGCGCAGGGAGGCCCACCCCAGGCTCCCCCTCTCAGCCCTCTCCTGACTCAGCCCCAGGCCTGAGAAGGGCTGCACACTTCGTGGGTTTTCATTCTGAATTAAGGTGTGAACAGATTCAAGACTTCTCCAAATGGGAGCTTTCCAGAAACAGATCTGATGGTGCCATTCCTCTGGGAAGGAATCCTCACTCCGGGCGGGGAAATCTGCCCCGCAGAGCCGTGCCACGGCCCCGGGGAAGCGCTGGGGACCCAGACTTAGGAGGAAGGCGGGAGACAAATAAACATACATCGCAGTCCCAGCAGTCTCTTTACCTGCATCTACGCTACAAGATGGTCTGGAAAAACACCCGATTATTGTCATTTCTGGGTGATGCGGTTACAGCTGAACCTCATCTCCCGGTTACACATCTCTGCGTTTTCCCAGTCTTTAGGGAAGGGGCCCCACGTGCCGCTGGCCGTGTCCATGCAGAGGACGCGCGGCCGTCGGAGAAGAAACCCGGAGAGGGGCCGGGCTTGTCATACTCTGCGCCCCTCCCCCGCCACGTCCCTGCCACCACACCTAGCGAAAACTTGCTTTGACAGATGAACACGGCCTGACGTTGCCGACGGCGGTACAGAAGTGAGCCCTTCACGGCAGTCCTGTTCCCGGCGGTGGGGAACTCACGTGCCGCCAGGGCCGCAGGCGCTATGCTGCTCTCGTGTCGGCGGGAGGGCCGTGTGCAGAGGCTGAGCGCCGGAGGTGAAGGGCAGCCCAGGCTGGGCTCACGGGGCCGTCCCTGCCGGGCTGAGGCCACTGCCCCGGGGAACCTCAGTGCTCAGCGTCCCCAGGTAGAGGGAGGAACTGATTCTGCCTGGGCTGTGTCCACGCGGCCGGTGGGGGGCGGGGTCCCTGCAGAGCCCCGGGCGGGATCTGTTTTGGGTGTTGATGTACTCCAAACACACAGAACGGGGGCGCTGGGGTGGCTCAGTCGGTTGAGGGTCCGACTCTTGACTTCAGCTCAGGTCATGGTCCCAGGATGATGGGATAGAGCCCCATGTCGGCTCCGTGCTGAGTATGGAGCCCGCTTAAGATTCGTTCTCTCTCTCTTTAAAAAAGAATAATCATCAAACACCCAGAACAGCACCTTACACATAGTAGGCACCCGTTGATCTTTGTTGAAAGAATATCCCTGCCCACTGTCATTCTTTCTGTGCAGAGACAGAGCTGCAGACGGGCTCAGGCACCCCCAGAGCACGGTCCCTACCTGCAAGGGACTGACAGTCAGGCCCAGTGGAAGACAGAGGAGCAATGTGCCCCTGGGACGCTTCTTAGGGGAGGGAGTATCTGGGCAGGGTTTTCAAGCGTCAATAGGAGTTTGCTGGATGAAGAAAAGAAAGAAGGCATTCCAGGCCAGAGGGGGGGGCAGCCCAAAACGGAAGGGCCGGGCTCTGCTGTCTGCTCTATGCCGGAGACTGTGCATTGCTCTCTCTCATCCTCCCCACCAGGCCCCAGGCACTGGTGTTTATCATCTTCTTTCCTTGTTGGACAAAGGCCCCGAGTGACCTGGCCAGGATCACAGTCAGCGGGGAGCTGAGGCCGCAGCTCTGTGCAGCTCTGCTCCGGACCACTCCCCGCTCCCCTGCAGGGGAAGGCCCGGGGGTGGTGGCGGTGAGCTCCCTGCAGAGTGAAGAGAGGCGGGTCCGAGGGGCACACAGCAGCCTGTCTCTCAGGCCAGGTCCCCCGAGTGCCCCATCTTTCCAGCCTCACAGACACGCGCCTGTGGGCCACCCGCATCTCCTGGCGGCCGAGCAGGGGCCAGAGGGAAACCCAGGGCAGCCTCCACAGGTGTTCAGGGGACAGGCCCCCCCCGGGATAGCTCCCCAGGGACAGCAAGGACCGGCCTGGAGCTCGTGACATCTGGGCTGTGGCCCTGGCACAGCCACTCATCCCCGGTCCCACATGCCAGTCCATCCACTTAGCAGGTGTCTGCTCACCCTCTTGCACCCTGGGCATCGCCAGGAGAGTGTGCCGGGGCTGGTCCTGGGAGGCGGATGCCAGATATAGGGAGCAGACCCCCCAGGAATCAGCCAACCCCACATTTGCGAGTGGGCTCTGCTAAGGTGAACAAAGTACCTAGCTGAGCCCTGCCCAGATCTCACAAACATGGGATTGTTGCTGGCGGCTTGTTACACAGCAGTGTGGTGGCAGGTGCTGACTGATGCATCTTCCCTCTCCCACCTGCAGTTAAGCCTCCAGGAAGGCAAGGCACTTCCCAGGCCCTTCTCTGAGGCGCTCAGAGAAGCCCATGGTTCCCGTCTCTGAGACAGGGCCCTCCCTGGGACCCCAGGGCTCCTTTGGGGATGACTTGCGCCCACCCCGGGGAAGGTGTGGGACGGGAGAGGGACTCACGGGCTCACAGTTGGTTGGTTTTCCGTTCATGTCCATGCTGGGCGGCCTCAAGCGATCCCAGTCGCGGCCCTTGTTGTAGGTTATAAGTGTCACCACCTTCCCATTGGTTTTCTGGTTCGCCAGGAAGACCCCCTTCACCCCTCGGACCTGGGACAGCAAAATGAGAAAGGTCACGAACCCCTGCGCGGGGCCCTCTGACGACACTGCGCCCGCCGTGCCACAGCCCCTGGCCAGAGCTCCGCCCGCGGGGCCCCACTTCTCACCCAGGGCTGAGGCTGACCTGGTGCGCTCTGGAGGTGGGTGGGGCTTAGGGTGCAAGGGACCCAAGACGGGAAGCTGGTTCTGTCCGACCCCAGAGCGAGGCTGCTTCTCAGGACACTGAGCTGTCCTCCCAGCCCCGGACACTGGTCACCAGACAGGGGGCAGAGCCCCGGTCCTGCCACGCCTGCGTGTCGCCGTCACCCCGTCTCCACCCCAGAGCTCCTGATTCGGAGTCCCTGCCTCCCTCCCACAGGACCCACAGGGCTGGGCCAACGCACAGCTCTGGGCTTCCCTCCGGCCTCCTGCAGCTCAGCCCCACACGGAAATGCCAGGCCGTGAAGACGGGGGTCGGTGCTCAGCCCTCCCGCGCCGGCCAAGGGCTCCGGCTCCCCGTCCCCTTTCTCAGACTTTTCAGAGAGCTCGCGCAGTGACCCAGGCAGTCAGTAACTCATTTGGCCCATAAGACAGGTCAAATACCAGCAATCGCCTATGGTCAGCCTTCTGATCCCAGAGACGGCCTCCCCAGAAAGTTCCCTGCACACAGGGCCTCCGCCCGCGGCTATAGGACCCCCCACCCCCACCCCGTGGGTTCCTCGGAGCCTCCCATGCGCCTGGGGCTGTTTCTGTTCCTCGGCCTGGAGAATGTCACTCTTCCTCAAGGCGAGCTGAGAGAATGGAGCCTCAGGGAGGCCCAGGAACATTCTTGCAGTCGCGACACCCAGCGGGAGCTTGGTGTGAACCCCCGATCCCCGGGGTGGGTGCTCCCCGGCCCTGGGCGCACAGGACGCCGCACGTGGGGAGCACACAGAAGGAAGGACAGACGAGTGCAGGGTGGAGGCGCCTTCTGCTGGAGCAGAGTGACAGGCTGACGGCTTGAAATACACTGTATGACGTCTGGATTGTGGCGGTCAGGAGTCCGACTCGGGCCCCCGGGGCGAAGGTCAGGGCAGTGGTGTGGCCCAGCCGGCTCCTTCCGGAGGCTCCCGGTGAGAACCGAGAACTGTGTTCTGGCCCCTTCTCTGCCCCCAGAGCTGGCGTCCTGGTGTCCTGCGCCCACGATCGCGGGGTCTCTCAGACCCTCCTCTTCTGTCCCCCCTTTCTGGAGACCCGTGTGGTTGCAGTGGGGCCCCCAGCCAGGGTGCTGCTTGGGTGGGAAGGGTGTCCAGTCCCCCTTCCACGGCTTCAGGCCGGCCCTCGTGCAGGGGGGCCCAGGGCAGGCAGGACCATGGCCCCTTCTCCCACCCACAGTGATGTCGCTCTGCCTGCCGCTCACCGGAGGCCCCGCGCTGGGTGAAGCGACCCCCCTGACCCCCTAAAGGCGATGGGATCTGGGCTTGCCCATTGCTGGCTCCCTTCACTCCAGAATCTCTATTTCCTACCCCTCCGGTCCCCATGAGGACCGCCCTGTAAACAGCAGGAAGCCTCGCGTCCCCGAGATGGCAGATGGTGGGGACGGGCCGTGCCCACCCTAGGCTGGGCTTGAGAGCCCAGCACCGGCTCCCACACCGACGTGCTCACGCCTGGGCCCTCTTCCAGGCACTATTCACTCCCGTGGTGGCTCTAAGGATCCCCCACAAACGGGGAGGGCTTAACCCAATAGAAACCTGTTCCCCACCGTCCCGGAGCCGCAAGTCCAAAATCGGGGTGGGGCAGGGGCTGTCCCTCCTCCAGAGCCTCCGGGGTGGGGGCTCCCCCGCCTCTTCCAGCTTCTGGTGCCTCCAGGTGCCCCAGGCTTGTGTCCGCATCTCCTCAACCTCTCCCCCGTCTTCACACTGTCACCTTTCTGGGCCTGTGTCTCCTCTTCTGTCCCCAAAGGACACTTGTCACCGGATCTGTGGCCCAGCTAGACAATCCAGCATGATCTCATCTCAAGGGCCTTCACGTAACAACAGCCGCAAAGGTCCCTTTTCCAGATGAGGTCACTGCCATGGTTCTGGGGACTGACATGGTCACATATTTTGGTCCCTATTCAGCCACTACAATGGCCAGGACTCTTCTGGGACAGGGACAATCCCCTGAACCCCCTTCCCAACCCAGGACAGAGGCACCCGGGAAAGGGCTGCTGTGTCCCCTTGAACCCCGGGGCGAACCCTAAGATGTCAGCTCAGTGGCCCCTGTAAGCCCAGGCCTCCAGGGCACTATTCGCCTGTGCCATCGGGGACAGGTGTTTTTTCTAGACACGCCACAGGAGACACAATCGCCATGGCAATTAGCTGGCGCACGTGTAGGACCTCACAGGCCGGCATCTGGGCCAGGCCCTACTGTGCGTTAGCTCACGGCCCGGAGAGGCGACGGCTGGGTAAACAGTGTGGAGCTGGCTGAGCACTGAGTTGACACCAGACATTGCTCTCCGTGTTTAAGGGGGACAACGTCCTTGAAGCTGCCTGGCGATCCTACGAGGAAGGCACCACTGTCAGTCTCATTTCTCAGTGGGCAAACTGCAGCACAGAGAGTTTAAGTAAGCTGCCTAAGGTCACACAGCAAATACACACCCAAACTGGGATTTGGACACAGGCAGCGGGGCTCATGGGCTGTGCCCGGGGCCACCACCAGCGACCCCTGCGAGGAGGGTTTCAGAGAAGGGATGTCACCTGTGCAGGCACCCTTGCCCCTGGCCGCCTGGCCGCTGTGACCCTCCTTTGGCTCCTCGTGTGCTCTTACTTTGTGATCTTTGTCCACAGATTACTGTTCCCTGACTCCCCAGCTGGCTAATTTCTGCCCCGCCTCAATTCAATCCGCACCCCCTCCTCCAGGAAGCTCTCCCTGACTCCCACCCTGGGCTAGGTGAGTGCCCCACACCAGACCCCCCGGCCTTGGCATACTGGATCAGAACCACTGTTGGGAGCTGTCTGCTCATGGAGCCCGGCAGCTCTGAGACGGGGTCTGTCCCATCTGTCCCCCATCCCCTGCCAAGCTGCCACGTCTGGTGTGTGGTACAAGCACAGAGACACCTTGGGACGGGACAGGTGGTGGAGCTGCCCTGTCTGTGGCCCCCTGGTCCTGGCCACCCTCACCTGCACCCTTCCTCCCTGCCGGCTGGGGTGTGCAGCGGCTGTGCGGACACCTTGCAGAGCCAGGTCTGGGGTGAGCCCGGTGGCCTCCCCAAAGGCGCTGCAGGGGAGGGGCGGGGGGGGGATGGCTCCTGCAAGTAGCTTCTAGCAAATGGCAATGGGCCTGGGGCTGTGTTCCTCTGAGTCTTCTAGCGGGATGTGAACACCGACAAATGATTATAGTCATTACTTCTCGAGGAAGATGGCCCCTTGCTGCTTGTTAACAGCACAGGGGTGAACGTCAGCCCTGGGTCTCTGGGAGGCCGCCTCCCATGCGGAGAAACCCCACTGTCTGCCCCAGGCTCCCGCTGGCCCGGTGGCTCGCACGCACGGGCAGCCCCAGCCCTGCAGACCTGGCAGACCCACCGCCCAGCAGCAGTGACTGTAATTAGGGCACCTTCCCACGGGCAGGGCTCCCCACGGGCAAGGTCAGGGAGGAGAGCGAGGAGGTGAGAAGCGAGCGAGGGCGCGCTGGCCAGGAGTCTGGGCCGAGCGTGGGGCCGACACGTCCAGCTGGTTCCGGATCCTTACTTATTCCCGGGACTGTCTGGGCAGATCGCTTTTACCTCCTCTGCGCTTCAGGCTCCTGACCCGGAAATGGGCTGAGTGGCCCCCTCCGCGGCTCTGGTGCGCACGCGGGAATGGCTTTATAGACACATGGCGCCTGCAGTCGCGTCTGTGATGAGGACCATGAACACGGACCCCGCTCAGCCAATATCACTCCCCAAGCACCGTTCTGCGCCAGTGCGCCTGTATTCCCAAGAAGCCCTGCGGACTTTTAACTTCAGCAGAGAGTAAGTTGTGTTGCCTGTTCTATGAGTACCTGCGTAGTGTCTTCCTGGCCTGCAAAGCCTCAAGTGTTTGGTGCTTTACAGAAATCTCTGCAGACCTGAGAGCATTAGTGGTGGGGTGCGAGTAGGAGGGGAGGGGAGGGGG